TCAGAAGTCTATATAAGACTATATGACTATAGATTTTTTATATTAATACTTAGATCTTACTTGGGAACAGCTTTTAGAAAGAGGTTGGAAAGTAACAATATATCTTTCTTTAAAAAATATAGCCTCTCTTAAAAGGTATTAACTTCCTTTATAAGTAATTAAGCTAATAAACTAAGCAATAGTTAGGACGTAAAAACACTGACTAAGGCTGTAAGCTGACGTCGCCTATAAACGCCGTAAGTCGCGTAAAGCATTGTTGTTTATTTTAATCGTAATTCAAAAGTTGATCAACATTTAGAGCAACAAGTAGTATGAATTACTTGAAAGAAGTATGAAACGACCTTCTGTTCTTCGAGCCAAGAAGAACCACTTCGCCGTTGGCTACTATCCTGGTAGGTATTTTTTAATTTCAAGGTATTTTAACTAGAGAAGAAAATCACAGATGGTAGATGTTCACTAGATGGTAGGTGATAAAACACCATAAATATCTAAACAATATCCTGTCGACCGCTTGGCTTGGATATTCGAAATCTACAGACTGAAATTAACGGATTAAACTTCACTATTTTAGAAGGTACAATTTGGTTTATCATTTTGTAGAAAAATTAAATTGATTTACTGCTACCATTAGATAAAGCCCATCAATGAAGTTGTATACGACCTTTCGTGTTTATAGACGACAACAGCCTTATCGCGTACGTCTTAACCGCGGTTAAGCCATGGCGTGGCGTAAAAAACGAGTTTCCACAAAAAGTCCTCTGGGTGGCGTTTTTAGGGATAATAAGGAATAATTAGCGATTGGCGATGCGGTTGGGAATGCTCGCGGATGCTTATTGTGGTCACGTGAAATTAACTGCATATGGTGTCTAACGGACTATTGTGCTCGTACACGTATAGAGTAAAATTATTCTGAATTAGGAATTACATTGCGCAAGAGTAGCATCCCTTTTTAAATGATAACGGACAACACTTACTTACTGTAAATAGTTTTATTATGTTGTCGAAAATATTCCAAGAAGATTTATTATCCTACCTCGTTCCTTCCTCAACTGACAGAGCAACGGCACTGACCGTCACATCGTACGTTCAATTTGTGGGTTCGAGATTCGCCTGTGAGTACTTTTTCTAATAACTTAAGACACGTTTTACAATATTAAATTGGAAAATTCCATAAATCCTTTGTGTTAATTAAATAACGTGAATTAAAATGACTGTAAGAAAAATGAATGACCCGACAGAACGGGGACAAACAGGGCTAGCGTTAGCTCCTGTGCACTAAATTTTTATAGCAATCACCAAATGTTGGAAATACTTAAATCCACTGACAATACGACGTCCCCTTACAATCATTCGGTCAATTTGACAATGCCGGAGCCCTATTTTGGAAATATTTGGCCCGGCCGGACCAAACAATTTCATAAGTGGCTAATGTAAGCTCCCCCAAAATATTGTCAATTGAATAATACGGCTTTGGCTATTACTTTTAATGTCTCTTGTTACCTATACATTTCGTGTATCGTAAAATTATTATTATAACAAAAAAATATTCTTACATCCCTTTTCTACCTAGGCATAGGGGTGAACGCATTTTGTTAGTCAGTTTCAGTGATCGATGTTATCCACTACAAGTAATTAATTAGAATTATGTGCCTTGCCCGACCGAAACAATTTATCGTTTCAGGTGTGAGTGAGTCAAGAGAAGCGGCGAAACCATCCGATTTTATATACAATTATTAATTATAATTAAAAGACAACAGGAACCGAGAAAAAAACCTAACATCTCAATCTATTGAATTTGTACCACTGTTTAATATTCAAGTTCCTATTGACAGGACAGAGCGGTTCCTTTGATCCGGACAGGGTACAAGTATTTAATGGTATGATTTTACATTATAATCTAAATCATATAATTGCGATTTCAAACGCAAAGTATGCCAGTTAAGATGCTTTCGACTAAGATCCAATGTTTGAGATGCTCTACAGCAGCAGAAATAGGAGCAATTAGTTTAAATGCAAGTATGAGACACTATTTTATATACAGAGACACTAACTTCCTAATTACCTACTAAGGTAAAGTATTCAAGCCCCGTAACACCTACTGAAGATGCGTTGTTGGTGTATTTTTGTGAGGATATTAATTTATAATTTCGATAATGACTAACCTACCATACTCAACGTCGCATGCGGCGATCTTTGATGTCCTGACATCGCCACCTGTGCTGGAGACTTTGTGGGGACCGCCTGACATTTTGATGTGTAATGAATGTATGGGAGCCAGACGCTTGTTAATCCTATGTTTACATAAATTATTGCTTCATCATTGATTTATTTCGCAGAACGAATGCTACGAGTACATTATTTACTTATGCACTTTATTGAACTAAGATATTAAAAAAAAATTCTGCGTTAGTTGGAGCATATTTCGAAGCAAACTTTGGGCTAGAGAACACCACGCTGCCATTAGGAAAGAAACAGTGGGAAATGTGGAAAGAACGGAGAAACTTATCCATATTTGAGGGTGTCTGTTGCGTGCGCTGCCGAAACAGTTGTACCTACTTGTAACATATACCTACACACTTTGTAGTTCTGTATTTTTATAAATGCTTTTTGTTAATAATGTTGTGTGTATTTCAAGTTATTCATGCTTTGTAATATATACATCTCACGTACTTACTCATGTAAACACAATTATTCAAAGGTGGTCACAAACACGTCTTTATTTGAGATGAAAGAGCACCCGTTCATAACGAGATCACGATCTATAATTTATTATCAACCTATGTACAAAAATCAACTTTAGGCCAATGTAATAAAACTTTAAATTCATTGGTAAGGACCGTGTACTAACATGTGACGATTCAATGATCACGTTTTGACCCAAGATTTTTATAATCTGTGACAGTATAATAATGCTTATCTGAGCCTCCTCTGTATGAGTACAAAGTCGTGATAGAAATGGTCATTGAACATTTTAAAATCGTCACGGGCTATCAGTATAAAGTATACATTAAAAAGGCTCTCTGTAAATTTAATCATTATTTTAAAAAAATGAATATTCTTTAATCTTAAGACAATGCGGAAATAAATGCCCTATCTTAAGACAGACTGTAAATTACAGTTAGTTTGTACTTACATAACAAGAAGTACAACAGTGTAGAATGGTCAATTGTAAGAATTGTATAATATTATTCATATTACTTCTATTCCTATATTGTATTTATATATAAAAGAATTAAACTACATACAAGTAGTGTGTATTAATTTTCTCTATATGAAGAGTGGTGACATCTTTTAATGAATAGAAAGTATTAAGGTTTGTTTATGCATTAATTAATAAATACGTTGTCTAGTTATATCACTTGTCAATTAATTAAAACATTTACCGTGTCACTCATAGCTACGCAGAAATTTATTACAAATGTTAAAATACAGGGTATCGCCAGACTTATCACAATAATTTTTAGTGTCCATTAAACTGATGAAGCAATAAAACTAGTTTTAAATACAAAAAAGTATTTCCATCAGATTTGAATGATTATTGTTGTCAGGATTTCATTCTTTCTTACACGTTGATGTTTTTAAAATGAAATTTTAAATAAAAATGTTACATACTCTTCGCCATTATCAAAGATTGTTTTTCATTCTAGTGTATGTAGCTATAATCAGATGTTTTTTCTAATTCCAGAAAGACTTTCTACGCCTAATATCATTCATAATTATTTTAACAAACAGATAAACAATCAATCACATATTAATAAAATATTGACTTAAGTGACATCTAGCGACATATCTTTGAAACTTTTTATATTCTGCGCCTGCGTTTATTAAAGGCTATATGTGATTCCTTGTGTTCAAGTGAGGCGCAAGATGTCGTAAAGCAAATTTGAGTGCGATGTTTTAAATTGAATTTCAAGGTAGAATAGCTTAAAGGGCATAATATTAAATACTATGCCGCGGACAATGCGCTTAGTTTTAGTTAACTTCAGTCACGTTTTATTGGCAAATGAGAAAGTTAATTCAAATAGACTCACATTTATTTACGAAACTTGTACCATAAACCTTACTATTGATTTTGTAGTGAACTTTTATGAACGAAACTAGAAACTTCTAGAAATACTAAAATGTGCAAAGCGATGAAACTTAACTATTGTATGAATTGATTTGTATATTTTAATTTATTTTAACTGACATAATAAAATCTTATTTCTAAATTCATAACGTAACGGTTGAACTTCGTAGATTAGTTAGCTACTAGAAATCTTAAAAAGTAACGACAATTAATGAAACAAAATTGGTTTAAAACAATTATTGTTATAATGTATCAAAAAGTACTTGCAGTTGCTGATTATAGTTACAGGGAAGCTATACATATAACTAGCACCTTCTTATGACATAGATAAAATAGAACATTTATTAATTGAGTTAGTTGAATTGATAACAAAAAATGTTTTAATTACAGCATATTTTATATTATTATCAAACAGTAATGAGTAGTTTTTAAATATGAATTTTTGCCTTTTTGTCAATAAAGAAAAAATGCTTGCTTCTAAAAATAATAGAGTTATTTATTGTGTGAATTCCGATTTCAACATGGGAGGATCGTCAAGTTATTGTATTTTTTTATTTATTATTCCGACTGATATTTTCTCTTATTTTCACTTAGCACTAGGACGACGTGGTCTTGTACAGCAGTTATTACTTATTTTTACATCTAGGTGTATACTTGTATTTTTAATTCCTGCATCCTTAGGTCCAATAACGTCTGTTAAATTACTTTGTCTCGTTTTTTAAACCACAAATCGTTCGCGTTTGAAATTAATACCTCTATATAAATATGATCAAATCGCACTCATAACTCAGTCTGAGTATAGCAATGTTAGTGAGTGACCCCTGCGTAGATAACCGGCGGTGAAATGTTTATCTCAGTTTATTTACTACTACTCATTTGTAGCAAAACTGTAGTGGCCAGATCGTTAAAAGAATACAACATCCAGCGCCAAATGATCCTCGACAATGAAGACGAGATGCAAGTCGGAGGGAAAATGCAATTGACAGACGAAGAAGCGATAGCGAACGACATAATTATGAAGTACAAGAACGAGGAATTATCCCGGGCGTTCCACAATCCGCGCCACTTTAACTTCTCTAGGCATTATTTCAGCTACAAACACCAGATAGATCAATCAAATTTGTACCAGATTATACGAAAAATGCCGAAGGGCGCCGCGCTCCACATACATAGCTCCCTAATGCTGAGCGCGGATCGCGTAATGGAGCTAACGTATGAGGACCACTTATACGCTTGCTTCACGAAATCTGAATTGGACTTACAGTTCTCAATATCTGTCCCCCGGCGACCTTGCCCGCACGAGTGGCGTCTCTTGAGCGAATTAAGGAATGAATCTAGTGACGTCACCGCCCTTGACGCAGAGCTACGCAAGTACTTTACCCTCTACACCGACAACGAAGATTCTATGAGAGCGGATATCAACTACACGTGGAATAGATTCAATAGAGTGGTCAAAACTATTGGATCTCTCATCTCATACCGACCGGTGCGAGAGAAGCACTTCTATGAAGGGTTAAAGGAGTTCTACGACGACAATGTCCGGTATATGGAGGTGAGGAGCGGATTAGCAAGGTTATACGAGTTAGATGGGACTGTACATAACATTACGTACCTGGCGCATCTATTTAATAGAGTCGCAAATAGATTTAAAGAGGAATATCCCGATTTCCATGGAATCAAATTGATCGTGACGCGATGGCGGGGCGCAGATGTGACGCAGATTAAAGAAATCGTAGATGCGGCACATCAAGTGAAGAAGGAATTGCCAGAAATCTTCGCCGGTTTCGATCTAGTAGGCCAGGAAGATGTTGGCCGACCGCTGAAAGACTTTCTTCCCGTGCTATCGGAGGCTCAAGAGGACATGAATTTCTTCTTCCACGGCGGCGAAACTAACTGGTTTGGTACTTCTACAGATGAGAATCTAGTGGACGCAGTTCTGCTTGATTCCAAAAGAATAGGCCACGGTTACGCGTTAATAAAACATCCAGCATTAATGGCGACGGTAAAACAAAAGGACATAGCAATAGAAGTGAATGTTATATCAAATTCCGTGTTATCTTTAGTCTGTGACGTTCGGAATCATCCCTTAGCCACTTATCTGGCTTTAGGCTTGCCTGTAGTGATATCTAGTGATGACCCTGGCGCATGGGAGGCAGATCCAATGTCCCATGACTACTACGTGACGTTCGCTGGTGTTGCCAGTAAGAAATCAGATTTGAGACTCTTAAAACAGCTAGTTATAAACTCTATTAGATATAGTACATTAGATGATAGAGGAAAAACATCTATGTTTAAATTATTTCACAGAGACTGGTCCCAATTTATTCAGAGTATGATAACGATTGATCCGATGAGATAATTAACATAGTACCTTAATTTAAAGAACGATAGATTTATTCAGGTTTTAATAGTATTATCCATTTTTAATATATGGAGAACTGTGATGAAGAATGTTGTAAAAAGCTTTATTATAATAGATTGTTATGGTTTCCTTTAAACTTAGATTTTAGATATAACGTGTACCTAAGTGTATGTGCAAAGAAACCTACTATATATAGAGTATGTAGCCTGAATTGTTATAATGTTTTACTAAGTATAAAACTGTTATATTTTTACTCAAAGCAAATCTAAATGTATAAATATGTCGATGAACTTTATAGTTATCGTGCCCTGGCCTTTTTTTTAACTGATGGTGTGAATGCCTAATGCACGTCCACTTCGGGCAATAGTGACGTGGGGAGTGTGGTCAATCGCATTAGAGGAAAATCCCAGAGCCCCCAGACGTTACTCATTTGGGCTAAAGATATACGAGTAGTGGTGGGGTGTACTATATAGCCGACCAGAACCACCAAACACACCACCAGCCCTCTACGGTGCGTCGAGGGAGCCCAGATCGTGCCCTGTCCTATGTTTCTAGTTTGTATAAACACAGTAAAAATATCTCATTAGGACGTAATGAAGAGAATTAGATTCTACATTTACAGTGTTAACGACGTTTCACATTATGAAGTAAAACATTAAGCCCAAAACATTTCGCATCATTTAAATGTAATATAATTTAATATAGGTACACATTACATATTTACATAACTCATAAGTAAATAAAAGATTTCCTTTGAACTTTTCCTTCCTTTAATTTATCTATTTGTGTTTTACCTGTAACATAGGTGTTATTCGTTACCTGATAGTGTACTTAACAAGTATATAACAAAAATATTCATAGGGGATAATAAACGGATTTAGTTGCGACAGAGAAAGATGCAATCTACCTTATATAACGTGAAGTTATCATATTTTACAAAAAAATGACGTGAAAAAAATATATCGTCCATAACTGTACCCAGTTACTTACGTGAATTATAAAATAAGTAAACTTTTGGCTTTCACTTTGATAGTTAGTACTCGTAATATATTGACAATGTAATCATAGTAATAGTACATATAATGTAGATAATGGCATTTCTTTTAGCTCCTACATTTGTAATTTTTCACTTGGAATTGTTGGGCGTCTCTTGTATACCTACTTATTATGTACTTATTAAGTAATGTGATTTTCAATCCTCGCTTGATGAGCATTTGCTTATTTCTTAATTGCTAGAAATCCCTTTCTTTAATTTGTGATGTATTTATTATGTTATTAACTACGTGTACGTGTGTCTTATGAATCAGTTATCGTTTCAGTCGCCGTACTAGGGAAAAAAATAATTTCACATTAAATACTGTCTATAGTTTACGCGAGTAGTACACATTTAAATAAAACACTTTAACGGTTTAAAACGCGATATAATAGTTAAACTTATTTGAAAATTATTTTTAACTTCGGCCCGACGTTTCGGATGTTTTGCAGCAGCCGTGGTCACGGGGAGACAAGTGTTTTATTTTAATTTCACATTATTAACTATAAAGTATAGTGCACTATTTATTTTCATAAACTCCGTACCAAGTAATTACACAATTCGATAAGCATAAGTTTCTAACTAAACGTTTAAACTTTTTGTAAGTATCCACACTTTAAGAGAGTAAGCCAGATGTTCTAATTAGTGTAGACGCCGTCACTCACAATTTGGTGGCAACTATTTGTCTGCAGGCGGTATTGCATCTCATTTAGAAGAACTAATCTGAATTACATGCGTATTATGTCACTCAGGTATCGCTTCTTCTGAGTGTCTCTTAGAATGTTAGCTATTATAAGAACATAATTATTATTTTTCAGCTATTATAGATATATCTGTTTTTCTAATAAAATTGACACATACTTAGTATACATTGTAAATCTAAAACTACTTTTTTATTAATGGAACAAGGTTTAGACGTCACAGTCGTTGAGATACGACAACGAAAAATGTGGTTTTATGATTATTTGTGGCATAATACTTAATGTAATATTATTACTTTAAATACTTTTAAATGAAGATTGTTAAATACAATACTTTTCTTTTGTACTCTGCGTTACGTCATTTGTGGGACAAACATTGAGTGCGTATCTATTAGTATAATGACGTCACACTTCGTCACATTTTACAACGTGCAATTTGGCGGTATTTTTAAACGGACAATTAAAACTCGGTTTTAAATACTTTAGGGACTATAAAATTTTATTTTTTCAAAATAAGATTAATTTGAAACACATTCTGTTTTTTTTTATTGTGAAATTTTAACTGTAAGTATCTTTTATGTTGTATTCGGTTTTGATGAATGAAAACCTATGCGCTGGCTCATGATAGTTACTTAATGATAAACACGGAAAGATATGTGTAGCATTTTCGCACTTTTTACGGTTTACAACGCTTAATGTACAAGTTTAATTATTGTTAATTTCGCTTCCGCATTTTTTAAGCTTGTGTTTGTTGAAAATAACTTAACTATGTTCGATGTTTAGTGGGAAGTAAAATTAAATTATATGGTGTGAGTAATTCGATCACAGCCACAGTAAATACAAGAGAAAAAACAGCACCACTAACTTTGTCTCGCAGGGATCGCTTCAGCCCTTCAGCTAGCACACGGTACTTGTAGTCGATTTCACAGACACTATATATAAAGTCTATTGCAATTGTTTTAAAATTCAAATATTAAGAGAGCACGCGGTCAGCTTTTGCAACTCAAGCCACTGCCCCAACACTTCACCTAGGTAAGTATCTGTCACAAATGCCCGCGTGTATAAAACGCTGAGATCTATCTTCATTCACCGTATTAAAATGATAATCGACAATATATAATGTATTTTTTTTACTTGACAAAAGACAACAACAAATATGGCCGATGAACCACAGAAAATTAGTTACCTATGACCTTTATAGAGTAAAGTTTTTGCCACAGATAACACAGGGATAACATAGGTTATATAGTTACCAAACGACCTCAATATTCAAAATCACTTTTATTACGACTTTTTTTTAAATATATCATTGTAATTAAACTCGACGTTTGTAACGATTTTTTGCGATAGTGGGACCTTCTATTGATGTTGACTTTGTTTACATCCCATCCTTATGTGAATTTCAAACTAAAGAAATTGAATTCTGTCCATTCTGTTACGTAAATTAATTTTTAGGGTTTTAATTAGTTTTAACATGAAATTAAATTAGCATGAAGCAATAATGAAATGAAATAATGTGAGAAAATACAATTTTTTATAAATTGTGTGAAAAAAAAGGCCACGCTAGAAAAATACACGGTAATATATTTGGTGCGTTAAAGGTTCAAAACTTTTTTTTTCAATGTATACTACTTGCTTTAACTACAGACTAAATACTGTCTATAGTCTACCAGAGTAGTACACATTTAAATAAAACACTTTAAGTAACCGATTATGAACTTTGAAAATGATTTTTAACTTCGGCCCGACGTTTAACTACAGACTGTTCTACAACAAAAGCGCTTAATTAACTTTGATTAGCGCTCTGTTAAAATTAAAGATTACTTTCAAAACCAAATACAAAAAGTTTTATTTAAGTCTATTTTCGGAACAGTTTATTCGTTGTTTTGGTTCAAAGCATTCCCATGTACTCAGTAGTACATAATGATGCGTACAGAAAACTTATTAATCAATAATGTTATAATTATTGTATAGTTACTAATAACACTTGTAGTGGTATACAATAAGAATTTCTAAATGATACTAAATGTGTTTAATAGTACAAGCTTGTTAAGTAAATGATAAGGTAACGCATTTACTTTTTTTTGAAACAATTAATAATCTAATAAATGTTGGATTATGAATAATCCTGTATTTTTGTTTATGATTGAATTAGTCGAGCGACAAAAAAAGATGATAAGATTAAATTCTCAGCAAGTAGATAAGTAAAGTAAGATAAGTAAAACTTCGAAGCAAAGACTTAATGGAATAAGTGATATATTAGATATAAACTAGGACAACTTCTTTTATAGATCAATTGTTTCTCATTTTCTTCGTCTTATTAAGTACCTCAAAACCCGTGTCTTATAATATTACAATTGAGCTAATAAGCTATATGCAGTTGGGTAAAGCTAGTTCAAATTACAAACAGAAAAATAATAGAGTTGTTTAGATACATTTCACATATGTTTACAGACGTCGGTACAAAGTTACATGAAATAGATAATCTACAGTCGGCAGATAAACGGCTTCATACTTTTTATCTGCCATGGAAACAAAGCTGTCATTTAACAAGTAACCTAATCCATATTTGTAGATTGGGACAATCTTATCATTATCTCCCTAATTTAATATTCATAAATGACCTCTAAGTACATCGTGTATAAATTTAGCCCACCGAATGTCGAACTCGTGTACTATTTTATCTTTGTTTGCATATGTGCTGTAGTACAGGGAATTTAAAGCCAGTTTCTTGAGTAACTTTAGATCCGCGCGCCTGCTCGCAACTCCCACAAATGTGACGTAGAAGTCCAAAGACAATGGGTCCGCCCCCCAGACACCTGGGTCGTCGCTGGCTATGACCACGGGCAATCCGTGGGCAATAAAACTAGCCAACGGATGGTTCCTCATATCCTCGACTAACTTTAAAACCACATTGGAAATAACATTTCCTTCTATAGCTATATCCCTTTTTTTTACTTCTTCCAACAGCACCGGATGCTTAATTAAGGCAAAGGCATGCCCGATACGCCGCGCGTTCAGGGCGATGGCATCTGCCAGATTCTCATCAGAACTTGTCCCATACCAATTTGTCTCACCTGCGTGGAAGAAGTAGTCGATCTCATTCGACGACTTGGTCAGTTCGCGTAGGAAATGCTTCGTGGGCTTCCCTAAATCCTCTTGACCCACTAAGTCGAATCCAGCGAACACGTCTGGATACTTCCTTTTCATTTTGATCGCGTTTTCCAGGTATTCCTTCACAGTTGTCCGATCGATCGATCTCAGCGGTGCAAATATTATCTTCGCGCCGAAAAAGTCTGGATAATCTAGCATAAATCTGTCTATGACTCGTTTATATGATGCCAGTGTTTCCATTTGATCGTATTCGGTGCCATCCAAATCGTAGAGATTGGGTAGAACACTCCTTATTTCCAGGTACATGATATTATCTTCTCTCAACGCTTTCAATGTGTCGTAAAAGTATTGTTCCCATACAGGCTTGTACGTAAACAGCGATGTGGTCCGAATGAAATAACTTTGAAACTGGCCCCAAACAACGTTGATGTCTGTATAGATTTCGTAATGGTTGTCAGTGACAAGTGTGAAATACTCCTTAAGTTTTGCGTCGAACTTTTTTTATATTACCCGACGAGTACCTTGCGTCTCTCATTAGCTGCCACTGGGTTGAGCAGACGGATGTGGGTAGTTCCCGCGCGAATAAGAGATTGACGGTGTCCTCTTCGAAGCATACGTATAGGTTTTCCCAGTACGTAAGTGCGACTACGTAATCTGGACTCAACATGCCAGTATCGTGCGCATGTAATAAAGCACCTTTCGGCATTCTCTGGATAATTTTAAACAACTGAGATTGTCTCACGTCGGTTCTAAAATCGAAAAAATGTTTGGAAAAGTTGAAATACTGTGGGTTCACGAATCCAAAGTCTATTTCGTCCCTCTTCAACCCCATGATGTAATCGTTCACCTGTTCTTCATCATCGGTGAGCTGCAAATCACTCCCGAGCATCATATCCAATCCTTCTTGTAGGAGTAACTCCCGCTTATTTAGGACACTTTCATATCCGTCGTTTGAATATACCGGTATTAAAACTGATATAATGATTACCACTAGCACTGTAATCATGGTTGCCACAATAATAATGGATGAACTGTTGAATTTTTTCTTAAATAACATTTAACTAGTGCAAGGTTGGTGAGTGCAAGGTGCTATAACAGACTCACATTTGATTGACAAAGATACGAATTATAAGCGTTAGTTTTATCACAGCTCGAGACGTTAGCGTTGAATGTTTCGGAACGCACTGGTGTTTATTTGATTGGTCTTATCGAAGCGTGCTTGGCCAGCTGATCGCGCCGAGTTCTAAGAGTTAAGCACTTTTCAGACTGCGCTATAATAATATAGCATATAGCACAACAATACACTATTATATTTACCCATGTTCGCACTAAACTGCACTATTATTGCCTTACAATTTACGAGCCGTGAACAATACTTATGATAAATACATAACCGTGGTATGAAGAGAGCCTTAGTTTCTGTCTAATGAAATTTATTAACAGTACGTAGGTCTCATTGAGACGTGCCTGTGTTAATGAAGGTTGCGTGGTGATGTCGGTGCATTCATTAAATGCTGACGAATAGCTGCAACAACAAATTTGTTTATATTCATTTTATGATGTGGAAAATTACAATATTACGCATATTATTGCATAATAGTATATTATTTATTTATATAAAAATTAAATATTTTGCAGTTTAAAATGACACTACCGTAATTAATATTGTGCGTAACTCGATTTTAGAATCGAGTAGCGAATTCGCAAGTAAGTGGAATATAGTATATACAATAACGCCACGAATAAGTGCATTATACCTAAGTATCGTATGAAATTAGTGAGAAATGTCGAAAAGGTTTTAGCAAGAATTTGTCTATGACCTTTAAAGTAAAATACACATATTCATTATGATTTCTTTTTATGTGGCTGTCGGCAATTACTTATCAGACTTTAATCCAGTTTTTTACGTATGTTTGATTTATCAAGATACTTCCTATGTCAACTGGGAAAACTAATTACCCAAATCCTCTAATGTTACACACACCAAGCCCTAGGTATTGAATGATTTTTATTTGTAAATCGAAGAAAATAAACCGACTATTTCTAATTTCAAAAGCCCAATCGGCTGGACCGATTTTGACAAAATCTGTACTGAATTGTGATACCGTGCCTCTGACAGACGACGCCGCGGCGCGCCACTACTAAATAACAATCCGAGTAATGCGCCGTTAGAGATATTCAAAGGGGTGTGATGCCAACTGAACGAGTCATTTGAAGATTAAAACGCGGCGCAGGTGAGAGGTCGCATCGAACCATCCCGATACGATGCACGAGACGCGGGTCGCCATATTTTACTTTTAAAAATGCGTACAACGGGGCGGTTCTATGCTAAAGTGGCACTTAAACCTTCCCCAACCCTTTCGCTGCATAAAATCAGCATGGCGGATGAGACGGCCTTTATTTCTTTTCAGATTTATTTTTTAGTTTCTTTATAGCGTCGCTTTGAAAACGAAACCCCTTTTAGACGCCGCTAGCTGTAATTTACACCAGTGCAGAGTGAGTTTTAGTAAATTTCATCGTTTAAAACGGCTATAGAAATCGCGGGCATTATGCGAGATCGTTTCGGCTGCTCTTAAAAAAAGATCTTTTTTTCATTTTTAATTACGTGGGTACTTAAAGTTGTTTAAATTTAGTCGTTTTACTCGAGTTGCAGTAAATTAGCTTTTGCCACATAGAATGCAAAATGCTGGTTCTTTTAAAGAGAAATAAAGGATTTTTTAATGGCGAACTAACGAGTCGAAATTGTTATTTAAAAGGCAATTTAGGTCCGCCGCAGTTCTTGACTCGTCTAAAAAATAACCGAATAAAATATATTATCTGTTGACGAAGCAAATAAAAATGCGACACTTTTAATTTTGGAACAGATTTGTAACCGACCGGAAAGGTTTTAATGGCTTCTATGAGGACGGCTCAAAATTGAAAACTATTATGCCGATATCATAAAAGCAGCTTAGTTGAAACTTTGCATAAGACAAGTTCTTAAGAGCGTCTTATAAGCAGAAGCTTTTCTTCGTGAAAATCCAAGATGTCTATTCAAATTAAAAGAACTTAATTAGGCATTATACGCTAACAAAACTGACTCAACGGGAACGTGCATTTTGTTCTGATAAACTGTTTCCAGTGAATAAAAAACGTTCATAGATATAACCTTGTGTTACGCCCTAAGTGAAACAGGATTACAAACTACTAATAAAATTAAAAGGACTATACGACTTCCGGTATCTTATCGGCACATCCGAAATAAACTCTAGTCTCCCAGTATGTGCACAGACGATTAATTTGTCAGTATCCGGCCAACATTGAACTGAGCAGCACCCTTACAGCTCTAACAATGCGATTGTTAATACCATTTGCGTTCGTACATTTGTGTGTCGCGTCAGAAGATTATCTAACGAAACGTGCTAAGCTTTTACTAGATGAATCAACCATGACAATAGGAGGAAATATTATTCTAAGCGATAAAGAATCTATCGTTAACAACTGTCTGATGCAACACAAGTTCAACGAGGTCGACTACGGCTTTGATAACCCGCAGTACTACAATTTCTCACAGCACTTCTTCGCGTACAAGGATCGAATACGTAAATCAAAGGTCTACCAGATCATCCGCGATATGCCCAAAGGAGCGGCCCTGCACATCCATGATATGGGTCTCCTGGAACCGAACTACGTCCTAAACATAACATACATGGACAATCTTTACGTTTGCTTCGAGAATAATGATGTGAAATTCAAATTCGCTGATAAAATACCACGCGAAGACTGTGGAAACTGGACCTTGATGAGTGAAGCTCGAAATTCTGCGGAAAACATCACAAAGTTCGACGAAAAGTTAATGAAATATTTCTCGATATGTGTACCCGATCCTGCCGTAATCTATCCCAGTATAAAGGAGGTGTGGTACGCCTTCACAGAATATTTCAAAAGGGTCGCTCCGATGATGGCCTATAGACCGGTGTGGGAGCAATACTTTTACGATGTGTTAAAGAAATTCAGGGACGACAATATTATGTACGTGGAAATACGAAGCGTCCTCTTAAGCCTGTACGACATAGATGGATCTACTTATGATCCCCTGATCACTGCTAAAACTTATCGTAAAGCTTTAAAGCGATTCATGAAGGATTATCCTGATTTTTTTGGCGCGAAACTCATCTACGCACCGCCCAGGAATATACAACCTAATACTTTGGACGATTACTTGAAATTAGCATTTAGAATCAAAGCCGATATGCCGGAATTCTTCGCCGGATTCGATTTGGTGGGGCAAGAGGAAACGGGCAGCCCATTGATAGAGTTCATTCCCCAATTACAAGCAGCTGGGAAGGATATTAACTATTTTTTCCACGCGGGCGAAACCAACTGGTACGGGACTCTGATTGATGAGAATTTGGTAGATGCTGTGCTTCTAGGGGCTAAGAGAATTGGGCACGCGTATGCTTTGCCAAAGCACCCCTTAGTTATGAAGTTGATAGTCGATAATGATGTAGGGTTGGAAGTGAACGTGATATCGAATGCGGTGTTGGCGCTGGTTCATGATGTGCGTAACCATCCCTTGAGTGCATTCATAGCTCAAGGCCTTCCAGTTGTCCTGTCAAGTGACGATCCTGGCGTATGGGGTGCTGATCCTCTTTCAGATGACTTTTATGTGGCCTTCGTTGGTGTTGCTAGTCGTTTATCTGACATACGGCTGCTAAAACAGTTCGCGTTAAATTCATTAAAATACAGCGCATTAAGCAGTACTGCTAAAGTTTCTGCGATTCGGAAGTTTAAACAACGATGGAGTACTTTTATTAATAATTTCGACTGTTCTAGATATTCAAGTAAATAAAATTAATATTTTACCCCATTATGTTGTATACTTGACCATGACTATTATGACTTATGAGACGAAGAACTGACGAAAACAAACCAGAATATTTTTTGTAGGATATTTTAGGTAGATTTTATTTCTAAATCGTATTAATCGCTTTTAATAAAAGTCTAGGTACCTATAAAACTAAGAATCTTCAACTTCAGGACAAGTATTTAATAATATATTACAGATAGTTACAGTAGTTATTATTTAAAATACAAAAAATTATATCTCATTGGGTGTGGCAGTCTTAGTGTGTGGCACTTTTTTCTGTGTCTGTTTTGCCTCCTGATCGTCAATCAATTCTATCTACAGACAATTATTGATGATAACAGTTTTGCGCTCTGCCTGATCAATGCTTTTTAATATTTCGAGGTCCATCGAGGGCCTCCACGCAGAGCTAGGCGACGCTAAACCTTACCTATACGCGGTTTAATACTTAAGTACCTACTTAAAAAATACCTACTGAAACTCAATTTTCTAATGGTAACACAGTGCTGCTAATGACAAGTTTCATCAAGTGAATTTTGTGCTTACCTACTATCTTATGTCAAAAAAGTCTCATAGTTCATATATCAGGCCAAAATACAAATAGACAATCTACTTTGATATATACTAAATATATATGTTTGGAATACCTTTATACATAGAATACATTTTCCTACCTGCGTACTCATATTATATATGCCTGAAGTACATACAAAATATCAATACTATATAAGTAGTACTAACGAACATAAACATACCGAGACAATGACTTCGTTATGAGGGAAGCCGAGAGCGTCACTCCACTATATCCCACTCCTGAATGGTTCTAGATATTTAAATGTATAACTTATGGCAAGGAAAAAGAGTTCATAACGCAGCAACACATCTTAGTACACTTGTGCGTCTAGAATTTTAAGTGCAATCTAGACCTCTAATTCTTATTCTCACTCAAGGGTCTTATGGCGAAATGTGAAATATACTGTATGCGAATTTCCCTTTGAGTAACGCTTCGTATTATGTACCTATCTTCTAATTTTGCAGTGTCGTGTTACGCGTAGTTTCTGTTCTATGGATTTTTTGTACTATTTATACTAAAGGGCCTCAGTTACACCTTACTATGACGTATAGCTTCACTTTGTGTCTGGTATCAGGCAAAGGAAAAGGAAAGGGTTAGTAAACATGTAAATAACCAATACGCATTGAAGTAGAACATATTTATAAGGGCAATTTATTTTGGTTGTAGTATTACGCACTTCTAAAAAGAAGGAATTTTGACCTTTTGAATGAGCTACAGCCCCCGGAAGTGATGACGTCATATCGAAATCTACTCTTGTTTGTTATTGCGGTTTATCCGGCGGCGACGGGACAATAACATTTGATAAGCTGATAGTTCTATGAACCGAGTCAAAGCGTCAATGAATTTGTTGTTTGGTAATTAGAATTTTGCTATCAATTATCGCTATAAATACTTTTTATAGCGATATTATTTCTATCGTTACATATTTAAGAGTTTGCCTTCATTTAAGGAATTTATTCCTTAAATGAAGGCTAGTAGGGTATAGGCTACTAGGGTGTATAGGGTACTAGTTGAAAAAAAAGTAAATAATGTCATGTAGGTTTTGTTAAGTGATAATAGTAAGTTAACAAAACGTTTAAAGTTATTTTGAACTTTAACGTTTCAGTCATTCAGTTTGATAGATACTCTATATTTATCAAACTAAAAGTGCTCTCAAAGCTACTTAGTCTTAGAAAATGGGGTTTGATGTAATACAATACTATGAACCTAATCATTATAATTCTTACCCTTTACCTATATTTCATGAAGGCTTCTTTCTGAACTTAATTTACGTATTTGGGTAGGTTTTAGTACAAAATATTCAATGAAACACATTATATCGTTGTAAACATTTAATAGCGGTTAAATAAAATTATACTCAGTGCTAAGAAAAAAAACAATAAAAGACCTTATATTAAACAAATTATTTCTATTTTTTACTCAAGCAAACTTGCTCTGTAAACATCCACAGTGTGAATTAAACTAACATACAGTTTACATAGAAATGACATACTATTATAAAGAAGATTGATTTCGTTTTCTTCATATTTACAATACTAATCATGGTAAGACGAGTATCTTCAAAATCTTCTTTTATTGTAGATGAGGTTTACTCTCTTGGACCTCAATACAGAAACAGGAAAATAGTACTTTTATACTTCTATATATGCATTTAGATTATTACTTAATGTAGTATCATTTTTTATTCACAATCATCAACATCATTTACAACTTTAGGTATACATAGTTACTAATTAGCACATCTACTGTTTTAATTAATCAATAAAAATAATATAACTAAATGACATATACAAATTACTTAATTTGGGATATATTTAAATATTTGACAATTCTATTGCTGTTCACATATGTACTGAGCTACAGATAAAATAGAGAAACTTAGTAACTGAAAATGACAAATAAAAAATAGATAGATGTTAAATTTTTAGTTATTCAATAAAAAACGAATGACTAATGAATTCAGTATTGCTATACTAAGCAAATAAACAAAAACACTATTGTATGTGTGACCACCTCTAGTGCATAACATCAGAAATTTTAGTTTAAAATTTATTATTGGATTTCATGAGCTTGCTGGAAAAGCAACTTAACAAAATAGATTTAAGAAGCACCAAATGTCTATGATTACACCAACTGCAATCAGAAATAATATTTTACCAGCAAAATAAACAACTTATTTTATTTGTCCCTAAAATTTTACTATACTTTTAATTGCAGAACATATATGAAGTCCCGTTTATATATTCTGTAGATAGCTAAACCACACAGAATTAACTATGACATGCATAAAATATAATAAAATGATTAATTAATCTTCTCCAGCTGGTACCGCATCTTCCAGGCGTTTGATATATTTAATGCGGAGCTCTGTCACTGGATCACCTTTTAATTGATCCTGGAAAGGAAAATATCTTTCATTTAAATTCAGTTGGCTTTTTCAATAGCCAGTTTAGGTTGCAAGATAAAAGATGTGATACTGTGGCTGTTTGTTTCCAAAATGTAGCATAGACTAATTAAAATTAACTTTATATATTTCTAATTATATGTGTTTATATTTTCTTACTGCTATCTCTTACGATAAGGTCAGTTTGTAAAGGTACATCAAATTAAATCTAACTAGCTTCAGCAATCAAGTAGAACAATTTATTTTAGTTCTAATTTTTACTTTTAAGACATTATTCTTTCATTACCTGTATAAACCAGCACTGCACATCAAGTTGAACCATTTGTAAAGCACCTCTAATTGCACCTGGAATCAGAGCGCAATATTTGAGCCCATTGTTTGGCATTTCCACCCATTCACTCAGGGGACACTGGTCCCAGACTAGAGAGAATTCATCACCAGAACTACTCCAACTTGTCACTGTGGGCTGCATATTAATATATAATCTGAAAAAATCTTAATAAATTAAAAGAAATTGTTTACAAAGTTGTTTCCTTATCAGTAAAATGTATTAATTTCTTACTGTCCATAGACATTACAAGGGGATACATCTTGTAAATTGTATCTGGTTTTGAGTTAATTATACCTTTGCTGCGAAGCAGTTTAACTTCATATATAATGATTTCTTTATATTTCCCCATTTTCATAAAGTTTTAAGATAATAAAAATGTTAAATCTATAGATTTAAAATTTTTAACAAAATAAGTTAATATGGACACATAAGTTCTGGCAAAATCTATTGAGAACACATTGTTGACTTTTACCTGAAAGCCTGTTGTATCTTATCAGCAGTTTCCCTCATTTCCATACACCGGTTGGATCCAGTGCGTGCCAAGAAATCTTCAATGAGTCGTACGCCCATATTGTAACCAATTCTCTCTAACTGCTTATTAACGTCATCTGGATTATCTATTTCTTTCAACATTTGCGAAACAAGGGCTCCGTATGTGAGAGTTAATAGTTCCGAATTCTGAAATCAGACAGCATGAGGCTGAGAAACATAACTGATAATGTATTTAAACGTGAAACATGAAATTGTAACTTACCACTTTCTTAGCATCGAGTCTTGATGTTTGACGAGACATTTTCGTTAAATATTTTTTTTCGTCAATGCAATATAACAGTTTTTCAAACTAAATAATTCGAGAAATAATTATTACATAGAAATCAAGTGAATAAAATTAAATATTATACTGGATCACACCCTACGGATTGCAAAAATATCATAAATCACATTACTTGAAAAATGTCATATTACAATGAATGCAGATGTCAATTTGAAAACTTTTGTTTTTCACATGATGTGGCATTAAATAAGATGTCAATATTGTAGGTTTAATCTGTAGCTTTTGTACATAATCTTGTTTTTTCATCATTCTGTTTAGTTTTAGGTCTGTGGTAAGCAAGTTGTGTTTTTGTCTATTACAGTTTAAATTTTTTAAATTGTTATATCAACTTTGTTTTCCTGAAGAAAATTGAATTTACTAATTTCAAATTTACAGCATTTTGTTTTGTTTATGTATACGAAGATGAATTCTTGTTGAATTTATAATTTATTTATCATGGATGGTGACCATACACTAGATGAACAGAAAAACTTTGATGGCCCCGACGATAAAACTTCAGCAGTGAATAATTTAATTTTAGAGTACTATAAAAAATTCGGAAAGAAACGTGATTTAGAGCAGTTTTTCTCATTGTCCACTGCTCAAAATGAAATAAGGGACCCAACTAGTTCATTTTGGAAAAGAATGAAGGCATTGAGTGATTCGTCCGATTCCGGCGACAAAAAGAGCGAGTCGTCGGCAGAGCTTTGTAGAATTTCTATTCGATGCTCTATGCCAGAGGCTAGTACTTCCCATCAAAAGGTGAAAACAGTATTTAATCTTAGCTTGCTTAAGGTTTACTGGCTATTTAACTGTCTGCTTTAGTTTCAGGAGGAAACTAGAAAAAACACTGATTCAGATTCTCCACCAATTATCACTGAAGTTTATGAACAAGAAAGTTCTGATAAATCTGATGTTCAATCTCTTAAATGTGAGTATTGCTCCTTATCATGAATTGCTATATTACTACTTTTTGTAACCAGGCAATAATTATACTTAATAAACCTGCGCGACTGAAATTATCTGATGTTTCCCTGGGTTTTGAAGGACCTGTCACGCAATTATTGCAATGCTAGGTGAAATGTTCAACCATTTAGATACAGAGCCCGTCATTATTGATCCTTTTAAATAAAACACTTTAACGGTTTAAAACGCGATATATTATTGATCCTTAATGTTTGAATATTAAAAGGAGACATTGACTATTTCTGAACTAGATGAAGACTGACATAGCTTAGTTAAGACCCTCAAATACGATGCCTGAACAGCTTAAGTACCCAAGAAGTACTAACTCATTCACCACTACTACGCTATTTATTCACTATTCCTCTTTATAATATTAGTATAGATATCATAATAATAAATTCAATACCTTGTACTTCTACTCACTCCTGTTAACTAAGCATAATAAACTACCAAGTAGTTATAGCTTATGTTATTTATGAACTACCATAGTCCATAACAAAAGCCTCATTAAATTTCAGCTGCTGATGGAACACTAGATACTTCTACTAATAAACATTTATCACCTACCAGTAGTATTACATCACAGCGAAAACTGGAGTGGGACTCTTTAGCAGATGTCGGTTATGGAAATGAGAGTGACAAAAAAACATCTGCATCTAGTCTCAGTACATTAGAAAGATTAGCATTACAACAACAGTACTGTAATGATTCACAACAAACAAGCTTAGGAATACCTACAGCACATTCTACACCTCTAGAACCCACTGACACAAAAAATTCAATGACTAAAACAAAAGGAAAGAAAGATCTTCTAAAAAGAACTACAAAAATATTGAATAAAGACACAGATTATATTGAAATGAGCCTTCCGCAAATACCGGAAGCTAGCCAATCCATAAATTTCAATCTAACAAAACATATTACTTTAAATGTTGACAAAAAGGGTGAAGTAAACTTAGAAAATGTTACAAAAAATATATCAACTGCCCCAAATGAAACCCAAAAAGTGTCTGTTGAAACAGATATGACACAACAAGAAAAAAATGACAAGGAAATACAAACCACTTTGATGAAAGGAAAAGCTAATGAATATCATATGTCTCTAAACTTACCTAAATATCCTGTTTCTGTTAACCTAAATACTCTTAAAAAACAAAACAGGAAAAGGAAATTTAGAAGATTTATAAGAAAATCTAAGTTTAAGAAAGAATCTAAACCTTCAAAAGAAAATAAACTTAAAGATAAAAGTGGTGAGCAGATATCTGCTGCTGAAAGTTTTGAATACATGCCTGCTCATATATACCACCAAAACCAAATAAATGATCAACATGAAGTCACTGAACCATCTCGGGAAGGAGACAATAAATCCAGTCTTGAATCAAGTGCTGGCAATACTACTGACTCAAGGAAAGGTAAAAATTCATTTGCTAATGACTTAGAAAAGTGTTTAGATCTGTTAAAAATGACCTTGAATAAAAAGCACACTGACAAAGAATTAAAGAAAAAACTTGTTAAAGAAATAGTTCAAAGACTTTTAAAGAATAGGTATAAAGATGATACGGATAGCACAGATTTCTTGTCTGGTCTAAGTTTTAGCAGCAAGAAATTAGATATGGGCCACACAACAACAAGTACCTCAGATAGTAATAACACAGCAGAAATGAATTTCCTGAAACCCAAAAAATCTATTTTGCGTACTGATAAATTCAATTCCAAAATCTTGCCGTCCACTTCACAAAGCACGCCGAACCTACCCTCCGTAATTAAGACTGAAATAAAAAATGTTACTAAAACGCATGTTTCTTCAAACACGGATTCTGATCTGGCTAAAGACGCAAAAACCTCATCAGAAGAATTATACCAAAAATATCTTTTAGCACTACGGAGAGAGCAGGCATACAAAAATCATTTAAGAGACAAAGAAGCACTTTTCAAACAAAAACTAGTTGGCTCTGACAATATACTTAATAAACAAGATGTCAAAGCACATAATAGGATCAAAGATTTGATGAAAGACCTTGTTAGAAACAACTATGATGATGGTTCAGGTGATGCAAGTAAATTGGAAGGTTGTTCCAATAGTCATATTGATTTAAATGTTCAAAATCCTATTAGGAAACACAGAAGCCATTCAGTGTTTACTTTATCTTCTGGAACATCAGATAACCAACAAAAAGCAAGCCTTAAAAAGACAGAAATTGGGGCTACACATGCAACTTGCAGTAAGACCAACAAACATTACTGTTGCTGTCCTTTTCACACAGTTAATAAGCTTGGTGTAACTGACAGTGCTGTGCAAGTGAATATCCTATGCCATGAGGATAAACATCCTGACCAACATCCAATTAATCCTAATCAGAAGCGATTATGTGGAAAATGTTCAACCTTATCCCCTAACACTAGTAAATTTGTAACAGACATAAAAACAAATGATATTAGGTATGTATGTTTGTGCAAGGAGACAGATGATCAAGTTCCTGATAATATTCTGATTTATAAATGTTCTCGGCTAGACACCGGGGTCAGTTTAAAATCCAATAAGACTGAGACCTCAGACTGTCCTAATATAATATATAAAGAAAAGAAAGACAAAGAAAATATTACCATGTCTAAAAAACCTACTCCTAAAGGTAAATTGTTAAAATATGAAGTTTCAAGCACAAAATCATCTCAAACTAATTTGAATTTAAGTGAAATATTACGACAAAAGGGCAGTAACAAAAGCCCTGCATCTGCTTCAACAGTACAAGAAATCCCTTCCAATGTACTTGATTCTATAGATAAAAAACTAAAAAAGAAAGCTACTAAATTAGTTCATGAAGCAATACGTTGCACACAAACTGATATTACTATAAATCCAAAAATTCCTGATCCTACTTATTCTGACATTCAAATTATAGATAAAAAGGACTGCGCAAAATTAATAAGTGAACATTTTAAAAGAGTTTCAGATGACAATATGAAAACAAGTTCTGATGACCTTACAGATTTAAAGACTGATAGCTCAGACAATACCTTAAACAAAAACGTATCACCAGCTTTGTGTTGCAGTGAGGAAGAGAAGAGAATTAAACCAGTCATAGAAGCTAGTTCATCAAGTAATCTTGGGAGCCAATGTAATTTACTGAAGGAAAGAAAATATTCTATTCCTATAGAAGGTACTAACATGACGCTTAAAGTTAGTTTAGGTGACACAGAAGTTTTATCACACACTATACCAAAGACATCCTTACCGGTTTCTTCTATTGACAATGTTATCCTTGCATCGAAAAACACTTCAACAGAAAAACCTAAAAGCGTTGACAACTCTACATCTCTGATAGAAGAGTGTTCAGTTGGTGTACAATCAAATGACAATAATATATTTAATGACTTTTATAAACAAAGAACAGTTAAATCTTCCATTACACAGGAGGTACCTAAAAATAATTTAGATATCATAAATTCTGCAAGAAGTAATTGCGAAGGACGTATTATTTACAATACTTATCCTAAAGCAGATAAAACAAACACATTGAAACCTTTACTACGTTCTAATACTGACACTGGTAAGATGGAAAGAGGTTCACACGTTACATTTGACGAACTTAATAATAATAAAGAGCATACAGCTGCTTCTTCTCTAAAGAAAAAAACAATATCAGTGGCAACTGCCACTCATGACATTAGCCTTGTTAATTTAAAAAAATCTTCACAAAGTAGTAAGGAGCCCGAGAGTTCAAAGTCAATATCTGACTGTGAATCACAAACAAAATCCTCAAGTACAAATGCTGACAGTGCCAAAGATGATGTAGCAAAAGATCCTTTGATCGATTTAATCCAAGGTATTACCAAGAGATATTCTAAAACCGACATAGAAAGGAATAAAAGGAAAAAGTGTTTCAAAGAAATTATTACTGTTCTTAACTATTTATTGGATACTGAGGACAGCTCAGATCGGGAACCAAAGTCTGGTTCATCTACAGAAGACCCGGAGAAAGTTGATAAATTAAAAATGAAAAGTACAAAATCTGTACCCACAAAGCTATATGTTGATAAGGCAGTCCAACCATCAATTGAACCAAAATTAAATAAACATACTGAATCTTCAGGCTTGCCAACATCTACTGAGTTCACTACTTCCACTGATTCAACGACGTGCCAAGTACTTAACAAGATAAAGAAGGAATGTGATAAATATCATCAGAGACGCTGTAAATCACACGTAAGCAGGAAGTGTGAGGAATCCAGCAGTACATCTATGAACTGCGATCAGTGTAGGCGTGTCCATCATTGTTATTGCAAAGGTTCCAAATGCAAAAAAGAAAAGTCAAGAAAGAAATGTGTCGCGTACAATTTAATACTGCAATCGGATAGTTTAGTTAGCGAAGAGACCATCTATGAAAAGAACGATCGCCCGTTGCGGAATATAATAGTAAAGGTACCGAAACGTAAATACGAGAATGTGCCATTTAGAGAAGTGTCGGCGAAATTCGAAAGGGCGATGCAGCACATGCCCCACTGTCCAAAGGTTCATAGGTCGAAGAGTTTACCGGATGATAATGACGCGTCGAGTACCGAGGATATGATACGACAGACTCAAGCATACTCTTTGAAGGAGTACTTGGAAAGAAATCGTCCAGATTTTGTAGAGAAAAGCTCCCAGCGCCAAAGCTGTTTGAAGATGATTAATGAAACGAGGTAATTATATTTTTGCAATTATTCTTATAAAATACCAAAGCTTTTTCAAGTTGTCACAATTTTAACTATACTTCTTGGATATCAATCAAAACATAGACAAATGCAAGAAGTGAGTTACATTAGTATCATATGCATATTATGTAGGAACAAAGTTGGGAGTCTCGACCATTCTTGTTTGGCTAAGTTTTAATTTGTGTTACCCAACAGGTCACCTGACACCACTCCTAGAATGAATATGATTGTCGTCCACACACCCAAATGTAATACTGGCCGTTGTAACGGAAATTGTTCTATGTATTGTGTGCCAAATAACTGTGCAAATTCCTATCAAAATGTTCACTGTTTGCCAGACCAAGTTACCGGCACCGGTAAGTCTGTAATTGAAATATCAGTCAGAGATGTAGTTGTTCTGAGTAATACATTTGGGTGTTTGGTAGCTATTTTAAGTACTTTTAGAAGCAACTGAGTAGGTACGCTAACAGTAAAATGAACTCAGTACAGGGCTTATTTTGAATATCAGTGGATAATGGAAGTATATGTAGTTTAATGATTGAGTATTTAAGTAGTAAGATTAATATTCCTTCTCTAGCTATGTCGTCCATATTAGTCATTGTACATTTTAGTTTCCTATTCTTAAACATATTTTTTAGAGCACACGAAAGGGCAACCAAGCGCGAGTTGCTGTCGGTGCAAGTGGGTCAACGAGATGCATTGAGTGCGCTATCACAGAATGAACTGCTCACTTTCGCGAAGCAGCTTGGTACCCAGCTCAGAACGAGAAAGCGTAAGCATTTCTACTTACTACGGCATAGTTTGATAAATAAACATACCCTATGTTCAGACATATTTTTAAGTTTCTTGTGTGCTGGCTCAATATGATTTTTGGTATTTGGTATATATTACCAGTTATTTTACTAAATTATTATATAATTTAGTTTGTTTTCTTTTTTATTTCAGTGGCACCCAAATTCATAAGTGAACGGGACATGAAACGACATTCGCAGAAAATTTACAAATCACTGCCAGAAGTTCAACGGAAGAAAGAGGAAATTAAAAAAGAGAGTCAAAAAAAGACTAATTTACTCCTTGCAAATATTTTTAAAAAGGTAAGGGCTTAAAAGATGTAGATAATTCCACGATTACGTGTAGGCACGGTAGAAACAGCACGGACCGCTGTGTGTGTGAAAATTAACTCACACTTATTTGCATATGAGACTTAAGATATTATTCTTTTTCATTTTAAAATGGTTAAACTATTAGGGGCACTCAGGCAGGTTAGAAAGTGCTAGAACTCTACAATATTTTTTGAAGCAAATATATATATATATATAGAGCGGATATAAGAAAAAGGCACAGAGAGGTGTTTTTGTAGTGTGCAGCTGTATAATGATATGATTCAATGTCTTTTTACAGAATCTACAAAAGAAAACTTTACAAGGCGCCGTTAATTTATCAAATTATAGTACAATAATTAAGATTTAGCATTAAAAAAATTCACATAGAATGCGAATGGATGCACATGAATTAAACATCGTTATTTTTTAAAATACATTTATTTTTCTAAAATACTTGTTTTATTTAATCTTGTGCCGTTTCTTTATGCGATGTTCACAATTCTTAATAAAATGTAAAATTATCACTGAATTTTGTAAAGTTTTCTTAAAATCGAAAATAAAATGAAAAAAATTTCGACTCGGGCAGGACTCGAACCAGCCTTGTCCTTGTTCCGGGCTGGTTACTTTTGAGTCCGAGCCACGAGTTGGTAGAGCAACAGCACGGAACGCTGCGGCGGCGGGTTTTACCCCCCCCCGGGGCTTTTTTTTTTTTTCATTTAGTTAAGTTATATAGTGCCTCATAGTTCAAAGCATGTAAAAAATATTAATGTTTTCAAGTTTATACATAGTTCAAAACACAAAATCTAGTTACTACTGCCTATACATTTAACTTCTTTGTATTCCATAATGATTGGTTATGTAGGTATGTACGCGCCTTTATCGTATAGTTTATAAACTTATACATTTCGCCTTTTAAACCGTTAAAAGTAGTTTATTTAAATGTGTACTACTCGTGTAAACTAGTTTCTTATAATACAGTAGAACTTCTATAAGTCGAATATCAAGGGAGACGCCAAAAAAATTCGAGTTATAGAGTTTTCGACTTGGAGAGAATTTCGACTTAGGCGGATTTTGATTCGACATGAAGAGGTTGAGATTCATTCTTATAAATTTTGAGTAAGAGAGGTAAAATACGTTTGACAGCACTCATGTTTACAACAATATTTGTAAATTGATGTACAAATTGATATGTATTGCAGTAGAACCAAACTACTTCTGACAACATTTCACTCGAAAACAAATAACTTGCATTCAAATGAAATCAAAACTAATAAAATGAAACACCTGAACAGGTCATGCAAGTAAACACTTGTTAATGTGAGTCATAAATTCGTAGTAATTCTATTCGTTAATTGAAAATTCCTAAAGTCGGTAACTTATTTGTATTCGAAATATAGATGTAATGCGTCTAAAATAATAGAGTTGTAAAGGTTGTAAAATAAGACGTTGCTATTTTCGAGATACACAGGTAAAAATAATTTTTACGAGTTATGGAGGGATTATATGTACCGAATTGGCTTGGAGGGACTCACTGACTATTTCGACTAATAGAGGGTTGAGATTTCGAATAACGGAGGTTTTGGTGTTTGAAAGGAAGGGAAACAATTTTTTTCGAGATGTGAGGTTTTTCGAATTATCGAGGTTCGACTTAACGAGGTTCTACTGTACTTATCTTTATCGTGTAAACATCTGTGTAACATCATACCGTTGTCCTTGACGTAAGTCAATTGTCAATTTTGAAGTGAGCTGTAGTTGAAAGAACCAAAAATTCAATAGTAGATAATTTGAGGTGATTTATTATTGTGTTGTAGTTGTACTATAATGAATTAGAAATGTATATACTCAAGAATTGTGCTTAAATATCCAAATGCGAAATGGACGAAAACGATTTCTTCAGACAGACAGTTCAGCATTTAGCGAAATGCTTATCTTGTCTGAATCCAACTCCTTGGGAGAAGGTAAGAATGGTTTTGCAACCTTGTTTATTAGGATTACGAAACTAATAATTAGCCACTAACACAAATCAAGACGTTACAACATGTCAAAATTAACTTTCGATAGTTTAAAGTTTATGACCTCATCTTATGACATAAGCATTATAATTAAACTTGTGGCAAATCTCATAATTTATATTTCAGTCCTTGAAAAATTATATTACATGCAATACATAAAAAGCATGAAAAGAACGTTATCGCAATAATTGTCCTATTTGGATTGAAAATAAATAGTCATTTCATTTTTTACAACTGATTGAAAATATTACAAAAAGCTACTATTTTGTAATATTATAATATACATGCCTTTACAATTAAAACCAAACATAAGGGCTATTTTAAATAAAGTATTATTAAATATTCTACAATTAAATCTGTATTAATTTTTTGTTACACCCTTCTAATTAACAAAAATATCAAATAAAAAATTGGCAGTACAAAAACGCCTCTATTTTCTTACTTATTGAGAGGTTATGCTTTCAGGTGAACACTCTGTTTATGCTATGCCCTCAAGTCAGTTCACCATTTATTGTGACACCTCGCAGTCAAGAAGCGAGTATTGCACTTGGTCTTTACTTTCTTCAAAGTGGCCTACAACACCAAGAGAAGCTCCTGCCATATTTCCTGAAAGTACTTAAATGTCTGACTAATGCACAATTCCAAGAACCTATGTGTCGGACTAAGGCTGGTGATCGTAAGTATGGGCCCTTTTTCCTTCACTTTTATCAATATATATTTTTTCACTGCCAACTAACAGAATGGCTAGTTAATAATTTGTATCTGACACTTGACTTTGTACATGTTTTCTACATTTTGAGGCCTTTTTGCCATTTTCTCCAGTAGTGTTATACAATTTTGTTAGAAAATAATATATCAATACTAGCTGAGCTGGCAAACATTGTTTTGCCAAATAAATAATAATATCAAATTTGGTGAAAAACGGGCCCGCCTTTTTGGGGGGGTTTTTTTTCCCCCCCCCCGGACCAAAATTTTTTTTTTTTTACATATTGTCAATAGATAATATACTGGTTTTATACAAATGTTTTTTTTTTCTTTTTAGGTATTCCAATGTCTGAGAAATTTAGCTTTTGCCTCAATACCTTACTCTCAGATGTCGCGTCTAAGAACTCATCTCTACGTGAAGATATTATTACAGCTCAAATAGAGCTTATGTCAAATTTAACAAAAATTATAATCACATGTTTTGAGAGTAAAGATTATGCAAACACAGTATCTAAACTTCAATTATGCAAGAGTGCAGTGCCCGTACTTATTGGATTAGCAAGGTCCATGGGCCGTTATCCCACAGTTGAACCTTCGCTGCTTTGTCGCCTTTTCCCACAACCCAGCAGTCCTATGCGATCCAAGGAACCAGAACCGAATTTTGAATATGCTACCCTGGATAAAAAGCGTCGTTTCAACCAGTTTAGGCCGATTATACCGCGATCTTTGTCTGGGAATTTAAATCCCAATACAGAGATTGCAATCGAAAATGGTTCCGATACAGTTGACAGTGGTCGAGGCACACTCAAACGCAGTTCTCTACAGAGTTACCATTCAGTACCATATGACCCGACAACATACTTCTTCCATAAGTTCGGTTCTAGTTTCAACCAGTTCCCGCATATGCGGTTCCCGGAATCACCGGAAAAGAGGATAGGGGTTCCCTTCTATGTTACATATTTGCAGTCTATATTGTCTCTGGCTAAGAAATTGCTCACGAGGGATCTCCTGGCGTTTTTGGATGAGGAGGCGGAGGATATACACGCTTCTGGGCAGATACAAGTGAGTCAAAACTTCTTAGTAGTGTTTTATGAAACAAGTTACATAAGACTCATATTGCATACATGATATATTAACTTTATTATTTACAAAAGGATTCAAAATATTCAAAAATATACATTTTTAAAACGAATACTGTATGTTTATAGGTATTCCCATACAAGTCTTTCTCGGAGACACTAAATTTAGTTATGGTTACACTTCTACGCGATATTTTGCAACATCAGAAGGACTTACCGGGGCCATTTACCAAGGATGTTCAGGTAGGTATCAGGTTCAGCTATACAATGAATCTCTTCGAATGCTGTTATGTGTGTACATTATTACGTCTTATAAGTAGATTCTCATTAAAAGATGTCTCTTCAATATCAATCCTTCTACTACTTCTTTCAATAGGTGTTTTTTTAATAGGAATTCGTAAAATGTCTCTTCTTAAGCGGGCAAACAGAGCTGCAAAGCCGACATCATGATGCATCAGAGAAGGAGGACAGAGAAACAAACTTTGCCACTGTTAATAAATTCAAAGTCAATGTGATGGCTAATTCAGCGTGTGTGGACCTTTTAGTTTGGGCTATTGGTGACGAAACAGGTAAATATCATTTTATTAATAAAACTGAAGTAAAGGTACTACCAGCTGGACAGCAAATTTTGCTGCGCACATAAGCCATAAGCACTACCTATTTTATTCTTCAATCGACAATTTGTACCGCTACTGTATATTTTTATTTATTAAAATATCTATGCAGATAAATATAAATCTCATTGATGCATTGCTATTCTTAAGCGGGCGATTATTCTAAAAGAAATATTAAATCTAAAAGAAAAATTTAACATTAATCATAAATTAAAGTTAATGTAAAAAAAAGTCGTTTAAGATTTTTAAATCATCAAATAATTTATATTCCTTCAACAGTTATTAATAGTATTTTGGATATTTGAAATTGTTGCCTTATCGTTAATAAGAATTTGCCATCTTGTATATTATTACGATTTGACGTACCTACGTTATAAAAGGACCTTGATTTTTTATAATTCACAATAAAGTAATTTTGTTTTATTAATGTACAGTGGACGAAGATTATGACGTTCCGGCTTTAATAAACGCTCTTACGATATTAATAGGTATTTCGTTTGTACGTTGCCCCCCTCTGACTAACTAAGAATGTATTAAGTAGTGTATACTTCAAATACATATTAACGTAACGTCCAAGAAAAATAATGTATTCATGTATTCCGATAATGATTTTACATAAATAAGACACATCTGTGTGTGTGTTTGTGTTTGTTAATAGATTTAGTTTTTTTACGTTTGAGCAAAACAAAACTCATTATAAAAGTACTAACAATCATTATTCCGATAAGTAAACTCTAGCTTAATGGGCTAGCTCTCTCTCTAGCTTAATAAATATACATATCTAAAAATTGTGCTAATAAAGGACTACAAACTATAATTTATCTCCTTCATTGTTCATTCCTCCTGTTTGTGACATAAAATTAAATGAAGAAAATGTTCTGCAAATATGTTTTTACTTCTAGAAAACTCTTTTTTTCGTATTTTCACGTTTATTGTTAAAATTTAGATATGGTTAAAATTTTCTAGGTGCAGACTCACTTTGTGGAAGATTAACGGAGAAAATAAATTCCAACCATAATCACAAACTGATACTGGCACATATGCCACTGTTGATGGTTTGCTTAGAGGTGAGTTTTTCACCTTGTATCAATTAATCTCTGTAAAGGTAGAATCGTAAGTTATATAACTAAAAAGTCAAGAGTTTTCTTGATATAAACTTGGCCTTCATATTTTGAAATTTTACTTTTTTATTAAATAATTATGGTTACCTATTTAAATTTGTATTATTCACATAAACTAGAAACTACTTCTCATTTTAGATGACGATAGCAAGAATACATAAGTTGCATTAAGAGATATATCATAAACGTAGATATATTATAAGCTTAAACTTAATTATTAAAGTTAGATGTCTTAAGCTTTAAAATGTTGCAGGGTCTAGGTAAACTAGCTACGAAATTTCCCACAATAGCTAATACGTCGATATACTGCTTACGAGATTTTCTCGTGACTCCGTCGCCCATACTCTTCAAGTTGCACAAGTTGGAGCTTGAGAGGTCAGGAAAGGATCATATGAAGGCGTCACGTATGTATTTAATCTTTACAGTAAGCTCTGCCCGTGGTATTCATGGCATTTCATTGGTTAAGATTTTTACCTAGGATGTATACAGTATATACTATACAATGCGAAGACTCTGCCGACTTTGCGTCTAGGGTAAAAATGCCTTGATGTCATTAAATTAGCTCACGACATATTTTTCCAGTTCAAAATAAGGAGGTTCCCGGTGTAAGCGAAACTGGAGCACCAACGAAGTCAACACCGTTCGAGAAACTTCGGGACGCGGCCATAGAGAATCTGTGCGTCGCGCTAGACGCTGCGTTATCTGTGGACCCGTATTGCGTTCCCGCGCTTGTGGGCTCAGTCAGTAACCGACTGTTTACAGCTGAAACCAGTGATAGGTATGGTTATTCTTTTTCCTAGTGGTTCGCAAAATTGGAGATCTATTTCAGTTAAAGAAAGAAAGGATAAAAAAACAAGCAGTGATGTATTTGAATTCCATTATTTCAATAACAGTATAGCGTATTTTATGCTATTTTATTATGTATGCATTTATATAAATGTTTATAAAAATGAATAATGCAAATAAACAAGAGAAATATGATTGTTTACAGCGAATCGTCGTTAATCAGCACAAACATTGTGATAATGTTAGGACACGTCGCTGTAGCATTGAAAGACACGCCAAAGACAACAGACACAATATTACAATTCTTCCAACAGAGGTACTGTATTCAGCGTGCTAGTAAATTAGCACTACCCATTCTAATTTCTTAGTCTGTGTTTAAACTTAGTCTGAGTTTGTGTGAAAGAGACAACATTCCATAGTTTTTTGCATTTTTCTTACTTTAGTTTTTTGTTACTTATTGCATATTTCGTAGGTTGCTTTATTTTTATGAAGAGGACAGAGAAGCACGTGCTTCACATGATGAACGGTGAAATACTCCAGCCATATAATATCTATGCAAATCCGCTGTCACGATTATATTTCATTGCGTTTTCATATGTGGACGGTGGTTCGTGACCCGTATGCAAATTCGATATTCCTACCGCCCATTTAATATCAGTAAAACGTACCCATTGTTTATATTTTTCCGCCTTTTATTTTAGGTTATGTCGTTCCCCTTCTTCCTTGGACACCCTGATAGTAGATCAGCTGGGTTGTATGGCGCTGGCGAGTCCAGAAGGCCCCGCTCACGATGAGATCATGCGTATGTTTACCGTTATTACCGTGGAAGCTGCGAGCGCCTCCTACCAACATACAGATGACCGTAAGCAGTATCGGTGGGTTACTAGTTACTACTATATAAAACTACAGGCTTTGTTGTCAAATGTGTCGAAATAAATTAATATTAATGTTATCAAGATGCACCTGTGTTCCAGCATTATTTAAGTAAAACCTTAAGTATTTTTTTACTATTATAAAAAATTTCACGAACTTAAAATTGACAGAATATGTACAGAAATTACATCATTTTAACCAGTAACAATAATTTAAATAAAACACTAACGGTTTGAAATGCGATATATGTTTGTTAAACTTGTTTGAAAATTTATTTAACTACGGTCTGACGTTTCGGATGCTTTGCAGCAGGCTCCGGGGAGTTATCATAAAAAAAAATAGTTATAAAGAATAACATTTATTTCTAGATTGAGAGAAAGTATTTCTATATATTTTGCCTGAGACGTTATGAAGAGTGGGCATTTCTGTCTTTATATCACTTACGGTAACTATATCGATTTTGTACTACATGACACTTATATGTAAAATTACAGACATGTATCGGGAGCGGTGCTGAACGCGCTCGCGAACATAGCGGCGAACGTACGCGGAACGAACGCGAGGCATGAGCTGTTAATACGCCTTTTAGAATTGTTCGTGCAACTAGGCTTAGGGGGTGAAAGGGCCACGGATAGGTCTCCAGCGCCAGTCCTGAAAGCGTCGGGCAGTGCTGGGAACTTGGGTGTCCTAATACCGGTTATTGCGGTGAGTTAAGGTCTTTCTTAAGTAAAAGAAAAGGTTAAACGCATTTGCTAGATTTAGCGTGGTCTTGGGTACACATTTTTGGAATATAGAAGATAGTTTTGTTCGAACTGGACACAGAAGTATGATCTACTTACTACTGACTATTGATACATATACAGTAATGTCCCTGGCCCATACTCCATATAGATAATGGGAATAAACTTTTATGACCTTGTTGTGTTATTAGTTCCATTGTTTGCATGTCTACATATTCTAGGTATGGATGCATAATTGCGCGATCTTCGTATCTTCGCGTCTATGCAGTTTTTACTACAACACATGTTATTCATTATAAATATTATATAATAATAATATAAGGTCTAATAAGGTATACAATATACATGTTGGAAAAACTGACTTTGTCAACCTTGTCTAATTTATTATTACACATTTTCAGGTACTAGTCAAAAGGTTACCACCTATAAAGAATCCAAAGCCAAGACTACACAAGCTTTTCAAGGACTTTTGGTTATACTGCGTCGTCATGGGCTTCACGGCCGCCGAATCAGGTAAATATGACCAAGATATATCTGGAATATATATTAATTTGCTCGAATCTCGACCTAATTACGTATAGAATAAAGCACTTTCCATTAAATGACACAAGAGCTCTTTTATAGTTATTCGGATGAGTTATTGTTGTTAACGCGCTCACAAAAATGTAGTTTGATATTTTTACAAAAAGTGATGGTTATTTACCCAAATGTTAATAAAAAAAATTTGCGCAGTAATCTAAAACTGTACTACTCACTTAAACTTTGTTAGCTTAAAAATAAAATGAACGCTACGCAGACAGCAAAATACCTCGAGATTATAATAATAAATAAAATAACAATGCGTAATTTCAACTAAAACTCATCCGCCATCTTGAAATATTCTATCTTTACTTAAATTTGATTATTCTCTTCTATGGCCAATCCTGTAGCTATGCGAAAGCGTGAGTAAACATGCTTCTAGATTCTTAGATTTCATGTCGTTTGGTTTGGTTGTGGTTTTGGCTTGAAGTTTGCTACATAGTGACTCTAGCTATGAATTGAAAGGCGAGGGGATTGGTCCTCAAAATTACGTGAACTGTGCCTACGCTGTTTTTATATTGAGTTTTTTTTTAAATATATTTAAAGGACTATGTGAAGTGGCTGACACGATTCTTGGCGGTTCAACATAGAATGAAGTAATGCTGTATCTAAAACCCAGCTCTATGTGTTACGCCCCTTTTGTCTAGACCTACTTCCTAGCACAAACAGATATTTTTCACCCCTCATCCTTATTTAAATTGTCTGTTACCTTTATCCTTAGACCTCAAGATTCGTGTCTTCCGTATATTATTCTTAAAACATTATTTGTTAGCGTTTGAAGTTAAGGAATCTTTGTATAGTAGTTGTGTGTTAGTTCTTGTTTATATTTAGTGTGTTGTTGTGTTATTTTGCAAAAAGAACTTGAGTGGTTTTTGAGTGACTGAGAGATTGTGTATAGAGCAGTAAATATTTCAACTTTAGTATTGGGTTTTCATTAAAGAATGATATCTTTTTCTTAAATATGGTTTCGATTATTTTTCTTATACTAATAAAATTGGAAATCCTCGTAGTATTAAAAATTGTCGTTTACTGAGGCACGATACTAAAAATATATACGTCAACTATATTTCTTAAAATAATAGATCTCTATCTCAGTGTTTAGTAAGTACTACCTTCGTAGGAAGATTTATTAAAACAGCATTTAAGCAGTCTATATATATGAAATATATATCTAAATGTTCTAGTCATACACAATTACATAAGACTGTGAGCATTATTTTGCTCATTGGCCTTACAATTTATTTGCGTATACCATTACCATGTAGTAAATTTACTATCTCGATAGAATATAACTTTTTATCCTCAAAGAATCAACGTACATATTTCAAAAAAATACTAAGTCTGTTTAAAATTATAAATCTATATTAGATATACCGTACGTAAGTAGAAAGAAAAGATTTTTATAGCTGACCATTTGACGTGTACACATTTATACAGTATTTCTATTGTCTATGTATTTATTTATCAAAAAGGCTATAACAAACAAAAATGTCTAGGTCTCTGGCCGCAAGAGTGGTACGCCGGAGTAAAAGAGATAGCAGTAAAGTCACCCTACCTTGTCTCTCAGACTTCATTGCGATCAGAGATGCGGACATACCAGTATACTTCCGCTGTGCGAAACGACTCGGTTTCGATTAATGAGCTGCAAGAATTGAAGACGCAGATTTTGAACCTGCTGGATCATCAGCCGGATGTCACGGTTATAGTGAACAAGCTAACGTTTGCGCCGTGCATGTACCTTCTGAGCGTTTATTGGCTGGAGTCGCTGAGGTAACGTGTGTTTTATGGCCAGGACGGAATTTTAGCATCATTTATTATTGGCGGTAGTGGCGATATGCCCCATCTCCGATATATCTAATAATGATGTACTATTATGGCTTTTTATTATCTTTGGAGCACTACACAAAGAAAAATTTGCTAAACTTTTTTTTGTGAATGAAAATATACGAACGTTGACCTGGTCGGTGTAACGAACCCCATATCTACGCTATTATGGATATTAACAATGGGGAATGCTAAACTGAACAAGATAAATCTAATCTATGGTACGGCTGTTTAAATACCTAATTTAATTTATTATCTTTATAGGGTAGCCAATTCGCCAGAGCCAAGCTTGCAACCGATTATTGAGTACTTAAGCGATACAGCGTTACAGAAAGATAAGAGTGGTATGTGGCAATGTGTTGCTAGGTAAGTAAAGCATATTTTTTTCACGCTGACGACCTAGATTCGATTTTTGCTAAAACTAAATGTTTCGGTCTAGAAAAGACGCACGGGCATCTTATTAAATCTATACTAATACATAAATCTGAAGAGTTTGTTTGTTTTAAAAATCGAAAATAAATTGAAAAAATTTCGACTTGGGCAGGATTTGGACGGCATCGTCAGCTTCCGTCGTTGCTCTTTTAAACTTATTGGTACATGCACCTCTCCGCAATCGAAAATCGCGAGGCGAAAATGTTTTCAATTTATTTTCGATTTTTAAATTATATAGTGCCTTCACGTGCAATAACATGTGAAAAATATAAAAGTTCAAACAATTTGTTTGTTTGTTGAATGTGCTAATCTCAGGAACTACTGGTTCGAATTAAAAAAAATCCTTTTGTATAGGTTGGAGCATTTACTGAGGAAGACTAGGCTATAAAACATATCGTTGTGTCTAATAAGAGCGAAGAAACAGCGGGAAATATCGAAAAAACGGGGTAAAATATATAATCCTTGTGATTTTATTGCATATGCTGTGAAAACGCTTTAAAAATATCTATAACAGAATGATTTCTCTTTAAATGGTCTTAACAAAAGTCCGCGACAGTGTATGGCTATCGTGTAAGATTAACTTGCAAGAAGGAAGGGACACGGAACGTGTTGGGTAACAAAAAATTCTAGGAGGATATTCTCGCCGACTCAGCTAGTAATTTGTAATCATCGTTTACTTTATTTTTACAGAAACGCCATTAGAAAAGTAGCTACCGTTAAAAAAATATTACTTCCATAGATATAATTTATGTACATTATAATTATTTAATTTACATGCATTAAAACGCTTTAGAAAATTTAGAGACGAAAGCATTTTAAATGTATTTATTAATTGGTATCAATAAATATTACTCGTTTGTTGTAGTGTTGGCGATAAAGTGTTTCAAAAGTTCCTCGACGTAATGTCAGCGAAAGTGAAAGATGAGTCCCGGGAACGAGAGCTGGAACTGCACGCACAATTTTTGCTCGTGAATTTCAACCATATCCACAAGCAGATAAGGCGGGTCGCCGACAAGTGGTTAGCGGGGCTCGTTGACAGGTTCCCGCACTTGTTATGGAATTGTCGGGTGAGAAATAACTGTATGGAGTAAACGTAGACGGATACAATTATCCAAAGCCAAAATAGGTCGACAGGGCATCTTGTTAAGATGCTAAGGGCTGGCGTATATCACCTACCATCAAGTGAATCGTCCTTCCTTGTCTGTCATTAAAAAAATAAGAGTATTGTTATTTTTTTTCTTTATCTACAAAACATCTTTTAAACATTTACATAAATACATTCAATTATAAAATTAAAAACTTTGTACTTCTTTTATGTTGTTTAAAAACTATTAATTTCACATGTATGCATATATATATTGTATTGTGTAAATTAAAAAACTTTCGATCGAAAAATTTAATGATGCGGGCGGGACGTAATTTCCACCTTAATCACTTAGTGTTATGGTTGAAATTACATTGCCGAAAAATGTGCATGTACTGATGAAGAAAAATCAATGAGAGGGGTGATATATGGATATATGGAATAATTTAAAAAAGCAGTAGAGAACGCTGTGTATACCAGTTCAAGTCCCGTCCTTGATTAGCTGATTTTGCAATTTAGGAATTCTTTTTTTAATTATTATTTCAGGTTCTATGGTCAATGCTGGATATCTTACAAGTGTTAAGTTTTAGTTTGGAACTGGACCCAAATCAAGAGACCCCATTATTGAAAGTTCCCGATACAGACTTCACGTTGCAGCTTCAAGATACTTTAGAAGGGAGAGAGGTAAAGAAAATATAAATAATTCGGTATAGACGGATCGGAATAGGTTGAATATTTAGAATCAAGTTAAAATGCAAAGAAATAAAGGTAAAAAATGTCTATTTTAAGTATTACAGATAATAAATAGAATTCTAAAATCTATTTTTCCAGAAATACAATGCTTACATTCAGAGTCTTTAATAGTAGTAATTAAGAAAATATTTTTTAGGTAATTGTGAAAGATTTCGCTGACCGGTGCGAAGGGATTGTGAAAGAGGCTATGAAGTGGGCCCCTCAGTCTACACGTTCGCATCTACAGGAATATTTAAATCAGGTATTTGCTGTTTTTCCTTTGATATTATTTTACTGTACTTAACTCTATTTTATTGTTAAACATTAAGCTCGGGAAACTTTAAATACAATTTTAGCATTTTTTTGAAAAACTTACATAGGTTAGTAAGAAGTAGGGTAGTAAATTGTGAAAAAAAAAAGGAAAAAACCTACATGTAAATTGTACAGACACAATACACCAAATGTTCAGAATGACCTACAAAATTTGTGATTATATTGTTATTGATTGGCCAATTTTTTATAGGTTCCCAACTCAACGTTATGGCACCACTGCGGACTCGCCCTAGCAATAGGCGCTTTAATGGGCGCCGCTGGACTGAACAGGGTGTCTACGCCTTTACCACGGGCTGCGTTGGACAAACGACCGCCGTGTGTTACTCAAGACTCGGCCGCGTTGCTCGCTGTTGTATCTCAAAGGAGCCGATACGTTGGAGAGGTACGATAATGCCCGACATTACCATCAACCCTTGAATACTTCCCAATGCTGTTCTATTATTTCTGTATAACTAATGATTATGTTATAATTATATTTAATAAATAACAAAATTGGTTTCTTATTTTGGTTATATATTATATTAGGTTATACAAACATTTAATACTATTTTTATACTAGTACACAGTGTTTAGCTAGTTTAGCAAACGTCGCTCGGTGACTTCACATATATGAATGCATTACGAATGTCTTTTGTTAAAAGTGTACTTACGGTGACAGGTGCGGGGTCAGTGACCGCGGAAGGTGGCGGAGAGGGTGCGTTATGGCGTGTTGGTAGTAGGCTCCACGCAGCACTAAAAGAGGCCTGCTCCAGCGGTAGTGAAACGGCGCACAGGACGGCTTTGTGGCGCTGCACAGCGCTTCTAGTACACGCAAGGGCGTTCTCTATGGGCGCAAGTCACGCTTCGTCGACAGCGCGGGCTTTGCTGCATAGTGTTGGTTAGTCTAGTATTAAAATTTAAATTAACTAGAATAATTTAAAACTTGTTTCACACCAAAGTAATTAATTTTTTATTTTTGACACATTATTCAAATTGTATTAAAAATATTATCCGTAGTTTATGCGAGTAGTTCACATTTAGTTCGCCAAATACCCACTACGACATAAAAGATGCCGCTAGCGTAGCAATTTTACTTTAATAATAGAGACACCCTCCATCTTTTGTCTGCCCGTGACCATGGCTGCTGCAAAGAATCCAAAACGTCGGGCCATAGTTAAAATAATGTTCAAATGAATTTAAAATGTATATAAATAGAAAATAGGGTTCAAGTTCTGCGATTCAATGTTATAAAGAGGCAAAGAAAAGTTAACACGTGTTATCAGAAAGTAGAAACTGTTATATTTCTTTTATTAGCATGGTCTCAAGTCGACGTGTTCACTGAGGACGCTGTGACGTCGGCTGTGGAGTGCTGGCAATGGCTGACCACTTCACGGCCTGACTTGGAACTGCGATTAATGCAGGAGATATTCGCCGCTTGGCAGAGCACTGTAGATAGGAAAATGGGACTCTTCTCCAAACAAGCCACTGAAATTAGTCCACTCGCTGCGTATGAAGGTATCGATATCATACTAAAGCATGAGTTATATGACAAAATTTACTGATACAGAAAGCCACATCTTAATAAACATATTACTATGGTATTTTAACTGTAGGCATCTTACAACAACTACAATCCTGTTTTATTCGATTTTGTTCATTACGTTTACTTGTGGTCTATAAATAATCTTTTCCATAGGTGCAAAGTTGGAACCACGGCCTCCGTTTGTAGCTCCTCACGCGGTGTGGGTTCGTTATCTCTGCGAAGTAGCAGAGACTGCAAAGTACAATAGCCTTGAAAAGGTGGAAATGTTGGCTAGTCTTCTGCACAGGTATTTATTTAGCAAATACTTTAGATACCTTATCATAATTTACATAACATACATGTAAAATGATGGGCACATTTTTTGCATGAGAGATTTCTATTATCTTTCAATTCTTTATGGATTGTTTGTTACAGAACTTTACCTATCACAGTTGGCGATGTGAAAGATCATATAAATCGACATGTGGATGCTGTAGGTGTTCGATTCAAGTGAGTATATATATTGTCGTATTTTACTCTCAAATGCTGCAGCCTAAAAAGAATTGTTAGATATTGTTAAATAATTTAAAAAATTAGCAATAAATTTTTGGTCCTTCGAGTCAGTCACAATATTAATCGAGATTTCGCTCATTTATTATCGATTTAGTTTATATTGACCTTATTGTTATGTAATATAAGATAGAAACAGATACAATATCTAATCCAGAGTAAATAAAGAATATGAAATTTTCCAGACTTTTATCCTGTGGTTTGTCTCTCCTCCAAGGCGATATACTTCCCCGTTCACTAGCACGCAACATCTTGCGAGAGCGCGTATATAGCGCTTGCCTCGACTACTTTTGTAGAGGTCTACAATGCCCCTCGAAGACTTCTGGAGCACTAAGAGAAGATATCATATCCTTAATAAAGTTCTGGCAACTCATGCATTCAGATAAGAAATATCTAAAAAGCAGTGATATTGGAGGTAAAGAAATGTATTATAACTACGAGTTTTGCTTGTAATAAATTTCAAGTCGTATATTTCGAGTCATTTTTATGAGAAAAATACTAATCGCTCTTAACTTGCAATATGTATATGCTTCACCTCGTGTACACGGTGTGACATTTTACTCCGTAAAGACATTAAGTTTATTATTGCAAGCCAGTGTGAAACTGATTAATAAACATTTGTTTGCCTATTTTCAAATGAAATTTAAACGGTTTAAGTTAAGTTTCACTTTTCAGCGGACTTCGAACTTATGCACGGGCCGAGTAGCCAAAGCATATACACGTCGACTTCGCCCACTGACAACCGCTCCTCTGTGAACAGTAGCGATATCGGTAATCGACAGACCAGTGGATGGATTAACACTGCAAGTATTTGATATACGCATTAATTTAGGTCCAAAGTGCACAACATAGACTGTTGACAAACATTATTGCTAACTTTCCTCAAGGATTTCAGTATTTCTATTGGCAGACATTAAGTAACCTATTAAACTGTTAGCTTCTCGCAAAAGGCGTGTCATGATAATTCTGTACAATTTTAGATTAAAATAATAAATATTTCAAATCAAAAATTTCAAACAATTAAATTATATACATTTATTTTGAATTTATTCAATATATTTTAGGTTTAAAAAATATCTAGTGCTCAAAATCTGTCTTGTAACCTTTTTTTAAAACCCTGTACATATTTTAACCTGATTTGTCATAGTGGACAGACGCATCCCTTCATAAAATAGGGTTATATGTATAATATGTTATTTCGTTTTCCAGGTACCAATGTCCACAACGACACTAAGCAGTGGCGCTGGAAGTATAGCTGGGAAAAGGTCTAATAGAAGTGTGAAACCGCCAGCCAAGTCTCAAGACCCGTTCGTCAAAGACTATGTTAAAAAAAGAAACCTTATTTTGGAGTTAATGGTTTGTTTTATCAGGCATAGATCCGCAGAATAGTTACAAAAAAATATGAAACGTTACTTTTTATGGCACTCAAAAACTTATTTTGTAATTGCAAATTTGTATTTTTTTTTAAAAGTTGAACGCTTGCATTGCTTTCTTAAAAATCACGAATTCGATTAGTTTCAAAACAATTCAAAGCGATTTGTAATTTTGGTAAAGAATATTTAAATCAAATTCTGTTATTTTCTTATTCAATACTAGGCAGTGGAAATCGAGTTCCTTGTGACTTGGCACAACCCGCACAGTCGTCCCGAGCAGGCCATACCTGGAGAGGACAATATCACCACCTGGAGATCCAAGCCCAACACAGAGAGGACTTGGCGCGATTACACCAAACTGGCTTGGGACATTAGTCCCACGCTGGCAGTGTTTTTACCTGAAAGGTAGGTACGTTGTTCTATCTTTTCTGTTAGTAGAACTACTAGAAATTGAAGCGTAAAATTTGTTACAATAATGGGATGAAACTATTCCAGTTGAGAAAATCCTACACAATTTTTCAACTCCGAAAAAGAGGCTCTTTTTCGTAGATCAATCTAAGTTATTACTGATTAACGATTAAAACTGAATTCAGGCAGAACTCATAACCTCTTATAAGATGAACATAATAAAACAATAGATCATATAATACATTTTACATTTGTTAGGACCTGAATTAATAGCACAAAATTTCCTTACTTTAATTCTTAATCAAGTTTCTATTGAAATAGCATAATATATTATTTTACAGATTAAAAAACGACAGTATAGTCGCGGAAATAAAACGAAAAGTCCAGTCGCACCCTACATCTGTATGCCACGTACCGCAGGCACTAAAGTACCTCGTCACCACAGAGACGTTGCTCAATGACGCCCATGAGGTAATATCCTATACGTTTCTTTTTTAAATGATTGTTAGTATATTCTTGGTAAACCTTTAGTATACATTTAAGAATTAAGGAGTATGAGAACTAAGGAGTATGTAATGATAGTAAATTAAAAAGCCAAGTATTTTATATTTCTTGATTAATTTATTTGTTTAAAGTTAATGATTTGCTTTTTAACTTTTTTTTTATTAAATTTGATATCTCATTATAAAAGCTATAGTGAAATACATATATCATATTTTCGTTGGATCACTCTGGTTGCGGCTATAAAAACCAAAGCCTCGTTTTATGTTATTTATCGAATCGTATCTTTTCATTCTTCACAGCTAGTACATATGGTGACCTGGGCTCGAGTAAGCCCAGTGGAAGCGCTATCGTACTTCAGTCGCCAGTATCCCCCACACCCCTTATCTGCGCAGGCGGCGGTTTCCACTCTCACCTCGTACCCATCTTCAGCAGTATTACTTTACATTCCACAGTTAGTTCAGGCCTTACGGCACGATACCGTGAGTATATCCTAAAATAATAAAACTTGTCTGTAAAGAGGACGATCGAAGCAATTTTTATACATACTATCTACTATTACAGATGGGCTACGTATCTGAACTGATCAAATCCTTAGCAAAAAAATCACAAGTTGTAGCCCACCAGCTTATATGGAACATGCACACGAATATGTACACTGATGAAGAAATGCACAATAAAGATAGTGAGTACCTTTCTATTTTATAGGAACAGTTTATATCTCAAAATTGTGAATCTGCAAATATATAAACCATATATATACGATAATACATTAAATAACATATTAAAAAATAAGTACTAATGCCCTCATTTATGAATTGATGTAGCTCCCAACATTATTAATATTTTTATGTTATTACAGCTGCATTATTCGATATACTCGAAAGTCTAACGAAGAACATAGTGGACGGTCTCTCTGGCCCCGCTAAAGCGTTTTACGAGCGAGAGTTTGACTTCTTCGGTCAAATAACGAACATTAGTGGTATTATTCGTCCTTATCCTAAGGGAGCGGAAAGGAAGGCCGCTTGCCTAGAAGCGCTTAAGAATGTTAAGGTAAAATTTTGGCCTTCGACACGTCAATATAGAAATTTATCGAAATAAACAAATGCTTGGTATACATTTTCTTTTATAATTATAAATCTTATTTCAGGTGCAACCTGGCTGCTATCTTCCCTCTAATCCTGACTCGATGGTCATCGATATAGACTATAAAAGCGGTAAGCGTGTTACTGTGAAATAGCGATACTTTCGTTTAGAGGTTTTCACCTAGACGAGAACAAACTATAAGAACGCGGCAGCCAGCCCACCTCACATCTAGGACCATTATTAACAATATTCTTAATAAGTAACTACTAATAATCCCCATTTTAGGAACACCCATGCAGAGTGCGGCCAAAGCTCCGTACTTAGCTCGCTTCCGCGTTCGAAAGTACGGAATATCTGAAATGGAGACCGTTGCTATGGCGATAGTTTCTGGAGAAGAACCTCCTGCTGTAAGTAGATTTCGTCATACGATTTTCGTTTGGATTGTCTATTTGTTCAGTTGACTAGAGGGTTAAGATTAAGAACGAATTAAAATCTTAAAATGTTTTGTCTCCCGAAGTTACATAGAATATTGGTAACGAAATAATTTTCATAGAGTCCTATTTTTTTCTGTCTTTACTTAAGTTAAAATCAGTGCCATCGATACACAAATTATAGAAACTTACATTTCTATATTTTATCTAATTTACAGGAAGAAGGTAAAGACAGATTCACATCGATCGCGCACGAGACGTGGCAGGCGGCCATTTTTAAAGTGGGGGATGACGTACGTCAAGACATGCTCGCGCTTCAAGTCATATCTCTCTTTAAGAATATCTTCCAGCAAGTTGGCTTGGACCTCTATCTCTTCCCCTACAAAGTCGTCGCTACTGCACCTGGGGTAAAAATCTTCTTACTTTATTGTTCTTCTCCTTTGCATTTTTGTTTGTATTAATTTGATTATAGATCAATTTCAAATCAAGTCTGTATCAAAGTCATATTGTTAGACACCTAAAGTAGGAATTGGGATACATAAAGTACAATACATCTAGTACACATACAATATTCTGCAAATATTAGTGAGTAAATTTTTTTGCCTCAAAATCGGCACACTTACGCCTCTAGCGGTAATGCAAAGAACTATTAGATTAACACTGATACTTTTTTTATTTCTATATTACTTCGTTCTTGTTTTGCAGTGCGGTGTAATAGAATGTGTGCCAAATGCCAGATCTCGGGACCAGTTGGGAAGACAAACGGACATTGGCATGTACGAGTACTTCATTGCTACTTTCGGGGATGAAACGACTAGGGAATTTCAGGTATACTTCTAAAAGTTGATAAATTACGATTGAAGTCATCATTTACTTTGGAGAATTACCAAATTCCAAAGAGAATCAAGACTAGACAATCGTGTATAAGTGTAAGTTTAAGTAATACATATTGTAATGGAAATATAGTTTTCATAGAATCTATTTCAACACAAGCTTTTCATTTTTACAGCTTTATATAATACCTTCTCAATTATTTTCATGTATTAAGGCTGCACGGAGATGTTTCGTGACGTCGATGGCTGCGTACAGCGTGATCGGCTTCCTGCTTCAAATCAAAGATCGACACAACGGGAACATCATGTTGGATAACGAAGGACATATTATTCATATCGGTAATTATAACCATTTATTGGGGGGTGATTTTTGTTAATTACCAAGTTATGGTGATACAAGTTCTATATTTACAGATTTCGGATTCATGTTTGAGTCATCGCCTGGTGGTAATCTGGGTTTCGAGCCCGATATCAAGCTAACTGACGAAATGGTGATGGTGATGGGTGGGAAAATGGAGGCTCCCCCCTTCCGATGGTTTTGCGAATTATGTGTTGAGGCGTTCCTTGCTGTGAGGTATGTATACACCAAGCTTCAAGTCTACTACAATGAAAGATAAACTATATTATAGAGGCTATTCGCGGAAAAGTTTATTGAGCCTTGTCTCTTTCCCACGATCCACCAACAAGAACCAGAAACAAATTATTTCTGTGCCCTCATTTTTCTTTTCATATTTACTTTTTTGAATTTACTGCCTTTTTTACTAATTCTATGTAGAGGTTTTTAAGACTTGATTTTTTTTTAAGTAAGAGACCTGACATCACATGGTATAAATAAACATTTTGAAATTCCAGGCCATATCAAGAGGCAATAATATCCATGGTGTCTCTCATGCTTGACACTGGGTTGCCATGCTTCCGTGGACAGACGATTCGCCAACTAAGATCTCGTTTCGCTCCGAATTCCACCGAAAAAGAGGCGGCGGCATACATGCTATCAGTAATTAGAAATTCCTTCCTTAACTTTAGGACGAGAACGTACGACATGATACAGTACTATCAGAATCAAATACCTTACTAATTTAGAGTTTACTTGGTATTATTTATTATCTGTGGGAAAAGTGACATTTATGAAGATTTATGGTGTGATTATGTAAATTATACATAAAAAGTACATTTAGAATATATTTCGCTTTAGTGACTTAAAATGCCCGGTTTCAGAATACTTTTTCTCTCTAATTTAGTTTAGATCTCATTTCTATTTTAAAATTAAACGAGTTGGTTTTTAGAGTTACCGAATCGTACGAACTTTTGTGTTTATTCTGAAGTTTTTTGGAACCTACACCTCGCTATATTTTTGACAAAAGCATATAAGCATGTTTTATTTATAACTTTACATTTTAAAGACGAAGTACTCAACTCGTTTGCTTTCTAGCTATTGTAAATCTTGAAGACGTATTAAGAACGCACTTGGTGTGCAAGTTCGTGAACTTAAAGTTGTACTTTCCCCTTGAACTACTTTTTTGCGTTTGCAACTTACATACATATGTAATAAATGTGAAATATTTATGCCTAAGTGTATTAAACTTGAAATTAGATTGATACAGAATAGCATTCGAACCTATGAAAAAAATATAATAATTAAAATGTTTACATTCTGTATATAATATTTATAGAAGCATGTTATAAGTTGAATGTTATAGCAATGATTATACACGCTTAGTGGTTGGGAACTAGCCAAAATTTCGGTCTGGTAAGGCACAGAACATTTAGTCTGTACATAACTGAATAAAAGTAAGTCTCACACAGAAGATATGTGCTCTTTCGACCCTTTTCGAGCTGAGGAACTACAGGTATTGTACAAAGTTGATTGCATTGTTATTCAAGAACAGAAAACTTGTCTACCCACTAAGCGTGCTATGAGAACGTATTGTGATTTATTTTGATGCTATGATTATAGATAATTTATAGTTCCAATTGTTGATCATGTCGATATTCTATTAAATTATAAGAACTACTTAAATGTATCATTGATTCCTAAGTCGTTTATGTTGTAATTTTAGATATATTGTCGGCGACACTGTTTTTACTACTGTTAGGCCATTTTAATACACTACATCGGAACCTTGGCTGAAGTCTTGCATTTAACAGAGTTCAATTATTGTAGTTGTTTAAACTCAAAATCACTTTGAATTTATTGAGGATATACCTGTTTGGTGGTTTGTCTTACACGTGTTAGTAGAATAAATGATAAAGACGGAGCCCTATCAGCTCGGCTGTTTTGTTAACATTGTTACCATTTATTCTAAGATATCATTTCATCGTATACCAATTTTTTATAACAGTGTGGCCGATGTTTGTACCAATATAAATGTTTTGGACATTCCTCTTAATAAATGTTTAGTAAATTGTTGTTGGTATTGCTATATTATAATTATGGTAAAGGAAATATTATCTTTTATTTAAAAATGATATCACCAAAACGAGGCAAATATATTTAGCTGTTATTCAGGTTCTTTAAAATAAATATAATTCATTTATCACATGTATTTAAGAACGATAAATAAAATTCTAATTTCTTAATACATTTCTTAACTTTACCAACATCTAGTTGAGGTAGATGACTTTTATCATGTTCTGGATACTTCTTAGAGAAATTTCCTTCAATCCTGTCTTTTTTGATTTCAGATTTTAGTTTACTTGATTGTGATTTTGCCTCTGAGAAGATTTTAATGAGGTCCGATATGGCAGATTTTGTATAGAACAGTGAATTATCATCTGTTGGCCCTTGATATAACAGAAAAGTGTCATGTCTCATTATTTCCAGGCTTTCTTCATCTGTCTCAATAAGGTTGCTCTGCAAAATAATTAGTAAATCTTAGCCTAAAACAATATGGTCGAGAAGGAGATAGTAAATATAGTCTATAGGTCTGACAATTGATGTTCAAATCTAAGCTTATATCTACATTCTGAATAATAGAACTAGAATAGAAGAAAATAGAATTGATTATGTAATAAAAAGAAACTTCTACATATATTATTTATATGTTATCTTAAGATTCTTAACTAACACATTTTATTATAGCACTCATGTTACCTGTAAACATTTCTGTGAGACTGCCTCCACAGCAACATCAGGGTCATCAAAGTTAGCATTACTGTTCAAATTATCGCATATGCTTATTAAGCATGTTGTAGCTTCTATTGCATCTATATCTCCATTATAATATCTCATAATAAACGCATATGCTGCTAACACATTTATTACATTCACTCTTATTGTTGGGGCTGGTTTAACACTCTGAAACATACAATTTTACAAATCTCAAATGCATCGTAATATAATATGATTAGTCTAGAAATATAGAATATCACTTGAGATGGATATAAGAACTTTTAAACTTCTTACTGTCAATGTGCTAAACTTAGACACAGATTTAATGGCAGGACACTTCTTTAAAAACTCTGTCTCATCAACTTTCTGTATATCCTCAACCAGCCGTTTCTCCCTTCTATACATCCACCATGGCTCCCAATGGGGAACAATTTCTCCGACAGTGCCATTTAAGAGAGCATGAAACTCATTTTTTTCATCATTAGTCAGTGCATCCCAAAGAGAATTTGCATCATCTAAATTTATGTTCTGTAGCCTCGTTTCTAAACCCTCATGGTTTTCGTCATCAGAGTCTATGCTTCCATGATCCGAGGTTACTTCTTCATTATTCATTCGATTAAGAATATCTATCATTCTATTTTTAGAGTCAATATCAACTGAATTCGAAGCTAGTTCTTGGTCAATGCACTCTTTATAGAAATTCTCAGAGCATTCTATATGCTTATCTGATTTGTAGCAGTCAAGACAACAATAAAATACATTACAACGAGGACAACAATATTTACTTGGGTTTTTCTCACATCTGTAATTAAATAATTTTGTATAAAGGGATGAAGCCTTAATAAGGTAGTCTTGGCTCAAGTTTGATCAGAAATAAAATTCGTATTAAGCTTCTACTTACAAGCCGCATAGACGAAGGTTATTTTCCTTGTTTTCTTCGGACATTTTTAACTTTGTAGTTATTAAACACTGGGATATTCCAGCCAAATATAGGTAACCTAATAGAATAACTTGAATATTTTAATTTTGTTATGATTTGAATGAACATTTGTTTACATCGCAGTTCGCGTGAGTAATCACAGATTAATGGTATATTCCTTATTTAAACCACAGGTTAAAGTATGTGTCAAAAACGTTTGTGACATTTTATTTGAGCCACAGATTGACAATTCTAATCCAATTCCATTTATAATATTAAATTTACTTGCTTAGTGTTCACTACAGACAAACAGATTCCGTTTAATTTAAATCCTGCATGTTGGTATTTAATATCCTTATGTAATTTTATCGCTTTTATTATCTCATTTCCATATACAAACATTCTTATGGTCCTTGTTTTCCCGCGCTTATCCTAAACTATTAAAAGGCACAATGTCCGAACCTGAAATCGTTGACGATTTCTACGGTGTTTACCTGTTGTATAACATAAATCCTAAATATAAAGGACGGACTTACATCGGGTATACGAGAGATCCTCTTAGAAGGATAATGCAGCATAATAGAGGAACTTGGGCTGGTGGAGCACATCGAACAAATAATAAGGGACCGTGGTAAGTTAGAAAATTTAAAAATTCAGGCAATTGCTTCTTACTAATAAATTACTTTACTATGTATATTTTTGAAAAAAATAACCTAATTTTATACATATTCTGCTATTAATATTATATAGTACTAATTAGAAAACCAAAATTATTAATAAATAGTACTGGCAGAGCTTGTTAAAGATAGATGTAACTTCCTGTTCTTTTTATTATGCATATATGACTCAAACATCCCAAATCCTTTCAGGAAAATGGTTTTAATTGTACATGGATTTCCAAATAATATTTCGGCACTTAGGGTAGGTAACCCATTTGGGTTTGCTATATGTAAACAATTTAAAACTTGTATGAAAATTATACACAAAAAGAAATTTACCAAAAATCTTAAATATATTGTATTTTTATTATGAGTTGTCTCTTACAAGCTGTGCTTTTAAACTTAATTTAAATTATAGGATAAAGGCTTCTAGAATTTAAATAAGAAATCTACTTAAACTTTTAAGCAAAGGCAATGTGAAATTATACCTTTTTTGTATTTAGTTTGAATGGGCATGGCAAAACCCTAATAAAACAACAAGATTGCAACACTTAGACCTCAAGAAAATTCCTAGAAAAGAAACTGAAATACAATTTAAGATAAGAGTGCTATCAGAGATGCTCCGGGTCGGACCTTGGTATCGACTGCCATTGACAATTCGCTGGCTAGAACAAGATTTTTATCAAGAATTTCCTGTAAGTTATTACTATAAAAATATATATATAGTATAAAAAAAAATAATAGTTACAATTAATATTTGACAATTACTGCTCTAGGAAGTACCTATTTTTTTCTGGTTGAATTTTTATAATAAAAAATTTATCTGCTTTTAGCCTGAAAGGAAAGCTCCACATCACATACCGACATGCTATGGCCCAATAAAAGCCAGAAATCTGAAAATATCTCAATTGCCACCTACGTTATACTCTCTTTGCGATATTTGTTCTACATCTATATATGACAATAAAATGACATGTCTCAATACCAGTTGTAGTTTAGCAGTACATATGACATGTTTAGCAGAACATTTTTTGCCACCAGGAGAGTATGTACCCATAGAAGGTAGATGTCCTTTATGTAAAGCAAATTTGAAATGGGGAGATTTAGTACGGAAGTTGAAAGGCTGCCAATACGCAGACGAGAAAGAGACAGATGAACCTGATACTTGTACTCAGGATAAAGTATTTGTTGATAATAATTCCTGGTTTTTAGACTGTAATGATGATATTTTGTGACATATTAAATTAACTATACCTTTGATTTTTTTACACTCAATGTGTGTATTTTATACATCTTTTCTGCATTGTAGATATAGTATTTAAGATTCAAAAAAAATTTACGACACAACCAGGATTCAAAACCTCCTCCACGGCCATGCTATCAACCCTTACACTCTGTAATTTAAACTTATGGATTAAAAAATATAAAAGGGGAATTATTTTGAACAAATAAAACTTCAAGGAATCTAAAGGGTAGCATTTATAAATATTTGATATAACATGTTAATGAACTCATTGGGCTTATGGTAGGAATGTTGCAATGGTTATGGATTCGATGCCCATTATGTCTAATCAATTTATTATTTCTGAAACAATTATTGGACATCGTGAAAAATAAATTCGATATTAAGTTGGTGGTAAGAATATGAAACCTTAGTCCGGATTACCATCGTCCTCTGAGGGATAAGTAAAGTAAGTTGAATTAAGTTATTAGTTTATGGATTTCTGAATAAAAATAGGGGACGTTTTCACTTTTTACTATGACTATGCTTGCTCTTCTCTGACATAAAAAACAACCTATATTATCGACGCAGTATAGAGATCACTTTTTAATTTTTTATAAGTTCTGATATTCATTTTATGAGAAATTGCGAGATACGTATTAAACCACTTGATAATTATATTCGCGTGACAAACTGCGCGGGCGCAGCGTTCCAGGCGATTGGTGTCAAATTAACTTTAGCGTGCTTTCACTGTCGCGTGAGCACATATACATACTAACCATGTAATGATCTGTTATTTAACGTCGTCATTAAGAGTTTGCCTCTCGAATTAAATACATCTTATTGTTTTTAAATAGAGAGGCAAACTTTCACACGCTAGGCTAAGTAATATTTTGCAGTTTGGTTTAAACAACCATACTAAAAATTATAATAATTTCGTTTCAATTGCATTTACAGCACATTATTTTTTTACTTAAAATATTCTAAAACAAAATTTATACTGTCTTATAATTTTCTATCAATTAAATGTTCTATTTAGTTCGCCCTAATCGGACTTCTACTAACTACTTAACGGATTCTAATGCAGTTTCAATAAATATCAGAGAAGAACCCAACTCACTTTAAGCTTTCTACCACGCTTATTAACGTCAGCGAAAGGATTAAAAATAAATTCGAAACACAACATTATATGTTATTTACAAAATATTGCGTTTATATTATATACAAAATGCCGTAAATCTTTATAAACATAACTTTAACCTTTACTACCAGGTACATAGTATAAGTAGGTTTACAAAAAGAACAAACTTTATCTAACGAGAAGATATTGTATAAATAACATTTAATTTACATAGAAAACAAGTTAAAACTAAATAGGTTATATTAAATGCAGTCAGTTTGGTGTTCCTTACATTCTAGATTAAATTAGTGAATAAATACCTTAATCTAATATTTATAACATCGTATTTTTAATCCCGAAAAATATAAACTTTCATAAATCTACTAATCTTTAATTTTGAAATAACAGTATAATTACGCTATTAATTATATAAAAATACATCATTTGTCAATGACAGCTATATTATTATTTATATTTTTTGTTGGTCTGTTTTTTTTGTACAACAGGATAGTAAAAAATAATTTCGCGAAATTTTCACCTAAAACGAATTTTGTTGACTTATCGGGGTGTTGAATCGATGTTCATTTGCTACACGAAATCAATAATCATCAAATATACTATCATCGTCGTCATCATCAAAATCATCATCGTCAGCTCCTGGGGGCACAAACGCACCATTTAGAATACCACTCACTGGTTCTTCGAAACCGAGCACCTTTGCCATACCGTACACCACTCGCATAACTAATAATCTCGAAAAATCTACTGGGGACGTTTCTTTCCTCTGTAGCACGAGTTGTTTTTCCGTAGGATAGTCCATTTTTCTCGTTTTACACTCACTCAGGTCCATGGAAAGAATAACCGCGAGGACGAATAAAGAATATCGCAACATTTTTTCTCTTTACGTATACGATCACTGCATAGTGTCCAAGCCGAAACACTGTCCAGCCAACGGAAGGTCTGACGAGCGAATGCAAAAGCAGGGATATCGAAGGCCAGTGTCACCAACACTATATGGATAACTGTGGCACCAATAGCATAACAATCTTTACTGTTACTTTGCCAGCAACCGTGACGTCGTTGTTATGACATAAAAAGTTAACCGTTTTATGTGCAGTAGAGGCTATATCTATAGGTACAGTTCTGTTTCATATTTGTATTTTTCCTATATATATAATTTTAAGACAGTACCGTCACTCAAGCAAATCGTAGTGGGGCTTTTGTGGAGGCAATAATAAGTCTTTTGTGTGTTTTTTGGGGTTAGTACAGTTTTAATGAAGGTAGCATCGTTAGTAAAAATATAGTACTTTTAGGTTTATGAGTTCTAAATATGGAGAATACTTACGAGACCAATAAGAGTACTATCATATTGATATTAGTATTAAGAAAATTTTAGTCGATTATTGGTTTTATAGCTGTCTATGTTTATATTAAAATTTATTAGTAGTATTTACTAGTTTTTAATTAGTTTAGTTTAGTTTGTTGTATGTGATTATTCTCCAAAAGGTTTACTTTGTTAATCTTTTAGAATCTAGAAAGATCTTAAGTGACATTTCTACTGTCACCTGAATTACTGCTATTAACTTGTAACCTTGATCTTGTTGTAGAGTCCGTAACAAAAGCCTACTTTTTCCGTTGCGTGGTCAGAATAAGAGAATAGTTTCGGATTATCTTCATTTGGGCACTGATAAAAATGAAACGGATGTTTACAGAAGAACTCAGATGTAAATGTTGCGCTATCGCTAAGAAGCAAGTATGAATTGTTGTTAAAAATACATATTTTCTAAAATATAAATTGCGACGCAGCGTACAAAAATACATTAACACCTGCCAAAAATTTTTATTATTTTTTCTGGGAATTAGAAATGTCAAATCAAATACGGAAGTTCACTGGGTCACCTATTTATAGTTTCACGTTTCCTACTGTGAAATATGTTTGCCTCATGTCCCATGTATCGAAGGGGATTTCGATTTCATACCTTTGTTAATTATGTATCTACTTTCTCATTTTTTAGTTTCGTTTAAATTTTTCGCTCCGATGATCTATCGGTCGCGTGATTTATATTTTATAAAGTGCATGTTGGTTATCAGAAATAATATGAAATCTCCAAGGAAGTAATATTTGATGGCGAAGTTTTTTATTGTTATTAAATAAAACTACCGTTCATAAAGGAAAATTTGCATAGATATTGAGGAAGATTTTTTTCATAGAATGTTAACTACGAGGTCTTTGTTAAAAATGCCACCGGCGGCATATTGTGTTTTCATGAATACTTGCTCATAAATATAATTTGGGTGCACAGTACTTATTGATAATAGTATTTAAAACAAATTAGATTAAATAATTAAAAGTGTTATTCAGTTTGAAGTGTTTTATTGCATTCGAAATAAATAATTAGTGTTGTAGTTATACCTACCATTATAATATTTGAATGGTGTGAATGAATCGTTGAATATTTTACTTGCTATAACTGATGGTATAAATTAATTTATTATTGACATATACCGGCTTATTTGGCGGGAAAGGTACAATTAAATCGATGCTTTGCCGTTTCCCGATTTGGTATCGGACGTAGATACGTGGGTGAAAGTGAACCAGCGACATAACCTGCTTTCATAGCTATTTAAATAAAGCGAAGTTCAACCGCGAGCACTGATGTTTAAAAGATTTGTTTAACGCCTATGGTAACATGCCCTTAGAAAGCACACGCTATCTTATCCAAATGAAAATGTTCAAGTAGTTATTACAGCTTTAACAAACGAATATGTTCTGTTATATATACGTAAAAATATTCAGTAAACTATCTTATAAACAAAGAATAACTGCACAGTTAATCCATTGTTAACCTTAAGTAAAAAAATGTAATATGTTTTTAAACTAACTAAAAAAAAAATATAAGACAATTATGTATGTTATGTTACCAGTTCATTAAAATGGTTGAATTCATTTTAACGTCCCGCAGTCGCTTTACAAACATGATAGGCCGAAGTCAGGATTTGCCGGTTTTTGACCAAAATGGCCTCTACTGCACCATTTACCACGTCCATAATTGCTTAGAACTTAGATGTGTATGTATATGGGGTGAATAATCTGGCATTAGTAAACAGAGGCTGTCCTTGTACTTGACTAACAAGTTATAAACGAGATATTTGCTGCTCTGCGGTCAGTGGGTTCGAATGTTTGGAAGCGAGATGTTGACTCTGTTCGCGGCTTTTGCATTGTTCCATGTAAGTATATTAAAAAACGTTTCTTTTTTATTTTAATCTTAAACTTAGCATAGAAATTAGAGATTAAAAAGTGTATTTTAAAGCAAAAAGTTGTTACAAAAAGGTCCGTAATTATTTTTTATTGCCATTGAATTAAGTACTGTCTTCCTAAAATCAAAGGTATCTTAATTACTTTTAATATAATTAACAAATTTCTTTGTCTTAAAGCTTAGAATAAGTAAACAAATAAGTCTTGACGTGTCAACTTGCGCGATATAGCAAGTTGCAACACAGCGCGTTAGATTGTTCCAAATGAACTCTGGCGATCTTATAGGAGTAAATTGATGAAAGACAAAAAGCCTTTCTCGCTTGCATATGGATTATTACCTGATATGATCCTTTAAAAATAACAATGGTTTCTTATTGATTGCAGGCTTATTTATACGAGTACTTTAAAAGTATTAACTATGAATGTCATTTTGAATTTTAAACAAAAAATATACTATTGTATATGTTATTGCTCACGTCAAATTAAATCTTCATATAACAGCTATTTCAACATTTTCGAACTAGTGTAATCAAAGTAAACAAAACTATATTATTGTTGTAAAAAATCTGCTGCACATATTAGTACACACATCGAATATAATAAAAACATTACAAATCACTTTCACCTTCTTTAAAAATACTCACTATTTGGAAATTAGGAAATGAATTTAATTTAATGAAATAATTAAAACAATACCAAAGAACGCACAGTTGGTTCTTATTATTAACACAATTTCAAGTAAGAATTTTAAAGTTAAAATTAACGTCAGTTTTTATTGCCTTGAAATTGAATTATTAATAATAACTTATAACTGTTTTTTTTTTAAGATATTTGATCCACATATAGCTTTGACTTATAAACACACTCAAGCTAGACAAAGAAACATCAAAATGTCTTGGTCATGACCTTGCGCTAAAAAATATAAAATATTCAAATCCATTTAAATGTGCACGATGCACGCAAATTAGTATTCTTTATACATAATGTACTTAAATTGTAGTATTCTTTATTTTATAGAATTGCAGGACATTTTGATTATTTTCCTATGACTTTGGCGGGATTCGACCTCGCATGTTCGACTCTTTTATATCAAGCTTTGCTGTCATCACAAGTATTCATGTATCACTTGACTACACGATAGAGAAAATTTTAAGTAAAAGCTATTTTGCTTTTTCTTTGTCAGTTTATACCTCTACTTAATCCGTTGACTTATACAAAAACAATTACGCAATAAATAATAGATCTTTTATGTGTAATTCTCTGAAGCGAAGACAAACAAACGTGATTCTTGTAACAGCCATTGTTAGAGTTAGACTGGAATTTTTCTTTATACGTCAGATGATTAACGCTATAGGAAGAAGTCGGTATGTAACAGATGCATAGCATATTTTTCGAATACAACGCGCTGTGTCATCACTCTTACACAGTTCCCACCGTTGGGACTAACTACGGCCTCTTATAAGGGTATGCCCATCTAGTTTATGCTCTACCATACTGGCCATATTATGGACGATGTAAGTTTAACGTTCTAGTTTCTTACGATGTGGATGTGGATGGATATGAATTATTTTTGGATTCCCAACCTGACGAAGCGGAATTGATTCGTGCGCTATTTAAGATGCTAGAACAAAAGTTTTAATGATAGTGTCTTTACAGGTGACAAATGCAGTAATAGCTCCAACTGTAGAGCTTAACGATGGAAATAAAATACCTCTGCTAGCTTTAGGGACGGGCAGAGGAACGGCTAAAGAGGTAAGAATGTTACTTAATTTATTTCATCTAGTGCTCGCACACGTCAAATTTCTGTTTAGAATTCCGAGAATTTTTTTATGACTCAATTATAAGATTATTATTCGAAGAACTTTAATTAACTTTAAAACTTCTTTTTAAACGTGTTCTATACGTGTTAAGACAAATAGATAAGGACTTTGAATCTGTTTTTATATTATAAAGTTGAAGAGGTTGTTGGTTTGATCTCGTTACGTCAGCAACTACTGGTTCGAAAATGTATCGAGGAAGGTTTTCGGCTATACAACATCACGCTGATACCAATAGGACCGAAAAAACAGGGGGAAACGTTGAAAAAACGTCGTTAAGTAATTCGTTAAAAGCGTGACTGTTATTTATCTAAGAGGGTTTCCAATGCGTTCGCTCCAAAACGCTTCAAGATATTTACCCGAAATTACTATTATATGCGACACAGCTAGTATGTAACAAGTTCTAAATAGAAATTGCAATATTTCCACAGTCAGAGTCAGTGGACCAAGTTCGCCAAGCCGTATACTGGGCCATCGAAGCTGGCTACAGGCACATCGACACAGCTGCGATTTACTTCGACGAAGAACAAGTCGGCAAAGGCATTGCGCAAGCGATCGCAGATAAACTAGTTACTAGGAATGAGCTGTTTGTAACTACAAAAGTGAGTTATTCTTTATCGAAAATGAAGTTAAGAAGGATATTTATTGCCCTAATGATTCCTAATTAAAGAAAAAAACGATAGCGGTAGTAGTCGCTACTACGAGTAGTAACAAGTTGTAAAACATTTGTTAAGTATGTAACTTTCAACCAGCTAATCGAACTGTATTAACTGTTGGAAAATGCCATATCGACATTCAAGTATGATTTTTACTAGTACCACTGTCTTTTCTAGCTGTGGAATGACAGACACCGCCAGGAACAAGTTGTTCCCGCATTGAAAGAATCTCTGCAAAAACTAGGATTGGATTACGTCGATTTGTACCTAATACATTTCCCCGTCGCTACAAAAGTAAGTCACTTCGAACTGTATGTATTAAGCCATAGAACAATATTTCAATTTACTCCCAGCGTTTTACATCCCTACGATTTTACTTATCAAAATAAACATCATTACAATCTAACTTCCCTTTCTAATAAAGCTCGCGATAAAAATACGCGATGGTCACTTCGTAACTCATACTTTGTGTAATGTAGGGTGCTAACTATAATAATATTGAATATCTCTGTAATTTTTATAGTTCTAACGTAAATCCATTTATGTTAACATATCCAACCTATCTACAACCGGATGTTCTTTAGCTGTGATCTTATTTTTATTTTAGCTAGCCACCTAGAACGAAAACTACTTTACTCCCAACAAGATAAAAAGTGCATAATTCAAGATGGTTTTCTTTGCTATTATTAAACAGTCGTTATTCTGATTGCGAAGTCATCATCATTAAGATGATTTCGAATGCATTTTTATTCATAACGTTTATTCGTCTTTCACTTTACCCATTTGAATAGAATAATGTGTTAATGTTATGATGGCTTAGAGTGGAACATATAAGGAATATCGAAATTGTGTTTGGGCCACGAACCACAGGTCACAGTAGAAAAAAGCCGTGAAATTTAATCACGTTTCGTATTGTGTAGACTTCCGACTATTTAAAGCCAAAAAAGTCAATAGCACATCTTGTTTAGATTTTATATGTCTGGGGTATTTTGCCATCTATTATGTGGACCATACTTTAGTCTTTTTTTATAAAAGAAACAGATTTCAAGGGTTTTCAAATTTGAATGATTAAAACCGTTCTTATTTCTTTTATAAGACGACGAATTAGCTTCATTATACGAAGGGATAGGTAAACCTATTAGATTCGATTTTCTTTTTATCGAGGTATTAATTACATAAACTTTTATTTTTCGTTTAGTCTGACGGATCCTTGGACAATGTAGATTACATAGAAACATGGAAGGGAATGGAGAAAGCCAAGGGACTTGGCCTCACTCGGTCCATAGGAGTGTCGAATTTCAACGCGTCACAAATAGAAAGGCTGATAGCTCATTCCACGATTTGTCCTGCTGTCAATGAGATAGAGGTAAGTACATTTTATTTACTTAAACCCACTTGGAAGGATTTTTTAATTTTCCATAATTCCACCTTAATGTTTGGTTTATCCATTACAATATTGCAAATATTATTTTAATTTTTAAAGAAGAATTAAAACACAAATGTCAAGCATGTTTTTTACTTCAAGTCGTTTGAACCAATTTTTGACATACTGTAATGTTTATTGAATCGATTTAGATTTCTTAAGTAGGAGTTCTTAGAAACACGTCAACTATTTGTAGGTATATAAGCTACATACATAAGTAATGCTTTGTTCTATTAACATAACAAATTAAACAACAAAAAATGATTATAAAATGACATTCAAAAAGATACAAAACGAAGGCGAAATTAATACTTTTTTTAGCAAAACAATTACATAAACATATCTGTCCACAAGGGGTTTATTTATATGTCCTTCCTTAAATATCCATGACAAAGTTGTACATATATTTATGAATACATTTACTTTTAGGTGAACCCCACTCTAACGCAAGTGGCCCTCATAAACTATCTGCAACTTAAGAACATAATTCCAATGGGCTACAGTCCATTTGGATTCCTCGTATCCAGGAGTAAAGAAAACGCTCCTCCACCGAGAGCGGACGACCCAGCCCTGGTAAAAATAGCACAAAAGTACGGAAAGACTACTTCGCAAGTAGTTCTGCGATATTTGGTGAGTTTGCGTTTTTTTCATGCCAATTTTTGCTAATCGTTAGCTAACGCCATCTGTTACTTTAAAATATTATATACGATGAAGAAGTTTATAAGTATTTAAATAAAACACTTTAACGGTTTAAAACGCGATATATTTAGTTAAACTTGTTTGAGAATTATTTTTACATGAAGCCCGGCTGCTACAAAGCATCCAACAACAAGCAAACAAGTTTAATTAAAAAAATTTTAAAAGTTTAAGTGTTTTATTTAAACACTATATACTGTACTGTTTTCTACCCTCGCTAAACTACAAAATAGTTTTAATTAACGTAAACATTAACTCAAATTAATAAGATACACAAAAAATGTTTTGTGGACTTTCAACTAGGTATTGTCTATTATAAAAAATAGACAACTTCTTACTATGAATTTGAAAATGATTCGTCTTAACCTTATTTTTTCTCAATTTCAGTTCGACAGAAGTATCATTCCCATCCCCAAATCCACGAACAAGGACCGCATTAAGCAAAACATCGACATCTTTGACTTCAGCTTGACGAACGAAGAAGTTGCGACGATCAACAGATTCAATAAGAACATTCGTGTCATAAATCCAGTTGACTGGAAGAATTCACCGTACTATCCTTTCGTAGAATATTGATTCGCATATAATAAATAAATAAAATGATTCTTTATTATTTATATCCCACTTAAATAATTAAACCAGAAATAATTACATTGAAGAAGTCGAATCGGAGAAATTTAGTCTGATGACATCATCGACACTAATAACCCGGCCATTCTGTATAGCTAAGTAATACAATAAACAGTCTTAATAGAGTCAAGAAACACTCTACTATCACCTTCAAAAACATTAATTTCTAAAGCATATTAGCATAAGTAGACTTGGTGAGATACGTAGACATTATAATATCTAGACTCAAATTTCACCTAGACGTGTTAAAAACACAATGCCACTCCTACGAAAGACAATACTTCTTTTATTTATTGTATCGGTAAGTATTTTCATTTTTATTAGACGATGAAAAAAAAATAAACATAAAAAAGTATTTCAGTTATAATCTAAAATCCCGCCTTGTCCATACCCCATATGGGGCATACGTACTTATCGGATTCATATACAGACGCGAGGTTGATCAGAATCCTATACTTTAGCTGCCTGAAGCGGCATTCTATTGTCCAGGATTCGTTAAATTCGAAAATTAAAGGATATTATTACAGACTATGTTTTTTTTATTCCAGGGAACGGTAAGGATTAATTAACTGGAGGGAAATATTTTAAATATGTTTTACTTTTAGGATTTCTTATTATTCTAATAATATTTCAGGTGTTCTCGCATAAATCTTTCTATAGAACCCTTAACGATGGAAACAAAATTCCTTCTATTGCTATGGGAACCTTCAGTTTAGTAAGTTGTTTTCTTTATATTAAAAAAATTAAGGAAACTTCAAGTTTTTGTAAAATTATTATTAGGTAATTTAATGAATCGCAAGTCTATAATCATTTTTTATACATACCTAAGTACCAACACATAGTAGAGGTATGTATCTTTTTTAAATATTTATTTAGATGCATGTGAGAGTTACCTCTATAGATAAATATTATAAAGTCGAATACTAAATTTAACTATATTGCATTTATTAATATAGGTTATAAAAATAATGTTTTTTTTAATATTATAAATGTGTATTTAGAAAAATCCAAAGCAGTCAGTGCTTATGGCAGTGAAAGCAGGTTTTAGACATATCGATACAGCGAAATTCTATCGAAACGAATATCAAGTTGGGCAGGCGATACACGAACTAATTGAGACTGGAGTGGTTACCAGAGACGAGTTGTTCATCACTGGAAAGGTAATCTATTCAATATGTTGCTTGCTTATCGCGGGTTCGACTCTTAGCAAGTGTGACATATGTTTGTATACAATTTTCTGTTATATATGACAAATATAGACATCGAAGCCTACCTACAGAAACATAATCACGCCCTAAAATTGCCCTTCAGATTTTGGATTTCCAATGTCCAAAGACAAAATAGGCAGGGCTATTTTGTTTGACAAACCGCTGTCATATTTTCTAATAGAGAGCGATATAGAGGCCCAATAAAGATAACATTGTTTCATGAACAAAAGAAAATTTGCATTTTTATCCAAGTGAATAAATTGTGATACTGGTTGTATTCGTTAATTTAATTTATATGGAGTCGGCTTCTATCCGAAACTAAAATTAGATAAGTGTACTCAAACTATACTTAAGTATTTCTTAAACAAATGTATCTTGATTAAATTTAAACAAATTAAAGTTGATTAAATTTTGGAGACACATCACGCTAACTGATTTATTCTACTTAATTATGCCAATAAATATCGTTGCGTTGTCTAATTTTCAACTGCATTAATATTAATTTTTGCAACAGCTTGAAAACGAAGAGCATGACAGAAAACAGGTAAAACCGGGGCTCGAGGGAACGTTGAAGAGACTAGGCCTGAAATATATAGACCTCTATCTCATCCATTCTCCAATGGCAACAGGGGTAACAAATCTTTTACAACAAAAGTATTATTAGGAAAAAATTATATCAATTGTCTTTTTGTAACTTCTAAAGTCAAATAAAAAAAAATATTTAAACTAGCCCTTAGCGTTTTGTCCCTTTTAGTCCCAGAGCTAATTTTAGAACACACACACAATACCCACCAACAACTCACGCCTCAAACCGAAACTTATAGCACTACAACAAAATACGTCAAATGTTTAAAGAAGATGCTAAATTATCTTAACAGGTATAGTTTTTCAGGAAAAGGAGAGTTTCTTTGTACGGACTACTTAGAGACGTGGCGTGGAATGGAGGACGTCCAAAATTGGGACTCGCCAGATCAATAGGGGTATGAACTTTAACAGCAAACAAATTAATAGGATCCTTGCCAACAGTGATGTTGTCCCTCTGTGAATGAAATTGAGGTCAGAATACTTTTCGTATCTTTAAGGGTTGGACCGACTAATTTACCTAGGCGTGACGCTGAACATTGTATTTTCAACAGGATTCAAAATCCTCAAAATATGATTTATATTGCCCCGAGATTTAGTAAAGACAACCCGGGGAAACAAATTTGCATTTACGATGGCCGAACAGCACAAAGCCCAGAAGCTTTATGAATATTTAGTTGGTCATGATAGCTGTGAACTGTGTGACATACTCGCGTATAATAAGTATTATGCTTCCAGGTCAATCAAAATTATCCCAATCTTGGTTTACTCTCCTACTGCTTGGAGCATAACATCCAGGTTATGGCGTATGCTCCATTCGGTTTCATGGTCCCACGGTTTGTTAGTTATAGACCTATCAGGCCAAAGATTGACGATCCATACTTGACTAAATTAGGCGAAAAATATGGAAAGGATACCACTCAAATTGTTCTGCGATATCTGGTAAGATCACTGTCCTTTGTAAATGCCACATAGATTAGTTAGTAACTCATCTAGCCATGCCAAAGCCATAGCGTTGTCTGTAGTTTACTTAAGTCACCATTAATAGCTAGTATGCGTTCGTTTTTGGACGTAAGGACGCAAAATATTAGATTGATTTTTAACTAGGACCCGACGATAATAATATTTTGCCTTTAAAACTAGTTCACGTGTTTTATTGTAATATTTAGTTATTTCTAGTTTAATAACAGTGTTGTGTTGTAATCTTGATGTAATTAAAAAAATATAATGTCAACGGGCAGGATAGAGCACTTATGGTAGAACAATAGCACTGTGCGCTGTCCGTCGTGGGTCCGAGAATTAAATTTCATAAATTGTCTATAAATCTTAATGTATCTCGTTAGATATAAGAGGTAGTTTAACTTTTAAGAAATTTTTCTTGATGGAAGTGGAAGTGCACTTTATAAGAAAGATTTAGTTTTAATCATCACTTCAACTTTTTAAAATCTCTCAGATCGACCGCAACACCATACCAATTCCTCGGTCCGACAATCACACGCACATAACAAGCAACATCGACGTGTTTGACTTTAGTCTGACACAGAATGAAATCCTGAACATCAACGAATTTAATATTGACACCAAAGTATATGTTTTGGGCGCTTTGAAAGACCATCGTTATTACAGTTTTAATACATGTTAAAGACTATTACATATTTAGTTCAATAAATGGTTCGTCCTTTGTTTGTTTTTTTTATTAACCACTCGAAGAAAGTCTGGCGTCAGCTGTAGGTAGTCCTGGCAAATCCTGACGTTCTGTTCGAATCGATATCGATATTACTAACCAGCTATTCGGTCAGTCATTAGAATACAGTCCAAGCAATTAACCCATAAATCGCTGATGAAACAGACACATAAATGTGTCTGCTGTATGGAGAATAGCTTTGGCATAGTGCCAAACTTTACTTTTTCTTGCACACGATATCGATCAGGTCAAACCTAGAAAAATAATAATTATAGTAAGTAGTAAAATTTCTTCAGCGCCTTGAACTAACATGTAGGTAGTTTCTTCTTTAGTTTTTACGTGTAATGTAGTAGTTGTACATTCTTTTGATATGGTACGGTAGATAAGTATAAGTATTTCATAAAACTATATTAGCTTTAATATCGTGTTTTAAACAAACAAAACTTAATGTCTACTTACAAATATATTGCATAGCAATTTAGATTCTACACAATTTACAACCAACACAAAAACATCAAGGTGTCAACTTAATGTCATACAGATTATGTCATTCGTTGCCTTTTACAAAAATCACAGACTATAATAAGTGTTAATAATCTCTTTACATCTGCAAAAATAGTAATAATTCATTATTGGTAAAACTATTTTCATTTTTATTTTCTGAATATTATAATAAAGTATATTTTATATAGAAAATTAAATTGTTATATTGTAGTGCTTTTTTCTATGCACTGATAAAACTACTCGATTCCTATATCATTTGTATTTTAAGAACCAACAAAGTTAAACAGAATGGCCACTTTAAGCAATCTTTCTATAATTATTAAAAATTTGAAATTTTATTCAATCTAAGTTATAAAGTATAAAATCTAATTAAATTATACTATTGTGTTTAACTATTTAAAGTCGGTGTCTTTTTTAAATTAGTCTATCGCCAACTGCCGAAATGATCCATCGATTCCGAACAACTCATCATAGTTGGTCGGTCTTCCTGGACGAAGCTTTTCAGTAGCGATCAGTGCATCCTGAGCTTTGAACCATTCACGATATTCGATTAGCTTTTGTGTCCATTTTTCTGAAAAAGTAGTACAAATGTTAAAGATGTTGAGATAGAGAACAAAAAATGAACCTATGTCATTCATTATTTTATGTTATTTAAGCACACTCATAAATTCGTTGTTACTCTTGCTTACTAATAAATACAAATAAGTCAATAATTAAAACTTGCTAACATTAAATGCATATTGTCTTCCCTTTTACTCAAATTTACCTTGTAAAGATGACATGGATTCACACTTTCCACCATATTCTACTGGAAGCATCTCTTGTGGTATGTATTGATATAGGTCCTTTAGGTCTCTATGAATAAATATCTGAAACAAATTAGGTAAACATTGGTTAACTGGAAATTTCCTATTATGACATTATGTATTTATAAATATGTACTATAAATAAAGTGCATATGACTTTAAAACCGAACCTATCTCTTCGCATTTATAAAAACCTAGTGCATTGTTTTGATGTAATTTAAAAACATTTCGGCCCTGCTCTGCCTTCCTTCACACAGGCTCAAAACAACAACAAATACATACAGACTACTAAAGGTGCACTTTATATCTCTTCGCATTCATGATGATCTGGTATATTGTTTTGAATAACTCGTTCATTGAACCATCCGATTCGCATTGATTTGATGTGAGCTCTGTTTATTCATAAAAGCCTGGTAGATTGTTTTGAGTATCGAGATAGTTTCGTAAACAATGGGCGTGGCGGACACTACTACTACTTTATCAATATTTCACTTGGCTCCACCCATTACTATAACTTTAAAGTGAATTTTGTGCGTGTGTTAAATAAGTTAAGTAATCATATATTTTACGCTTCTTCATAATGTATTATATGTAGTAGTAGTATTGAAAAAATCTAGTGACTAAGCAAACCAGTGTTAATAAAAAAAGGCGCCTTCGAATAACACACGAGCATTTTATCTCACACAAGTGTACATAATTATAAATCAATACGCACGTACGCAGTACTGGGAAAAGCACACACAAATAAAAATATGATTGGGGGTGGAGCTAACTAGATGTATCCCTAGGCTAGTTATGATGCCCTAGTACTTGATGTTTTGGTATTTTACGGGGTGAATTGTTAAAGAAAGGACTAATTTTTTACATTCGTTTCATTATAAAAGATACTTACGCGTTTTCGTATTTTCTCTTTGAGGAAAGGCTTTACGAAGTTGACGAATCTTTCAACGATGGGTGACGTGTTGATAACATGCACTTCCTTCAGCTTCACTGGATACGCTTCCTGTGAAGAGATGAAATCTAAACGATCCACTAAACTCGAAAGTACTTTAAAGTTAAGAAGTTCGTTTTTTGAAATTTGTTTGTTTCTAGAGGACTTAGTTTAATAATTATACAATGCATATTGTTAAAATGACAACTAAAAAAAATACATGTGAAGTTGAGCTCGTAAGAATTGTAATTATTACTTTCGTGGTATTATCCATATTACAGATAAAAAAAATATGAACACTCGACAAAAATCTAAATTTTCTAAGATAATATGGTATAAACATATGGAAAAAATAAGACTTTTATATCATTAAATTAATTTAATTTATTTCGTTTCTTCGTTTACCATTGAGACATTTTGCCACAAATAAAATAATTCACGTTGATTCTATAAAATCTTACCTTTTTTCTATATGAAAGTAAATAGTAGACGAAAATACCTGAACGCAAATCATGAACTTCTTAATGGTAGTGGGAGTCAGTTTCGCCAGCAGACTTGGTCCCAGCACAGCTCCGTCCAATACATAGATGTCTCCAGCTACGCCTTCAGTTTCCTCCATCAGCCTGACATCTCCAATCATGAGGGCGAGCTTTAGGGTATCCGTTACCTGCTGAGGTGTCAAACTGGCCTCTAGACCTGTAAGTATTATTATATTTTCCATTACATGATAGTTAGTGATATAAATTATGGTATCCCACACAAAAAAAAAACATTTTTTTAATAATCATAGGTATAAAAGATTATTTCCAGAAGTTCTGTCGGCTACAATAGGTAGTTCCGTGACTTACAAATTCGATGACGTCACAACATACTATTCTATATGTGAAACGTGATTCCCCATCGTCGCAGTTATAACTCACATCACGTTAATATTGTAATTTTATTCAAATTGTGATTCAAACTGGTAATATTAACGGCTTACATTTGTTTAACAGGTTATTTCTTATAACTACGATTTCTTACTTACCCCTGCATATCGTTACTCTTCTACCATTAGGCGTTACACCAGGTAAAGGGGGACCTTGTCTGAAATTAGGAAAGTAGGAATTGATTAAAACCATTTTTATGCTATACTACCATTGAACCAGCGATCCGGGTTTATACTCTCTATTCATTTTTACTAAATATTTACTGTAATCTTGCTGTTATCCAACAAGATTACTTAGTCACGAATGCCATAGTGTGACACCTCGAAGCAGTATTGTTTGCTTCTTACAAACGTATTTTAAATCACAAGATTTTTTTATTTGACATAATATGTCATTTTAACCAACTTCAAACCACTCGTGTTCTGTAAACAGTAGTTTGGACTTATAAAGTACTGACTTTGAGTATTTGCATTACATTTTGGTGGATTTCCGCTTCATCGTGCTTTAAAATGTGCACGAAAAGATTGTTCGTGGATGATAAATGATATAGAGCCGTGGTCACGGGGAGACGATTCAAAACACACCTCGGGCAGTAGTTAATATTTTCAAACAAGTTTAAATAAAATATATCGCGTTTTAAACCGTTAAAGTGTTTTATTTTAATGTGTACTACTCGCGTAAGGTACAGACAGTATTTTATCGAAGTTTGTTTGACATTTCTTAAAGGCCGAAAAACTACGAAAACAAACTATAATAAAATTAATTTACGTATCCATTAATAATTTCTTCTTAGTTTAGATCTACTGACAGAAAGTGTAATAACTTGAAATTCGTTAAATATAATTTCAAGCTTAGCTTGTTACTTTAATGTTAGTTGTGCTATTCCATAAGGTTGTGCGTGGGTCTACAAAAGCACGAAATTTAGATGAGATTTTAAGGTGAAGGTCACTCATAGAATCGGCACATGATGTGGTATTTCAAAAACCTTGATTCACAGTTCTCTTATAACGAGTTTTATAAATATTAATAATTTTCTATAGCAACTGAACAAATGAGAATAATTTTATACACTGCATATATAACGTATTTATTTTAAACTATATAGTATTACATACAACTTATACCATCTGCGTACTTATTACGAGCAAATTTAAGTACTACGTAAATGCAGAATAGCATGAGTAATATTTATGTACAAACAAGTCGAGTTACATAAGACAATTAAAATTTTTATTTTGTACTTGAAACCAAAAATCCGATTGAATTTTTAAATGCGTTTTATTGACGCGAAAAATTGTGAGGGTAGGAATTGCATTGGGATTCCAAACGCTTAGTGTACTTTGGCCGAATAACTAATTTAAATGTAAAATTATTGTCGCACTATCTGTGTCAGCGACTTCGTCCGCAAAAATCGTTATTTTTGACATCCAAACCCCTTCGTTTTTATAAACTTTAGCTGTTCCCCCCCCCCCCCGGGGCGCCCCCCCCCCCCTTTTTTTTTTTTTTTTTTTAAAACGCGGACTATAGGTCCCTTTTTTTAGATCATTTAAAGAGGAATCATTTTTTAAACAACTAAATAAACTCACAGTTTACTTTGCAGTACTTCACGTAAAGCAGGTTTTGACACATCTCTGTTGGTGAAAAATTCTGGACAAGCAGCTCTCATCGTGAAGTACATGTCAAGCTTTCTCTTGCACTTCTCTAAGGAGAAACTGCTGCCTCGAAGAAATGTCATCAGGGGGTTGTCTTCTGTAAGGAAATAAGACACTTGAGTTGCAAAACAATTTATTTAAAAGAGCATATAAATTAAAAAATACAGAAATAGTTTTTGATTAACGTATTAACTTGTAGTTCTGATACAAAATCTCTTCTTGTTTTCAGTTCAGTGTTCACATATACTCTATTTCATCGGCAAAGAGAAGAAGAATAGAAGAGGGCGATAGATAGAGACGTTAGAGATAGTTTTCTTACCCCATTGATCTGGCAAATGTGGCTGCTTCTTCAACCACTCCTTGATAGTTTCTAGATCTTTATCTCTTGTGTTTACGTCTTCTTTCAACTCGACTCTTATCTTCTTCCACACCTCGCCAGTCGGCTGGATCATCAGCTCCGATTTTAGCTTCATTTTTCTGAAAATACAATAATGATTAATGAAAGTGTTTCGCCAGTGAGTAATTTGTAATTATCATAAATAATTATCACCACGAATTTAGTAGCGATAGTCGTTACAGCCCACCGACCCATACTAGGGCAGTTCCTAAAAACACTTGTGATGTGGGTCAATGCTAAGTTTAAACTACCCATCCTTCTACAAAATTAAGCACGACATTTATACGAGAAGAGAATTAAATAAAATTCATTTGTGTCTTCCTGAGATTGGAACGGTTTAAAACGGTTTTTATTAATTTTGGCCACGACCTTGCTACTTCCTAAGTAATCGCTAGTTCTAAACGACATCTTGCAAAATATAATAATCTATGTGCAACACGTTACATCGTGGACCTTGACACCAAAACTTTCGGCTATTCAAAATCCGGTTTTTTCCTTTGGTAATAGAAGATTAAGTGTCAAAAAATCAATAAGTGTTCGTTATATTACTCTAATTATAAATAATCTGTGTCAGAATCGAAATATAGACTAAGAAAGTGATGCCTACAGACGATAAATAAATCGTTGATGTTAGATTTTCCTCTATATTTATTTTAAAAATAATAAAGACGCAATGAACAGGGATCTCTTCTCGAATGTATATTTTGCCAGAAACCAAAAGTGAGGTTCGCTCTGTCGGGAAACAGGGATCCCGTAAAACCAGATACAACGGTACTAGTTAAGTGCAATATTACAGTTGGGTGCATTCACCTAATGCACTTTTAAACTAGATTTTTATTCGTAATACATTTTAATCTCCTTTTTTAATATAACAGACATATATTGTTTGTAGATTACGCGCGTATGTACAAATTTGAAAAATAACTGAAGAAATGTATTTGTTTACTTATTTTTAATACGATTTTTCGAATGACCCCTTGAACACTACTGCTTTGTAACGACGAGCCTTAATAAAAATAAGGCAACGAATATATTTTGAGTTTGATAGCGTTAAAAGTGTCTTATATAAAAAAAGATATAATTAGATCGTCAATTACGCAGGCTATGCCAAAGAAATAGCGCCTCCTGGGTTTTCCACTGAATCAAATGTGATTGTAAATCTATTAATTATAAACATGTCCATTACGTGTCTGGCCCTTAATAAAATATATTTCCTCAGTTTGACGAAAGTGTAGGTTTGTCCAGAATGATCGTTGCTTTACTTTCTGAAGTTGTTTGTTGTACATGAATATTCAATTATAAGTCATAAAGTTTCTATCTTAAATGGTACAATTACCTACCAAACAAACCAATTGTACTTATGAGTAGTGTTGACCAATATTTGCGAAATGATATTTGACGTAAATACAGTACCGTAGTATTCGCAAGCATCAATAAGTGGTTGGGCAAACTGTTTGTATTTCACATCTCAACGACGCTAGATGATTTCATCATAACTTTATCCGTTTTTATCTTGTAGTTTATTAGTTCCTGGTAACTGTACGTAATATTTGTTATTATAAAGTAAACACAAGTTCATTCGATTATAGGATAAACAACGTGATGGCCCCCCCCCCATAAGTCTTATTTTTTAGCGGCGCGAACGTTGGGTTCGAATCACGATAAAATATAATCAATAGTTCCAATCTGGAAGTGCAAATTTCTGATCAAGGGCTAGTTTTCATGGAGCCAATTAATTGAAATATATATGTTTACTGGGGATATAGAGGTGACGTTTAAAATTGTACACCTTTTTTTATCAAGACGCTGGATTTTAAACTTGTTAGCATCGCTTTGTGACCACTTGGAAATTTCAGAATACAGGTCTTTAAGTTATTTGATTAAATTAAAGGAACTTATCGTAAATACGATAAGTTATCATGAAATCACATCTTATCGCCATGTTCCTATGCACATATAATACCATGATGATTAAAACGTGTTAAATTTATCCTATAATTATTACGAGATACGCTAGTAGGTACGTGTTTAGACATCATCATTGGAATCGAGATAATGTAATATATAAAACAATCATGAGATAGTTTTGAAGGCTGCTGTTTCAAAATTTGTTATATAGTGTCACAATTGGCTCTATACTGTTGGAAACCGTGTGAATTTATTAAATCAAATAAAAGTACTTGTTTTTATCGAACGATACTTCGAGATGTAATATTTGGATCTTAAAGAAATAGAAAAAAATTTTTAAATGAATTGGAGCTCTTATTTTATTTTTATTTAATAATAAAAGCTAATTTAAATTCTTTCGTTACTTACAAGCTACAATATATACGAAGTAACAATATACGCGAATTGCTAATTGTATTTTTCAGTACACTTAAAACAATAAACTTTTAACTTTGAACTTTTTGTTGATTCCTGTTGATCATAATAAGTAAAGCATCCAAAATAACCAATCATCGTTAATAACTTAGTGAAATTGTTTGAAATGCGTAGGTGCCACTTGTCAATTGTCTTGCAATCTTTAAACTCTACCGAGAAAATAGAGAGAACTAACAAACTTAGTATTTTGCCATTTGTTATTTTATATTGTCAATCCGTGTGAAGATTTAACTCAATTGAAAACCCATGTTTATCTATGCGACATCTATAAATTTGACAAGTTAGTTGAGTAAAAAAATAAACTTGATGTAAATGCCATCATCAATGTTAAGAGACGTTTACCAATTTATCTAACACTATATGTAAGTCGGTAAGTTAGAAAATAAATAGAAATATATAAAAAAATTGTGCTGTTGTGAGAATATCGAAATATTTAATAAAATAAGTAATTACATTTTTTCATAATAAAGAATTTCGCGAGATAATAATTATTTTCTTATGAAATGTAGACATTTTTTTTATATTATAAAACAACAGTAACACGAATGGAATTTATTATAATTAAGATAATTATTAGATTGAAAAATAGCAGTAATATATTTGTTATATTTGAAAACAATATTAAATACTATTAAATAAATATATAAACAATTTTATACGTTTAAAATTAATTGAATATCTTTTATTTTAACCGCCTTTAATTTATTATATTAAATTGAGTATACAAAACTCACCCCGAGTATTCTCCAAAACAAAAGGCACACTATGTTTTATTTAAATTAATAAAGTTTTTTACTTGAACCGTGTGGTTTGATCTGACACATACGTTGAACTGACCTCGGCCTGCCTCTCTCTGGCTTATTGAGAAATTTCTCAGAGCTAAGGTGTTCCCTATGCCTCGTTCACACTCAACATTGCTGGTACGCTAGTGAAGGCTTCGTGAAAAACGATAATACTTTGAAGATTTTTAAAAGGACTCAAGCCATTAGTAGAGATTAAGTTATTTAATTAGAATTAATTTGGTAATAACAATATTATAGACAAAGTTGTTGTTAATAACAGAAACGCGATAGGACAACGACGTAAACAAATCGATATTACGTTAATGTACTTTTTAATTATTTATTTCTCGTTCTCTAAAATTATAATTTTTATATAATGAGTGTGTATTATAAGTATTGAAATGTATAATTATATAGTAAAATATTTTTTAATCGGTCATTGTCAACTTAGCGAGTTGGGCTATATAACATGTGTTTCGTCTTACATCAATTAAGTGACTATTATAAACTGTATAACAGTTACTCGATGAATGCAAACGAAGCTGCAAAGTACGTAATTTAGGTAATTGTTTATTTAAATAAATTTTGTGTATATTTATAAGTTCATTTTTTATTTAATTTAAAAATAACATCTTACTACGGCTGAAATGATCGCGAATGATCGTGCTTGTCTGTCTTTTCTGTCATAGAATAGTTACTCTACACGTAACGTACATTTTATAAGTATCTGGTTTTTAAGATTCATCAAGCAGAAGGCACAGAACTGTGTCTGTTCGCATTTTCATTAACATTTGCTTTAAGATAGCTCTCGCTGTGTCGGATTAAAATCCTCGGTTGCGAAAGCGTTTCGCCAGTCTGACCGTGAAGTTACTTAGATGTGAAATGATATTGCTTTATAGCATTTTAACCATCTTTAATGTAGCATGATGATGCTTCTTGTGCAAGATAAGTATAAATAAGCGCATACGCATATGATACAATAAACGCCCGCGTTGTTACTCGCATCACATGTACGTTTCACCAAAATTAACAATTTTGACTGTATAAAGGTGAAATATATTATTTGTATCGCGGCTATAGCGAAGCATCCAAATAGTAGTCAAAATTAATATATTTCGCGTTTTAATCCATAAAGTGTTTTTTACGGATTAAAATGCGGTTTTAGACACTCTCAATTCTGCTAGGTCTATCTATTTGATAGAGAACCCACATTGCCTTAAATACTTCCTGTGGTGTTTCTCTCAATCTGGACATCAGAAATAGAGTAGGTAAGTCCGTTTATCAGGTCTCCACAATAAGCCAAGGCACAAACTAACCCAGTTTCTGCCTTGGCCGTTAGGTTTAAGATTGTGTAGGTCCGTCTTATTTACTATAGGGTCCAAAACTAATATAATCTTTTCTCTATGGCAGAAATATTCGTCCTATTTCAAACATTTCTGAAACGAAGATATGATTGGTCGTGTAGGTACTTGTGCCTGTTAAAAATGTTGCAGTTGTTGAATTAAAGAACACGTCGCGGATATAAAACGTAAACGTCTCTCCAAATCTGCGGTATGCCAACACTCATCGCATACAATAACGGATTTATATTGGAAAAACTAAAAGACGGCTCTAAATTTTTCTAAATTGTGTCTTTATCTCTTTGATCTTTATATGTTTTCAGGCTATATTACAATTTCAACAAAATGCAGTTTTGTATAGCAATAATATTTTCTAAATAACACAACTGCCAGTATGTTCGTATAGTTGTACTGGCTGACGTGGTGGTGAATCATTGTCAATTCCTGGCCTGCTTTTATATATAAAAACCTCTTTATATGTCAAAACACATAGCCCATAAAATTAGAACCATTTTGTATAATGCAGTTAAAACAATATTCATAGTGCATTATTAAATTAAATAAGCCCCTTATGGATAGACATTTCGTTACATCAACTAACCGTTATATCGTTAACATTGGACTAAAATTATAATGTTATGTGTATGTCCTATAGGGTGAAGAAAAAATCATACGTATTATATATATTTTAATTAACATAATTTCATGAGAGTATTTAAGAAGTAGGTAACATAAGAAGAGTTTTATAAAATTAGCTAATTTAACTTGCTAAAAATTGTCTGTTATTTACGAGAGTAAACAAAACACTTCAAAAGGTTTAAACACGAGATATATTCGGTTAATTATTATTTAATGCGACGACTACGGCTAAAACCGATAAAAGTGTTTTATTTAAATAGTATTGCTGTAAATATTGGATATTATTTTCATTAATTTAGCTCTGTGTAACACTGTGGTATATTCTAATTACTTGTTCATTAATCTAATTGTTTATTCAATCTATCGAGAGCTGCCTGAAGGATCCGTCGATTCCGAATAGCTCGTCATAGTTAGTTGGTTTTCCAGGTCTCAAGCTTTCATTTGCTGTTATTGATTCCTCAGCTTTGAACCACTCTGTGTATTCTTCAAGTTTCTTCATCCAGGCTTCTGTAATAAAAAAAACAAAAATGTAATGTTTTAACATAACATAGGTGGAAACCAATTAACCTCTTCCTCCTCTTTTCCCTTTTAGTATGCAAACAAAGAGTCAGTAGGTCCGGCCTGCCCGCAATTATCTACACTAATATACAAAGGTGAAGAGCTAGTTGTTTGTTTGTTTGAACGTTTTAAATACGGGTTCGAATTGAAAAAATTGGTTTGAGCATTTACAGAGGAAGGCTATAAAACATCGACCTGTGACTTATACAAGTGAAGAATGAGCGGGAAATGTGAAATAAAATTGGGAATATTATTCGTCATTGTGGGTTACCGAGAGGTACGCTGTGAAACCTGCTCATGACACTCAAAAAATATGAGCGAAAGAATGATTTCTCTTTATATGATCTAAAAAAATGTCAGCGACTATGTCTATCTTAAAAGATTAACTGGCAAGCACAACAGGACGCGTCCGACTATTAAACAGTAATTTTACCATTTATGTCGGAAAGGGATCCACCGTTACCACCATATTCTTCTGGCAGCATTTCCTTTGGCACATAGTTGTAGAGTTCATTTATGTCTGAGTGGATAAATATCTGAAAATTGAGATATACTAATGTAGTACATACATGGTACAGTAGTCTAATATCGCATTACCACAATTTGTATCGACTAATAATAATTTATGATATTACAGAAAAACCTGTTCACGATTTATTGTTTGCACATTTATTGATAAAAAAGATAACCAAATCCGATGCAGTATAAATAACAATTTTCACTCTACATAAGAATTATTCTACTTAGTTATATTGCACAGTGTTAAATAAAAAAATTGATTTGGTATGTGTAAAATGAATTTACGTACCCTGTTTTTAATTTTCTCCTTTAGAAAAGGTTTCACAAAGTTGACGATTTTCTCAATAACTGGCGAAGTGTTTACTACATGTACTTCCTTCAATTTTACTGGGTAGGCTTCCTGGAATAAACACAAAATCACACATTTAACTCAAGACTTCTAAAAAGGGCTGTTACAACAATTAAGGCATAGAGTCATAAGATATAAAATTAGATATATATTTGTGCAGTTTTCTTTGAAAGAAAATGGACTGTAGACACTTATCTAGGACAAGAATATTTTTATATGGTATCCCTTATAATATATCAATAAGATGTCAGCCTTTTGACCTGTAGCATTGAAAGTTCGGAAATCTAAAGACTAAATTCCACCGAAAAATAGTTAAACTTCACGTTTTTTTTCCTCTGTGGACGGTGGTTCTTGATCCATACGAACTTTAATCATCCACCCATTTAATATCTAGATTTCAAGACAAAGTACAAATTGTTTAAGAAAAACGGTGGTGATAAAACCACGACCCTAAGATTTTAAAAATTTTCGATTTCAACGTTTTAAAATTATAAATAAATATCTTAAACATTACGTCCTACCTGTACACATATAAGGAACTTCTTAACAGCGGTCGGAGAGATTTTGGCTAGATGACTCGGGCTGACGATGGAAGCATCCAGGATGTAGATATCACCACCGACTCCTTCTATTTCCTCCTTGAGCCGAACATCTCCGATCATTAGAGCAACTTTGAAAGCGTCATTCAGTTGGTTCATGTCGAGATTCTTGTCAAGTCCTGAAAGAATGTTAAAGTATCAGTTAACTCAAAGTATAGCCTTTAATACAACTATCGTGATAGTTAATCCTTTTCCCGGCTAAGACGTAACCAAAAGGTTCATCGTTATTCTTCCGTTTGGCTTTGTTATTGTGTTATAGTTGTAAACTACACAGCCTATTTGTAAACAATCTTTTAAGATTCGCTTATTGTTTACATCTATAAAACGACTGAATTTAGTTTGATGATGTTTTAATTACCTCTGCATACAGTAACTCGACGTCCATTGGGAGTCAATCCAGGTAATGGTGGTCCTTGTCTGAAATATAAGTCTCTTTAAAATTTCCAATGTAACACATTATTTAGACATTATTTTTACAATGCGTTTTGTCGGTTAGAATCTTGCACACCTATAAATTTTAATTTAATGTTCATAACGCTCAGTATAAGTGTACAGGCAAGGCCTGTGTAAAATTAAGTCCTGTATTCTGTTATCCTTTAAAAAATAAGATCCCATACCGAATTTGATACTTACGCCCTTGACATAAGGTCCACAAGTTCTGGACGTTTAACATCTCTATTTGTAAAGAACTCAGGACACGCGGCTCTCATTGTGAAGTACATGTCCATTTTCCTCTTGCATTTCTCTAAGGAGAAGCTGCAACCACGAAGGAACGTCATCATGCGACCTTCATCTGAAATGAATTAAATACATAGTTTGTTATTTCTTATCTCCTAGAAAAATATGAACGACCGGTCGTCCTGGAAGTCTATGGGGGAGGCTTATGTCCAGCAGTGGACACCGAATGGCTGAATCGATAGTATAAAATATACTTTAAAACACAGGTTGGCGTAATAACGATTTCTGTACTTTGTTATCACGAATATTACCTACCTATTTCATTGATATTATAATTTTAAAAGAATTTATTTCTTTGTTTTTTTTTTATATTTATATTTGGTTAACATATCGAATCAATTAAAAAAAAGTTATACTTAATTATTACATCCTTTATAACTACATATTCATTATGTAAAGTTTTAGAATATTAAAAATCCCCTGTTCAATTTTACTTAGCAAAGTCGTTTCGACTAGAATTTGCTTTATAAATCATACAAGTCAAATCTATAGAGACATGTTACTAAATTACAAGCCTTACCCCATTCATCAGGTAAATGAGGCTGCTTCCTGAGCCACTCTTTCATATGCTCCAAATCTCGATCCCTTGTGTTCACGTCCTCGTTCAGTTCTACTCTGATCTTCTTCCATATTTCACCGCTAGGTTGAACCAAAGTTGCAGATGCCATCGTTGTCTTTGATGGAGCAGTAACCTAGAAATTGGTTCAAATTGTATTTATTAATATACTAGGGATGGAACTAAAATTTGTCATGATTGAATGTCAACGATACTTAATGCTCCTAAAAATGATATTTTGTTAGTTACTTTAAATAACACTGTAATTATTATTTATTAAGTGTGCTATATAATCTACTTAATTACTTTAAGACTGTTTAAATCAATCTTAAAAATGTAAGAACCAAACAACTTATAATTTAAATCGGGTTAAGATCAAATAAATTTCTAGTTTATATTTATTTCTTTGCTTATCTTGTAAATGTCGCTACAGATAATAATTACATTTAATTGTTTCTGGAAGTTACTATTTGAGAACTGAACTTTTAACAGTTCAAAACACGACACGTATTTATTTACGATATAAAAGAAAGGATTGCATGAATCAATAGTAAGTCCAGGTGAAATTCAGTTGCGTTTAAACTTAAAAACAAACTTTTAATTTTTATGATATCCGCGTACTTAGACAAGTTAGCGCGTAGGAAAGTCCTTACCAAACTTGGTCGCCCCAGTACCCGATATTACAACAGCACAAATTCCGATTGCACATAGCAAACATCGGCGTCCCTGCTTTAGAAACTCAAGGAATCCATTACCGACATCCTTGAAGTTGAATAAATAAAACATTACAAACATACGAACGGATATCGGTACAAATTGGCAGGATTGTGGCGCAATAAGCATTGCCCAATTTTCGGAGTTTCATCGGAATCGCTACGGTCGTTTTGGCTTCCGTATCCTTTAAAAGTGCACTTAACATACCTGCAGTGTATTTCTATTGACCATGGAAAGAGATAAATTAATTTTTATTTTTAGTTTTGGAGCTTGAATCCTCCGATTGCCAAAATATAAATGAGTGCTAAAAGATAAGTATAAAGTAATTTTTTCTAGACTGCACTAGGGAAACAGTTGACACGAGGAAGTTACAATCAAAAATCTGATATAAATTTAAAAACCCAGCATATTATAGTGTTATGCAAATCGCAAAATTATGACGCAAACAGTATGTTAAACATTCATAAATTGCATATAATTCTGACCTAATTAAGTAAGGTAGTTTTTGCCCAGTTCTTATCTAAAGATGAATAATTATTAAAGATAATTTAAATGCGAAACAATAAAATCACTCCTGAGACCTTATTTAATAAAGCTTATTGTATATCTCTATTTGGTTACGATTTTAAAATGTATATGTGCAACTACGTCATTTAGTTGACAATGTAATAAGTAATGATGGTAACAGAAAACACGAAGGTCATGTGTATGTTGGCTATGTTCATCTAATATCAATTAAGAACGACGTCAAAAAGTAAGCAAAACTAGGCACTTGTATTGTATATTAGATGTGATCTCTGAAATTCAAATACCTTAAGCCAAAAAGGTTTGACAAGATGTTATATCGCTCGGGTATTTCACTTTTCATCAAGTGATCTCCACGATTTCGTGTTATCACACACATGTCACACAGTGTCACACACAGTAAAAATTTTCGAAATGTCATTGTAAGTAGCCCTATATTATTTTTATTTATTAGACAGTTGTACCATTATCGACGATGAATAAGAAACTAGTATAACAAGACTACTTTGCACTCTACGACTTTCCCATCTATATACCTATTTATGAACTTCCTTGGAAGCTCTATACATCGTACATACACTGTTGTATAATTATGTATTTAAGTTTACTAATTTTGTGCTATTGCCCTATAGCAATTAGTATTTTTTTAGAAAGCCTAAAGTAGAAAATCATTTTAGGTTATTCCAACATCAGTTTAACAATTCCGAATGCTGGGACTGAGCCTTTTTTCTACACTTCTATTTATACTATCTCTACTCATATTATAAATGCGAAAGTAACTATGTCTATGAGGGCTTACGTGGCGTACGCTGCAAAAAACTATTCAAGCAACCAAAAATATGTATAATTAACTGATTTTTCTTCAAATGATTAAATAAATCTTTGCGACATTATATTTATCTTTTAAGATTAACTCGCAAGATAGACGGGACGCGGATGACGTCGTGGATAACATTTTTAAATTATGGTTCTATGGCATGGCGGTCCTGCCTTTTTTTTTGTCTCCAGAGGACAAGTCATTTATCGTACTTGTTTGAGGATGCTCTCAGCACTAGACTATGACAGCTGTAACTTTTAGGCATATACTGTAGACATAAAAATAATAACATCGCGTAGTCATCTGACTGATGAGTGAGATTTGAGATCTCTCGTATCTACGAGAGATCTCAAATCTCACTCCCCGTTGGTACTTGAGGTTAATGCGGTACGCTTCCTTATACATATATTAAAAACATACATGAGAGTAAGCAACAAACGTAGTAAAACCTCATATAGACCATTAAAATAGCTGAATAAAACAGTTTTAACAAATGGAAACGTGAAATTCATGGATGCTGATAAATTTGATCGTAGTTCGATTATATTACCCCTTTTTAAACTCACGTAAACGACAGAAAAGAAAGTTAGACTACCGAAGTAATTATTTTTTATAGATAGAGGAAGGGATGGAGACAAGCACTTGATGGTAGGTAAAATGCCTCAGCCATATAACATCCCAACAGATAATAATAACATATAAGAACCCAAGAAGACTTAAACCGAAACGCGACTAAACTTCAGCTTTTTCATCTGTTGTGCTACCATCCATTCACGGACTTCATCTGGAAATCTTACCAGATTCAGAAGGCAGACATGTTTCAGAAAAATTAATGTTGTTATACAAAGATCTCTTCCTAGAAGCACGATAATGTCTGTTTTACTAGATACGTTTGAAAAGTCTCTAAAACTTAAATTCATCTTCTAGATACCTTAAACCGAATCTTAAAAATCATGCATTAATTATTCCTTCCTTCTAGTACATCTTCTCTTTCCTTTGTTTAAAAAAATATTCTATAGAATACACACAAATAAAACATGCTTAAGTTTGTCTGTTGTTCTCAGTACATTAAAAATGTTAACACTGCCTGAATACAAATGGCTTTACTTATTGCTTAAGGGACTTGTCGATTATTTTTCGAACGTATATTGTTTTAAATACAAACTTCCAGTTAATTTTAAGTCATTTATGAATACACCATGATTAGTAGCTTGAGATAAAAAGCAAAAAAGCGTTCTAAAAAATCAAAATTCTGTATACATTTTCACATATTCCATTAAAATAAAAGAATGTCCTTATTCTGAATTTAAAATATTTTTAATCTATAATTTAATATAAAATATTACACAAATTAGGTCGTACTTACGTTTTAATAATCCCTTTAGAATACACGTTCTCAACTGTGTGCAATCAAGGCGCCAGCTAAATGTGTACTAAGTTAGTCAGCTAGCCTTACTGAGTTGGTTACGACATTGGTATTGTGCCAGTGTCATGGGGCATTGGGACCATTTTCCGCTTCACTTTGTCTAAATGTGTAAAAAGAGAGTGAAAGAAAAAGTATTTTATTAAGATTAGCGTAGTAATGCTAAATAACTCAAACACATAAAAGACTAACTTTAATAGGATAGTACATATAATAAAATGTACCTTAGATTAGTACTATAGAAATGTGGAAGGGTCGCCAGTTCAGTCCTAAGTTGTAATTTTCCCAACATATCACGAAAGTAAGAAGACAGAAAAACATACTTTTTGTCTGTAGTTGCGAGTAGAACACTTTTAACGGTTGTAAACGCGATATATATGAGTTAACTACTTTACAATTTATGTTAACTACGGTTTGACGTTTCGGATCTTTTGCAGCCGTTGTCAAAGCCGCGTTGCTCGTGATTTAATATTTTTGCGTTTTAAACTCTTAACGTTTTAGTTAAATTTAAAAAACTTACGCCCGAAATTTTTTTACTTAGTTTTCTCTTGGTCAGGTTGATTTCGAGTATTACGTGTTCTCTTACAGAATTTAATCGAGTTTTTAGTACGCATTTACAAAAAGCGGTTAGAAGTTTAAGTATTGTCAGATGGAATGCTAATATAAAACTATTTTATAACAACCTTTACTAAATGCAAGTGACTTAATGTAACCTAAATTTCGCTACAGCTTGGCAATAAGACAAGCGAAACTATAAGATAGCTTGTTAACAGCATATGAAATTCATATTTCATATGCTGTTAACATATGAAATATGTACTCATGTACGAGATTTGGCTGATATGTTGTAGTATTATGGATAAGACAAACATCTACGACACGGGGAGGCCTTGACGAATTGCTATGCGTTTGGTTGTGACGCAAGTAGATCATCATTATACATGTTACCGTACATACCAAACGAATCTCTTACAAATTTTATCCCTTTATGCGTTATATTATCTATATTGTGAGACAGATATTTAAGTTGCATTGTCTGACCGGTACCTTATCTCGCGACAAAAGAATAAGAATAAAACGTAGATAGTAGAGCGTAGGGTTTTTACGTAATGTACAAGTTTCCTAATGTCTGCTGCTTTGATGGTAATATTGCACTTTCATTGTTAATGTAGTCAAGTGTGGTGGGGACTTTTACTTTATCTAATTGTAGATTCATAAAAGTTAAGTCTCGTTCCCTACTATGGGCATAAGGCTAACATATTTCTATTTTACTGATCAATTGTATACAGGCAAGTAGTTGAGTATTGTCTGTAGTTCACGTAATACAAAATTAAATGGAATGGTTTAAACCACGGCTGCTGCAAAGCATCTAAAACGTGTGGCCGTAATTAAAATAAATTTTAAATAATTTAACACCTTTCCCGTTTAAGCCATTAAAAGTGCTTTATTTAAATGACAAGTAGTTAGTAAAATGTCCAGTACCCTGCCCGACTGAAACTCTCAAACAAATTTTAAGTTACCCCAGAATGTGAACCTAGGACTTCTTGCCATTGACATAATGCCAGGATTGGTTTTTTGTTACCTACTTCTAAACCGCTTTTTAACTACTGAGCCATTTAGGCAGTTATTGTAGATAATTATTAATTAGAATAAAAATATTGATTTTTACTTCTTAGCAATTATCTTAAAAAAATATTATAAATATAGAAATAACTAAATCATAAACTTTCCCAAATAAAAAATACTAAGTACGCTACTAAAGCCTAAGTAACGATTAGCGAATCCGTAATTGTAATTTTTTAAAAAAGAGGGATCTCCTACATTTTACAATCAAATGAATGCTATTGTAATACAGGCGAGGCGTTCGCAAAATTGGCACATACGACCTAATTTTTCGGTCTGATTCATTAGACAATGCAATGCGATGTTTCGTTTCGATTGTTATTGATTCTTATACAATAACTTTGCTGACTTAAAAGTTTAAAGTCACAACCGTGAATGATTTTATCTGTTAACCTAACTAAAGAACGAAGAGTAGAGTTGATCGGGAAAATTGAAAATTATTTCAAGACTTTCTACTAAGAAAGACACAAGTTAAAATTCCATTATAAATTTTAAAAAAAACATTACGAATAGACACGGTTGCTCAATTGCAACAGCACGGAACGCTGCCGATGCCGGTTCATATCCTGCGCGTGTCGTATTTTTTTCTATTTGTAATCGATTTTCAATTTAAATTTATATTGCTTATAATTTTTTTATTAAATCATTGAATTTATTAAAAAAAAAACACCTACCATAACGACACTAGGGTTGTAAGGCGTCCGTAGACATTACACTATTTCGTAAGAATTACGGTAGCGAACATTTTGTCTGGGTTTGTAAATAAGGTCTCACGGTCAAAGCCATAATTAATCAGCCGGCACTGCCATTGAATAAGCTATTTGCATATTTTCTTATCATTACTAGTCACACGGAGGAGACAATTAGTACGAGAGAACCTCCAAACTTAGCTCAGTTAGATCGATGGATACAACATTCATTTAATCTGCACTTCTCGTCTCGTTTTCGTTCTCGGATGCAGCAGCCACGGCTAAGTTTGTTAACTCCTTGTAAATAAGTTAAAGTAATACACTTTACGTTTTAAACCGTTAAAAGTGTTTTATTTAAGCGCATTTAACGTGTGTAAACTACAGACAAATCCTCTAACCTCTTTAAAACCGATAAAAATTAATATTTTCTTGCTTTATCACTCAGTTTTTGAAGCATACAAAGGATATTATTTTGTGTGGCCGATACACTAGCCACACACAGAAAATTGTGTAAGCTTATGGTATATTCGAAAAAAAAACGCGCAATATTTCAACAAATCTTTATTAAAACATAACATAATAGTAAATAGAAAAAGTGAGTATCAATCATACAAGCATATTAATCACAAAGAAACATAGTCTGAAACATAAACACCAGACAACGAGCAGTTATTTGAACTTTGATCTGTTTCCTCAAATACCAAGTTTAACTTCAATTTACATTTGAAATTAAAAGTCATTTCCAATTTGATAGTTAAATCTTTCAATCAAAGGTTTGGTTCTTGGATGAATAGTTTTCTTATTACATTATAAGCATATTTTTGAAATTTGCAAAGCATTTAATAAAACCATAATATGTTTAAATATCGCACTTATTTCTTTGCTAGTAATATATTTTTAATCAATGACTAATTGACGGAAGGATCCATCGATTCCGAATAGTTCGTCATAGTTAGTTGGCTTTCCAGGTCTTAGGGCCTCGTTTGCTTTAATGCTTTCATGTTCAGCAAACCATTCAGTGTACTCTTCTAGTCTCTTGACCCATGCATCTGGAATTTTAAGCATTTATTTGAAATGAAGTTTGAGAGAAGAAGAAGAAGAATTCTTTAAGTATGATTTATTATCTTCTAATTAAACATTTAACAAGATTAATTATTAGTTTTAGCGTTCCCTTGTAAATAGAATCGATTCCAAGAAAACATTCAAAACATTTAAGATTTTTCTTCAGAAGAGACAGCTCCTTACCTACGGTACTGGTTGGTGCTTCCATTAAGTAAATAAATGCGGTTCAAGACCGAATACTCACTGTGAAGATCGTCCATGGGTCCAGCTTTGCCACCGTATTCGGCAGGCATCATCTCTTGTGGAAAGTGTTTGTATAGGTCGTTTGCGTCACCGTGAATGAAGATCTGTGGATCATTATTATCAATGTAAAAACTTATTAGTTACTAAACACATTTCGTTTACTTACTTACTTTGTCTTAGATAAATTAAGCAGCTGTATTTTCTACCCATTACTAAAATGGGGATTGATTTTTTGACTTAAGATTGAATTCAGAAAAGTCATACTTTATTTATAATAAAGACAGTAGTTAATATTAGACTATATACATTTCGTACTATTCGTTATTATCGAACTTTGTTATCGTTTTGTTTATTAAAGTTGTTATATATGTTTAATTAGGGCATATCAAATTTGAGACGTATTTCAAAACTTACTGAGTGGGACTCAAACCCAGGTGCGTACTACGCTGTTATTGATGGAGCAACTAATCAATTCTATAGATAGACAAGTAAAACGATAGAGATCTTAAACAATTTTCAAGCGAAGTCGTGTATTGTTTTTATTAATTTCGGCCGCAATGTTAAAGGCACTCTCGAGTAAATAAAAGTGGTGTGTTGTAACTTCGTAATGGTTTTGTTGTAATTTTCTGATAATTACGACCTTACCCTTTCTCTGATCTTTTCTTTGAGGAAAGGTTTCACGAAGTTCACTATTTTGTCCACAAGCGGAGAGACGTTGATGATGTGCACTTGCTTCAACTTAACTGGGTAGGCTTCCTGAAAATTGGGAAATATAAATCTTATATGTACATAATTAAGTAGCACCTATAATAAATACCTTTGAACTTAAAATAATTTAACAAAAGTTATCAGTTAAGTTGTTTTGTTCACTAGAATAAAACAAGCTTCCAATATTTTATTCCTACTTTAAAATGTAGTTTTATTATACCTTAGAACTTTACATGTAAACTCGTCGACAGGAACAAATAATGTTTGGTTATTTTTAACATACACATTGATATTTACGAGACATTTACAACACAAATCTAAAAATAGGAGTGCAATTTTTGTCTTCACTCCTTATAATTTTATAAAATGTATTAACATCTTACCTGCACACACACTAGGAACTTCTTGACAAGCGTTGGTGTAAATTTGGCGAAGTGTGTGGGAGTGGCTACGGATGCATCGAGTACGTAAATGTCTCCAGCTACGCCTTCCTTTTCTTCCTTGAGCCTTACGTCTCCCATCATCAGAGCTAGCTTAAAGGCATCCGCCACGTTTGGAGTTTGCGCGTCTTTGTCCAAACCTGAAGCAAATAAAAGTCTCAAATAAAATTATTGTTTAAGACAAAAGATAGATTTCGTTATTTATTAACTAATTCTGACTTTCAGTTAAAAAGAAATGTAAGAAAAGAAAAGCCGACAAAAATGTTTATTCTCTATGTGTGTTCAAGCACTTTTGAAGTGGGCATAAGTATTTTTAATACAGAGGAGGCAAGCTGGGCGTTCGCTTGACGAAAAGTGAAATATCCCAGTCAGATAAGATCTTAACAAGATGTGTTGTTGACTTGTTTTGGCTTTGATGTTCAGAAATCCGGATCGCATATGTAATAGGTACTTCGGTTTTTTCATCTTACACAAATGAAAAAAAATTGGTTCATGACCCGTACAGTTCCACGCATTTATTATATAGATATTCCGACGTATTTAGTTCCATCAAGTGAATCCCCTGATTCCTCCCATGTCCATAAAAAAAACAAGACATTGTTATACCTCTCATCAGTACGACACGGCGACCATCTGGAGTGAGACCCGGAAGTGGTGGCATTTGACTGTAAAATAGAGGGGAGGTTTAACCACTACGAAAATGTAAATGACGTTAGCAAACACAACATTTTTATCTCTTTTTTTAATACCAGTTTTAATCCCATAAGATGCTTACATTTATAAATATGACTTCTTTTTAGGTTATACTGTAAGCAAAAATAATAAACCAAATAAACATGCTTGTCAATCTTAGTTGACTTGTAAGTAGATAACTTTTTGTAGAGTAGTGTTAAACATTATCCAAAGAAACTGATATAGACATCAGACATGCTAATGAAATAAGTTATTCTAACTACGTATAAAAAATACGTTTAAAATTGTATGGCACAAGCAATATATTTCAATGTACTATTGTAGAATGTGCTAAGTAAGAACTTAAAGGTTATATTTTAGTACTTAGGCCGATCAAAAGTTCTCTAAAGATGCTTCTTTTTATATCTAAAAGAACCACTTATGAAAAAAAGATGACTACACATAAATTATTACATAATTTTAATATTATTATAGCAATTTATTCTATTCTTCGAGAACCTTCAACCAATGCTAAAAATAGTTTTTTGTACGAACGTGCGTTTGAACTGTATTTAAAGTGTTTACAAAAGTTTTGATAGCTTAAAAAGTTTTCCTTAACCTAACTTTATTAATCTTACTTTGAACAAGTTTACTTATTTCTTATTCCACAATAGACTACTTACACGATCTGTAAAATCTCCTGTAGTTCGGGCAGTTTAACGTCTCTATTGGTGAAGAACTCGGGCACAGCAGTCCTCATGGTAAAGTACATATCCAATTTGCGCTTAGTCTTCTCCAGGGAGAATTTACAGCCCCGCAGGAATGTCATGAGACGCTGGTCATCTGCAAAAACATATTGCAAATGATTAAATATTATAAAGTTTTTATTATTCTTACGTAATTAGTTAAATTTCAAATAATTTGTTAGTTTATAATTAATTAATAAAATTTTAATTAAGAAACTAGGGCAATACTTGACTTTAGAAAAAATGTAAATGTGAAACAATCAAAGAAATACAACATTAGTTTTACAGAGTTATAAGAATGAAAAAGGTATAACATCTAAGAAGTATAAATACTCAAGAAGAAGTATCGGGAATTTAAGTCCAATTAAGTAAAAATCCAACCAAATTCGTCAGGTAGATGCGGTTCCTTCTTGAGCCACTCTTTAATGTGTTCCAGGTCTTGGTCTCTGGTGTCTGGGTTCTCGTTGAGCTCCTCCCTGATCTTCTTCCACATCTCTCCAGCTGGCTGTTCGAGCGTCATTTCTGGTTCTGGAAAAAGACAATTTATATATTACAAATTAGCATTATCATTGAAGCTATTTTTAACTCTAATTGAAAATAAAACTCGTTATATTAAGATTTATTCTTTCATATTTATCATTTTAATTAGTGTTGTTTTTCGAGTAACTAAATTAAAACAATGACAAGAAGGCATAAAAAGAAAAAAATTTAAGCGAAGTGTATAAGAACATCTTTACACGTTTAAATAAAACTCTTTTTGGGGTTTTAAAGAGGATTTTTTTTTTTTTTTTTTTTTTTTTTTTTTTTTTTTTTTCCCCCCCCCTTTTTCTTTTTTGCTTTGGGCTGCTGCAAAATCCGAAACTCGGGCCGAAACTATAATGTACTACACGTGTAATAAGACAGCATCTTTACACGTTATTATTAAATTTAATTCGTCATTGTTCGCAAAATACAGAGTCAAAAGGTGAAGGTTGACTTTGTTTTAATGATTTACAATAGAATAAAAGTTTCTGAAAATTACATTTAAAGTGTAATTAAAACATTAAAGATAATGCTGCCGTGCTACGAAGAGTTTGTTATATTGTCCGTCCTGGTTATCATTCTTCATCTCGTGGGGGTAATTTTTGAAACCCATCAAACTGCACTAGAGCAGAATGGTGGGTCTTATCTTTAAAATCCCATTTCCTATGATAGACCAGACTAGCGAGCAGCAGCACGCTATCAGGATTAAATGATTATTCTTTTATTTCACATTCCATTCTTTATTATTTATTGTAATCAATCAAAAACCTTCAATTTTACAAAATTCTTTGTAACCTCCCTTCAATCATCATTTCAATTATCAAATTCTTTGTAATTGACACACGATTTTCCATTGCTACAATACAATAATTCAGTGATATTGTGTAATGTGTTATTGTTTCGTTACGAAAATATATTATCTAATAATTGTATGTACATCACGTGTTGTTTCATTAGCCGTCTCTCTAAGCCTCTAGTGGTTATGACTTGAATTATATTAAGTTACTAACTGTGCCCGTGGCTTCGTCCGCGTGGAAAGTCATTTTAGACTGGTAGTTGAATTGTTTACTAATAGTAGATCGATTTTAATCTATTTTTATCATACTATTAAATTATTGTAGCACGGCAAGTTCGTCGTTTCGTGTGTACGTGTTAACATACACACGAACAGACAGAAAATGTCATCTCCTTTCTACATCATTCAATTTATATTTTGATAATGTTAATTATTAAAAACGACAACCGTTTAGTTTCTTCCTAGCTACCTTAAGTTTTTAGCACATTCTAAAATATTATAAAATACTTATATAGGTAACAGATTAATTACTTTACAAATACAGATTCAAAGCGTTTCTCTTGTTGAAATGTCAAATATTTGTTTAATCAAAGTGCTTTGATCGACACGCGACAGTAAAACTCCTCGAAGAGCATTCGTAACATTTTAGAGCATCTGACATGGATGGATGGACTGTTACCATTTAGCCGCGTTGAGCAAAAACTATCTCTGATTCATATAGCAATTACCGGAACGGTTTTCGTGCAAAAAGTGTTTAAAATTGCTTTCACCACACTTCTCCAAGTCACGAAGACTATTCTTACCTAAATAACTGGTGTACCAATTTTTACATCCATTGTGGTTAGATCAGAAAAAGTGGGTTAGTAAAAACCTATTCGGTTTCTTTTATCCATCGTAAAACTCCATCATTGTAGTAGTACTATACATCTACTAGATATTAATAAAGCTGTAGACCCATCGTTAGACTACTTACTGTTTTAGTAGTTAAACATCTTCACGCATGTGGTACTTATTTCATTACAACAATTTTAACGGTAAATAACGCGTTTGATATTTTACGCGCCTATTAGTTGTTGTTATATTATTTTTAAATGCGTCGTTTGTGATGCTGATTCAATGTGTTTAAATTTAAAACAAGTCCCCAAAGGCTTAAAGAAAATCGTTACTTAATTTCGAATTTTGGAGAAGAAAAGTGTTTTCAAAGAAAATTCAATGATTTAACTTATACTTTTAATAACATTTATGTCATAATTAATATCTTCCTGAAATTTCCTAGTTAATATTTAGTGCGCAATTAAAAGATTTATCAGCTTCTACGAAAGAAAGAATTAATATTTATTTAGTATTTTGAACTAACATCCTCCTGAAAAATAAAATGTCACTCACCCCCTACCACTTTCTTTACCTATATGAAAGAAAGAAGTAGAAGTGTGTGTGGCACACTTTTAGGCCGTAATGCTATGTAAATAAGAAGCATTGAGACCAGGAGCACATAAATATACAAGAGTGAGAAAAGTGCGGAACTGCATTGGCCGCTTGACTGGTTTCTATGCAATTTCTCGTTGAGGGTAATAACCTAATGCTCCACAGACATAACAATTAGATTGAAATAAAGAGATATTTTATATATATACTTAATAAGATTATGAGGTTAAACGTTATAAAAAGATGTGTCTAATTTGTTTTAAAAAGTAAAGCTAAAATTCTTTATTAGTAACGGGGTGACTTGATATGATGGGTCATACTTTACACATTTCTTACGTCGCAATTTGATTAGCAAATTTAGTTTTCAGGTAATAAATTTAAAAAGCTCAGCTATATATATTTGAAATTTTTAGTTTCTAAAAGCTACTAAACAGTTAGTATGTACGACAACGTAAAATCAACCGGCTAAGTACGAGTTGGATTATTGAACTGAGGGCTTCGTACCATTGACTAAGCAGAATACTAGACTAAAAATATCAAAATGATGATGATATTTACATATTTTAAAACAATCAGACAACAATGTTTTATTTATAACGTTCGGGTACGAAACCCTAAAAACAAAGTTTAATATTTGTACTTGAACTTGAAAGTATGGCTGAAAACTTGTTTTCAGCTCACTCAGCTTGTATTTATCTTGGTGTATCCGCAATCACAACACAGACACGAAAATATGGACACTGATAATCACCTTTGAAATTAAATATCAAATCACTCGCCAACCTCTCAACGATTTTCACACTTTCACTTGAGCGTAACGTTTTTGATGATTTTTATGAAATTTTTTGCAAAAAGAAATTCGATAGGAGCCCCGTGACTCGCGACGCAAGGAATGCGAGTGGTTCTATGCGCGGGCGCTTTTTATCATTTCGTCACGCGGGTTGATCTCGGAACGGGAGAGAGGTGTATTCGGAATTCAAAATAATTGTTCTGTTATGTCATTTGTTTAGATTTATTTATTTTTAAACTTTCCATTTATGATTTAAAAATAAATAAAAGATGTGAGAAGCCAGACTGTTTAAAATTTTACGAAGATTTATTTAATTATTGCGAAGATAGATATTACAGGGTGTATAATATCTATCGACGTGATAATTAAATAATCTTAGGATTTCCAAGTGCTAATCAACTTACTATAAATTGTATTATATTGGTGTTTCTGTTATGTTCCTTAAACAAATAAATAAACTTATCAGGGTAACTTCTGCGCCAATATTTAAAGACTTATCGCAGAATTATTTTTAAAGGCGATTTGATTAAATGTGAGGAATTAGAATCTTATAACGATTCAATACGATATGAGAGATCTTCTTTATAAATTATCTATTCTATCCTAAAATAACCCAAAAGTGTGTCACCCTATAAAAGTCATCCGAAGAGCATACTAATCTGCCTTATCTATGGTGCAAGTAGTACAAGACAGTATGGCAAAGAAGTAATACCGAAAAAATGAAGGCCCTTCAAAACCTCAGTGTTGCAATAATTTACCCCAAAGTGAGGCCACATTCGTCTTTCGTAATTCGCAATGCGGCTGTCATAAACGTAAACCATAATGGCAAGTGGAGTTAGAAATCCGTAATGACTGTGACTCATCGTGGTCAGTGGATTGCGTGGTTCCATTGCACCAGTCCCGTTACCGAACCGTAGAAGACAGCTAGTGGCCTAGGTAATTTTGTATATACTGAAGCGTTCCTTATGCTTAGGCACGGCAATGACACATTGTGTATTTTTTTTATTGTTTCTCCAGAATTTTAGGACAATTTCTTAAATATGCAATTTTAAAACGTGCTCCTAAAGATAAGAATGGTAAGAAATTGTACATCATCATATAGTTGTTAGAAACTCTGTGTATTCATAATAGTAGTACTAACGTCTTACTTTGATTTAAAAACGACTTGCATGATAAATCCATGTATCAGTGAACTAGATGAAGGAATAGGATGAAGACGAGAGAAACACAGAAGCCCAATTGGTTAAAACAGCAGATATCGGTTCAAGTCGTCAGGACGCCTTATCAATTTTTATAATTTAAATAGATTTTTAATTTATAAAAATAGAGTAATTTAAACTAATAACCAATTCTACCTCATGAGATATTTGACTACCAGAATAAATAAGGGCATTATACAGTGAAAAAAAAATTCGCCAGGATAATGCAAATGGAAACAAAGCCCCGAATTTCATAACGCGATCGCACGATGTTAATTTGTTGTACGAAGTTGCGCACGCGAATTATTATGTCTAGAGAAAACAGTATGCACGCTGCAGCTACATAAGCTCAATAAGAACAACATAAAGAAAAGCATATAACAGAACGGATATTAATTAGGCTTAGCATACAAAACCGTTATTCATATATTCGTCGTTTTTGTATTAAAAATTATTAAAAGTTCCATTGTAAGAAAAGACATTGAATGATTCAATTACACAGGAGAATTTTTTTACTAGGCAGCTAATATATATTCTGATAAGTCCGGGTGTCCTGGTATAGCGACAGCAAACACGTTTATGAAAAGAAGTTTATACCTTGTTACCATCGTGGCGACGGGAATTTAACCTAACTTTTCCACAAACGATGGTCACCATAAAACACAATCAGTGCACTACAAAATTGCTGTGCAACACAAGCTACAATTACGCAACTGATCTTTGTTCTCAAAACATTAACAAACATTTTGTATTTCTTGTCTTCATCCTCACTCAGTCTTTTTATCTTGGCTTTCTAAATACAGATATTTATTTCTATCTTACATACATTTTCGCTCGATTTTGTTAAATTTCTATCCAATACGAACTGTAGAATAACACGACGAAGAAACAAAATAGAACTAGATATATATATATTTTCTTATATATAATACTAGCCGTGCCAGCGACTTCGTCCGCGAGAAGCATTCGTTTGGACATCCAAATTCGTTTTTGCAAAAAACGTCATCTTTCTAAAATTAGCTGTTACCCACGATGTCGGTCGCGTCCCTTCCTATTTAAAAGATAGACATATAGCAAGGCGGACTTTTTTAAAGATAATATAAAGGGGAATCGTTCTTTCACACATAATTTTCGGGTATCTTAACCGTTTTTGCAGCACCTCGGAAAAAATAATGATGATGCCAAATATTATAAAGAAAAATCTGTATACCAAATTTCATTTAAATCGGCTCAGTAGTATTGGCGTTAAAGCCGGACAGACAGACAGGCAGACAGAGAGAGTTACTTTTGCATTTATAATATTAGTATAGAAAGCCTTCCTCGATAAATGCTCTTACCATCACAAAAATCATTTTTCGATTCGAACCGGGAGTTCCTGAGATTAGTGCTTTCAAACAAACAATATTCAATAACCTCTTCAGCTTTATATATTAGTATAGATGTTCTAAAGTTTTATAACTAGGAATTGATTCCCTAACCTTAATTATTCAATTTTGTGTAATTACGTTTTTTAGGTAGTATTTATACTAAGTTAGGAAAAAATACGAAAGTCTTTAATATAATTACTGTGAGATAACAGAATTTTCCTTCAAATTGATAAGTTATCTCAATAGCTAAAGTTTTGGTCCGTTACAAATAAAGTGAATTCAGCGGGTTGTAGAAACTTTCTAATTCGTTAAAAACATTCGCAGCAGTGACTTTGCAAAATTATTTTCACATTTCGAGATAATTATGTGAACAACGTGATATTATTAATTAGGATTGTTATACAGAACGCTTGGTGGTTGTTTTAATTGGACGGTTAATAAAAGTTGGTGAAAAATTAATAAAATGAATTATTTTTAACAGCAGCCTTTCGGGGATCATTAATATGAATTGTGGCTTGGAATATTTGTATCCGTATGTTTATTTCAATAAAAGTTCTTCTGAATATGAATTTAAATTACACAACTAATGAAAGATTTATTTTCAATGCAGAAATTTAAGAATAATATTAATGGTATGCTATAATCATAACAAACATTATTCTCAAATTACATTTTTTCAAACAAAAAATACTCGTATTTCATGCGCTAGAGATGCAAGTATGATTAGATGATAAAATTTGACGATGACGTGTCAGGATTTGTACCAAGCCTGTTCAAGTCCTGCCCGTGTCGTAAGTTTTTTTTAATCAAAAATCGATTTTTTATTCACTGTACAAGAAATTCGTCACCATGTGTTAAATTTAATTGAATCATTCCAATTAAACAACCCTACTGATTTAAAAGCGAAGTGTATACGTTAATTTATTGATGAAATTAATATAAATTAATTGAAACAAATGGTAGAATAAATCAAGGAATTTATTTCGCGTTTTAAACCGTTTATTTTTTTCTAATGGTTTTATAATCCGGCGGCGTGAGGCGTAGACACGGCTACTCATAGATTGACTTACTTCTAAAGCCTATATAGAAAAATATGTGAACTAGCTGTTTTGCGCCTTGAAAGCCATTTTCGTGTTTCGTTTGCGGTATCTAGATTGGTTGCGTTTAGAAAGCGTCGGCCTGTTCTCCGGTGTTACCTCAAATCGAAGTAATCTTCGCACGCGAATTTCTACTTAACGGTGCAATGTACTGTAAATGTTTTATTATAGAGCGTAACGTCTTAGATGTTAAAATTAAAGCAAAATTTTATGACCTGTATCATGAAGCTGAAGCTGTATCATGCCTGCCCGACCTAGAACCAAAACTCCGATATGGTTCCTGTTAAAAATGTAATGTCAAATAGTAGATTGTGGGAATTTACCCATATTTGGATCTCTTATTAAGAGTCTGTATTGTTGGTTACAAAGTATTGTGTATTGCACGAGTGATACATAAATAAAACTTTTTTAACGCTTTGGACCGCGAAGTTTATTAGTTAACACATTCTTAATTTTTTTTTCCATGGGCCCGGGTTTTTTGTGGGGGGGTTTGGCCCAATTTTGGGGGGGGTTTTTTGGGTTTTTAACCCTAAAAAATTTTTTTTTTTTTTTTTTTGTTTTAGGGGTGGGTTTTTAAAAAATATATTTTTCCCTTTTTTTTTTCAATTTGGCCAAGTTCGTTCAAAGAAAAAAAGCTTAGGTCTATTTCAACTCAGGACTCCCGCCACGGTAAACCACTGAGTCACCAGGGCCGGATCAATATGCTCATCGTGCGGAGCTTCAAAGAAATTACCGTTAACTATTATTAAAGTAATGTCCCTGGCGTGCCTATTGTCTAAATATCCGTTGAATATTGTACAGAATTGGGTCCCGGTAATTAGGGACTACGGTACTCACTAATAAGGGAAACACGCGCAGGGAATATTAATTAATCCAATTATATAGTGGGGGCTGAATATTCGGATATATTTTCGTTTATTTTCTGGATACCTTTATGAAGACTAAAAATGAAGATAAGTAATTTCGACATCGAGGTGATGACTAGACAGCAGATCACCAGGTATCTAGTTTCGAAGTGTTTTTGTGGTCGGGTCTAGATAGACTCGGTATCTCTTCTATCCAAGAGACCTTTGTCAGGTAGTAGTAGAACTATAATGCCCAAATGCCCTATTGTCACTGGTTTTATGAATGGCTTTCAGATTTAAACAGACATAGGACAAGATACGCCGATAGAAGACTCCAAGTGAGTTCTTTTGGCAAATATTTTCAGACCTGTTCCTGTAATTGTTATAAGTAATATAAATAAATAAATCTTAACATAGTTATAGTTAAAATAATAGTTTCGCGGCCATTTTGCTGTTTGGGTTGAGGTTGGGAGATGTTAAATGTGATTTACTGGTGATGGTGGTGGTCGAGGACCAATTCTCAACTGTGATAGCCGAACAGGTCGAAAATCCAAGGATGTTCCGTAAAAAAAGTGAAATATATTACAAGCTGACGTAGCTGGTGAAATTTGAGTTAATTGAAACCAAATTAGGTACTAAATTTTTGTGATGTATACGCAATAGAATATTCTTTTGTATTCGATATTATTACCCCTATTGAGGTGGAAATAATGAAAATTATAGACATATTTGACGGGATTAATATTCAGTATATTAATGAACGGACAATCATTAGGACATTTCTTAGACATACATTCGTATGTATTAGTATGGTATTGTTGTAAAGTTCGTACTATTTTATGACGTCGACGTATTTTTAACTTTGAACATTCATAAAGCAATTGCAACAGAAACGCAAAACCGCTTTTCCATCCGTAGAGGGAATTTTGACATTCCTAATACTAGTCGAACAATTATTATGCATCGGGTGAAAATCAAATCCACTACCCGTTGGTTATTATAAGTCATGTATGTTATTATAAGTCCTGTGAGACTTTAAAAAAACCACCGGCCCCACATTAGACCAACAACCACGTCAAAATGTAACATAGTTTTAATCACCAACTCAATGTTCTATAAGTGGTTGAGTTATATATAAATTAAAAGCCCAAAATGAAACAGTATGTCGCATTAGATACAATATCGAAGATGTTTTTTTATTGTACACGCAGAAGAATAGCCCCCTCCCTTTCACTACTGCATGCTCTGTTAACACGGTTCCAGCAACTGAAATTATCTTAATAATGACTAACTAATAAGATTTTTATTATCATTTTACGGATTTCTAAGATACTTAAGTATGTTTGGAGTTATTTTTTAATTAGTCTTTGTCGACAAATTTTAAAGTAATATGGATATTTAGTTATTTTATTTACTTATTGTTATAAAAAGCATCGAGTTTTATAAAAATAATATTAAGTATTTGTTTATTTCTGATATTCGTTTTGAGCGATTACTACTATAGTAGAAAAACATTATATGTTCATCTATACGTTATATATATTAATAATATATATATAAAGCAATATCTATACTAATATAAAAAACTAAAGAGTTTGTTTGAACACGATAATCTCAGGAACTACTAGTTCGAATTGAAAAATTATATTTGATAATTATTTGCGGTGGTTAGAGCATTTAATGAGGAAGGCTATAGGCCATAAAACATCGCGCTAATAGGAGCGAAGAAACAACAGAAAATGTGGGAAAAACGGGAAAAATTATTCATCCTTGTGGGTTTTCGTCGCGTACGCTGCTAAAACGGTTCACGATACCCAAAAAATATGTAAAAAATAATTGTCCCTCTTTAAATGATCTCAAAACTGTCCGCGACAGTATCTACCTTTTAAGAATAACTTGCAAGAACGTCGGGACGCGAGGACATCGTGGGTAACAGCTAAAGTTAATAAAGATGAGAGAAAGAAGAGGTTTTGCAATACCAAATTTTGATGCCTAATATTACTACTCTATGCGGACGAAGTCGCGTCCACAGCTGTAGATAATATTTTAAATAAAATACTTTTACCGGTTTAAAAAGCGACAAATATTTTGCAGCAGCCACGGTAAAATTGTTACTAATAGATAAACCGTTAGCTTTTTTCCTTTAAATGTTTAGTACTCGGATAAACTACTGACAGGCCTAACCCAAATGGTCTCAGTGGAAGATTCGCAGGTACAAGTGCTGAGTGTAATTAGGAATGTTGGAAATAGTAATTAAAAGTAAATAAAAACCGATGAAAATAATGTTATGTACATTTAATATCTATGAATCTTGTATAAATATAAAAAACTTATTAAATTTAAATATCGTCTGAGTGTTTGTATTCAACCCTTGTTGAAAAAATCAATTTTGTAGGTTACCGAAATGCGGACGATATAAAAGTTTGTGAGTATTATTAATTCAAGAATATATACTATTATTCACTACAATTATTAAATTAATATTGAATAAGAGAAATAATAAGAGCTAATAAGAGAAAATCAGTAGGACATCGATAAGAAATAAATTACATTTACACAAGTCTAATGTAAGTAAGTTACTTTAGTAAATATATTTGTTAAGTGCAACATATACTATACATTTCTTAACTTTATGGTCATTGGATACTTTAAACTTTTTTCATAGATAACTATGCATATCTCGCATTAGCTAGTATATTGTACGGGTAGGTAGTAAAGTAGATTATATTTAACTTAGTACATAGAGGATTTCATGATGCGTAGTTAAAGTTATTAATAAGTCCTACCGAAGTAGAACGTCAAAAAATTGAGTTAGACTCATTTGAGTGATCCCCTCCACGGAAATCTTTAGTAAAAGGCGAAAGATTTATACGTTTTGAAGGGAAACCAGAGTAACGAATCTTTGCTTTTGCTAAGTACTTATGCGAACACAAAAGTACAATGATATCGCGTTGCAGAATTCACGGCGACAGCGCCATCTATTTTCAGAAGTTGTAAGCTATTGTAAAATAGAAGTGAAAACTTAGTTTGTTAATGTAATAATAATAATAGGCCATTGTCATAAAAATTATAGACTGGTGTTGTAACGCGTTGCGGTACGAATTGGTTTGCTGTCCTCTAAGGGTTTATGTCATAAAAAATCACAAAAATATAGCATAATTCAGAAAAACTATTAACTATATATATATATATATATATATTTATATTAAATAACTATTTTACTTTTATGGCGGTGTAATCTTGTTGATTTATTTAAACTGATTGGCAAGACAGATATTTAAATATTATAATCGATGTTAGTCTATAATACCGCCATCATCCAATATTTATAGTTTTTTTTTATGTGCAAACTGATTATTAAAAATATAACTATTTACAAACATTCACTAACAACGTAAAACATAATCTTAACTTTAAACTTCAATAATAGTATTAATTGTTTTCACCATCCACGTTTTAAGCTTTGCAAGTATAAGCTTTACACGTAGAAGCTTCTATCCACTTTAAGGGTCCTGTATGCTCCTTGGGGCCCTTCATAGAGATCAATATCCAGAGACTTGCAGGACTGGCTTCTCGATATGTCATAAGAGCTAACACTGAGGAGATTGCGTATAGAGCTTTTCCGTCGACGTTTTTCAGGTTTTAATTCTGTGTGATAATACTTTCGCTCTTCACTTTGCAGCCATTTGGAATTCAATAATAGCTTCTTGGTCCACTCATCTGCAAAATGTATATATGATGTGAGAAATTTGTACGTTAAGGCAGATTTGAGTTTTAATTGAAAATGTCATGGAACTATATAAATAGGAAGTAATTAAACAAAAAAAACTTTAAATTATTTCTGTAGTTTACGCAATACATATTTAAATAAAATTTTACGAATTAAAACGCGAAATCTTAAACTTACTTCTTATTTTATATAATATTTTAATATGCTAACATAACGTAGCAGATTTGACTTTGGCATTAAAATGCACTCCTCATCTTAAGCCCCTCAGGACTACGGCTTCTCAAACATCCGAAACGATGGGCCGTAAGAAAAATAAGTTAACTAATATATTTCGCATTTAATTCCCTTAAAAGTGTCTTAGTTACAAAATAACTTTTTCTGAAGAACTATTTTTTTTAAATCTTGTAGTGAGTACCAATACAAATCAAGAGTCTTAAATTTTTTCTATGCAATTATCGCAATATACGCAATTTATAAGAGAAGCGATATAAGCCACTTTATAAAATGCGTTGTCATACCAATGAAATTACCATTAAGATCTTTCATAGCACCAGCTTTCCCGCCATATTCATGAGGTAAGCCCTCAGGCGGGAAGTAATCAACACCCATCACGTGCCTAATTCCCTCCGCAGTGGCGTGAATGACCTTATTACGCCAGGGGTAGAGACTGATGTGCAAAAGCAGGAGGGAAACAGTTTTCAGCTTTTGTGTGTTGATTATGTGGATCTCGGAAAACCGAAGCGGGTACGCTGCCTGGAAAGTTTAAGCAAGTAATATAAATAAAAGAAAGAGGAAATTCGTACGTTGTTTCCATAATTAAGGATTAATTTATTTTTCTTTCTTGCTGTCATTACTAAGTCTAGTCTTTAATTAATTGTCTTTAAGTATTTCGTAACGTATATCTTCAAATCGATAACTCGGTATAGTAAAATAAAAAAAAAAACTAATTATATATTTTTTTATTTACCATTGGCAAAGTATTGTGGGATTGGCAAATAAATGAACGCCTTCTAATAGTTAAACAAATATTTGAAAATTACTAAATGTGGACAACGAGTAAATATTTACGTAATCCCACCTTCATGCACCAAGCGAAATCTTTCCAATACGTTCCTCTAAAATGATTTTTCAGATGTGCAGGCTGTAGATCACATACGTCTATTATTACTACCTCCTCTCCTGGCGTTGAGTCTTCTCTTAACCTGAAATCAAAGACTAAATTTAAAAAAAATCCATATAACATATTTTATTTAATTTGGATACCTAAATAATGGCATAATGTAAACGTTTAACGTTACTAATGTAGGTGGCGCTGGTATAAATAATTCCTAGTACGGATCTACGCCACTAGATGGCTTTATAGATCTACAAATTATTTTAAAACGCGCAGTTAAAATTTTCTTGAAGTACCTTAAATACTTTTAATAGTAGAAAAATAGTTATCGCTTCTCGGCCTTTTGGCTAAGATCAAAGTGTAGTATCTGTTCTTTTCAGCTTAATATCTGAAAGTTCCCGCATCGCGGGACCAGTATATTAAACTGATTTTTGGAAGCTGACGGGATGTTAGGGGCTCGCTCCACTCCTGTCGCGGGTCGGCCCGGCATTGCAGTGCCGCCGGGATCGGCTCAATCAATAATATACACTCATAATAAAAACAACCCTAAACCAACTTCTATGGTTAAGGCGGTGCCCTGTCTAAGTTCCGTGTTGTCAAAAACTTTATAATTATTAAATCTAATCAAAATTCAAAAACAATTATTCGTGTAGGTAACACGTATGAGCGTTAATCCAGTTAAAAATAAAAGATTCAATTGATATTTAGGTTCTACCAATTCTTAAGGCCAATAAACTCACCGCCAGTCCTTTTATTGCCAAGTGATACATATTGCCATAATAATTGAGAAAAATATAAAAATAAACATTTTAAATCTTATTTCGTCTTGGAGCGGGTTCCTTCAAGCCCCCATTATTTTTTCTGTTATTTATGTGAACACCACGAAGAAAAATGCGCACTAACACATATATAAACGTGATCGGAATTGTATAAAAATCCTAGGAAAATTATACATTTCCGAAACCTGGTAACATAATTTATTATAAATTACTATTTATTATTATATATTCTTCTTCGTGTGTTCTTACTAGTTAAAAAGTAATGTACCTTATGTCTAGAATCATGAGCCATCTCGCCAGCAACGCCTTTGCAGACAACGGCCTATTCAAAGTCGATGGCGCTGGCAGTCGGATAAAGGTTAGTCGCCTTCCACTTGCGCTCGGAGCTCGCAGAGGTACTATGTATCTGGAAATTACAGAAACAGGGGTACAACATTTCTATTTATACAGTTGCAGTTTCGTATAAAAGACAATCTTTTATATAAAAGTTAGTTTTTAGCTTTATTAAAGTGAAGTGTTGAAATAGTATGTATACTATGTAAATTTAAGATGAGTTTGATAACAGGGTTAGTACAAGATATATTGTTCGAATATCTATGCACTTCTTAGTCTATTATATTTATTATCGATAATCAAAGTTGATTATAAAGTTTGCATAACTATGGAATATATATTATGTCTTCAATTTAAATTAATTAAATTCAATATTTTAATAGTTAGTATATTTTAAGAGTTGTTAAAAAACCTACATGTCTTGACAGCTGGACAGTATGTCTTCGTCGTCAGGTCGTCGTTGATGCCATAACTCTGTAAGTCCACCAGGTCCTCGAGCCGTGTAATACTTTCTCGCTCTTTTAGCCGCCTCTGTTTCATCTCCGTCACATGTGGATAGAATGAGATCAAGATTTGATATCTCGTCCACTGATGCTTTCCTGGTAAGGTTGTCGAGGGCCCATCGTTCACTGAACGACGCTGCCGAAGACATCCTGGAATCTGAAATAAATAAAATGGGGAAACCGTTTAATAGAAATTGATGTATTTTTATCTCTACTTAAGCCATGTTAACCTGGTATCGCTGACTACAAATGTGTGAAGAATTTTTGACAAAATGCCGTGAATAATTTTGTAAAAATTTAATTGACTTTTTTAAACTTATAATTTTAGCGACGCTACATGCCAATCTGTTATCGACCATATAAAGAAAAAAAGTACTTACTTCTCTTATCATCATCTACTTAAATTTTTATTACAATGATATTAAATTGATGATAAGAATATCGAAACTTCTGTTTGGGTCACAAACCGACGTCCACATAATATGTAAAGGTTTAATTGAGTTTCTTTTTCACTGTGTGGACTTCAATTCTTGTATATGATATGTGATATGTTGGTGATATCTTTCTTAATATTTGTATAAGTCTTACTACTATTTCAAAATATAACGTAAGATTATGTAGGTTCTACTTGTGACGGAAAATATCGTTTCCCATACACCCGTGCTGAGGTATTACGATAATAAAAAAGTAATTTCGCCTGAATCTCATTTACACTAGGAGATATTTGAAAGGAAAAATATTCTCTTTACATGTTCACACGTAATATATTCTTCCGCACCGATATTTACATAGCTGTTCAAAATATGAATATCTTTTGAGAGCTTCCTTCATCGTTTCGGGGAATATTTTATTTCCGAACACAATTTGATAGGTTCGCCTTGCATTCGCGGAATACGGAGGATATATTTGAGAATTTAGTTACAGTGAGGTTGTATTACGAAGTGTTCATATATTTGATACCTGCATTGAACGCGAAATTAAAAAAACTGGGAAATGTATATTTCCGAGTATTTTTTGTATGTATGTGTATTTTTACTCTATTTTTTTTTAAATGAATTATGATTGTGGTTCCATTACAACCAAATTTTAAAGCACCTTGCTCATCGATACTTTTTTTTTGGTGGTTAAAAATGGTGCAGTCGTTCAGAATTACGATCGTATTCCCTTCTGCGATTTCCTTCTATTTATACAAAAAAATATACGTAAAAAGTAATATGTTTGCGTAAAGTAACAGTAAGTCCCGGCCTCGGCTCACTCATTCGACGGGTGAAGTAAGTTCTATTGTGATTTATAAAAAGGGTACCTTGATTCAGCTATTGTGCGTTTTTCTAAGGTCAATAACTTAACCACGGCCGGCATAATGCGATTAGAATTGTTATTTTCGCCAAAACTACTTATATACAACAGATTGTGTATTTTCACTTTTACTTAGGTTTATATTATCAGTAAATCTTATGTGACATGGCCTCACAAAAGAAGTTTTTGAAACAAATGTTATTGTTTCTCCGACATTATTCCTGTAAATGAAATTCTATAAATTCCTTTTTATTCCCTTTATTCTATTCTAATTTCACAAAGTAATCCCAAAAGAATCTTCAGCGCTCCAACATTAAAATAGGTACGTTTACATGTTGTCTCTTTTTGCAATTGTTTTACACAATTTTATTTTTTTTACATAATAAAAATTTAAGTTACATACATAATATGTAATCATAAAGTCCTTAATCCAATAAATTAGTAAATAAATTTCGAAAGTCCGTCACGAATCACCGTTTTCAGATGCCAAAGCTTAATCGCATTTTCACATAGATCGACAGCGCATCAGCTCCTCTATCATTAACTTCTATATTTAGGAATCTACATAGTATTATTTGCTTTTCTTAAGCTTGCGTGTGATATGATTGCCGTATAATATGCGTATGCTGTTTATGCTGTACAATCTATGCTAGTATAAAGCATAGATTTTTTATCTTTTGTCACTGCTTATCAACACAACCCAGGGAGTTATCCGTTATTCGTAGTCCGTATAAGAAAATACTATGGCAGTTACGAAAATAATGAGAATAAGGACCTCCTATTCATCCAGCGCGTTGAACTCAGTTCACACTAATAATTACCTATTTATGGTTAAGTATTACTTGTGCCCCATTGTCTCATCACACTCCAATTTCATATTACAGGGCAATGATCTCACAAGACTTCATTCTCAAATTATCTTTAGTAAATCATTTGAAAATATTTGTCATTACTCATCCAATTTTGAATGAGTACCGTTTTTGTGTTTGTTTCAAATAACAGTTTCTATATTAAGTTGATCGTAGTTAAATATCGTCTATAGTTTACGCGAGTAGTACACATTTAAATAAAACACTTATTAACTAATATAATATAATTAGTAACTAATGTATCGCGTTTTAAACCGTTCAAGTGCTTTATTCAAATTGATCATAGTTTTAAAATTAGTATTCCACATCTTTAAGCTTCGTACGAAAAAAAATCATTTAGAGTTCCGGTATTCCAATAGGCATCTACTAGACATTACCATCTTTGACTTTCTCATTTTAACAATACTTGGATTGACATCTGTGTGTGTTCATACTATAAACGTGACGTCCACAGTCTGTTTTCGGGCCATATCCTTCGGACCTTTGTCTCGAACACCAACAAAGCTTTTTCGTCTTTAGAACTAAGTAATGTATTTCGAAAAACGTGATAAGTCGCCACTATGGGCGACATTCTGTTAACGAACTATTCATATCGTGATAATAGGCAGTGATAGCCAAATATCACTTCTATCACGGAACACCCTTGACATTACACGTTAAGAGTTAAGACATAGTTCGGTGAATGTGAGACAAATATCGCCGCCCGTGGATACAATGTCACATGTGTACCTATAGTCGGATGCAGAAAACTTTTAAAACAGTAATAACAAAAAAAAATATACGTTTTTACAAAAAAGTCTCAAATATCGTTTCCACTTGGTGATATAAAGGACTTCTGAGTATTACTGCTAGATTTTATTGTCAGACACGCAGTTAATCAAACTTCTTTAGTCTGCAACAATTTTTTTTTTAAGAATACAGACTCAAATCTGCATTGCAGTTTCTTACACTTATAATAGTAGTGTACTCATAATCAAAGTGAAACTAAGGCTAGATCGAAATCGCTACTAGCCTAAGCTATGTGTTCTTGAGGGTCCGTGCGTATTTTAAAGTAACTATCATGCATCTCAAAAAATGCTAAAGTAAGCAAAAGGGCAGACAATTAGATATGTAAAGAAGTCATAAAGTGGCAATAAGTGTAGTTTCAAACTGGTAATCCCTTGACCTTACATTCAATTAATATTTATTACCTAGAGTAGTTGAATGTTTCAAGAACGGTATGTAGGTGGTAATTTTACAAGAACAATGCATTAAAGGAACAATGAAACTTACTAATACTTGATTCCACTAAACATAGACTTTGTTCCAACCTAACAGAGAATCCTTATATTATGCAAAGAGATTTCGCTTTTGTGGTTCAAAGTGTGTACCACAAAAGAGATTAGGTTATGGTTAGGTTACTTTAGGTCTACTTAAGTAAATAAATGAGACAAGATCTTTGTAGACTTTTTTTGATTCTGGGACTTTTTTAGATTTCGACTTAAATGTGCAATCTAAGGGACGGCCAGACCAAAAAAATAAGGGGAAATAATTTTTGTTATCAAAACAAGCACTTGTTCATCATAAGCGATACAAAAAAGTGCGTCACCGCAGACAAACGTTGATGTTTCGATATAAATATTAATATGAATTCAATAGGAATGCCTGAATAACCAAGGGCGATCACGAACGAATATTGATAAAAACTAAGACATTCTAAACGCGTCACGAAGTTGAATATAATATGAACTTGAAGTTATCACAAGAATATTTATTTATACATAAATATTTCAGTTATTAATTACTATATCCATCACATATACTACACATAACTATATCGAGATTTTTAAACTTACCAATAACATTTAAATAAAATACTTCAACGGTTTAAAACGCGATATATTTTAGTTAGACTTGAAGCAGCCGTGGCCCGTGACCACGGTTGCTGCGTGTTCCGAAAAGTCGAGCCGTAGTTAAAAATAATTTTCAAAGAAGTTTAACTAAAATATATCGCGTTTTAAACCGTTGAAAACCGTAAACTACAGACAGTATTTACCGATAACAGTTTTTTTATATAAAATCTATCGTTATTGATCTTTTCATTGGCTTTGGCTAATATCATATATTAATAAATAATATTTTACAGTCAATGGGTGCAAAAGTATGTTCTAGTAGTAGTTTCTGAGATGTTTAAACAAAAAAAAACATTCTGAATGGCACGGTATAAATTTTGTATGATAACTTTTTTTAAATTAACCATCGAATGGAGTTTAATGGAGTCCTATTAAAGTAATGATGTAAGACAATGACCAAGCAATCAGAAGTAGTCAGGAGTTTTTTTGTTTAACTCACATAATATTATTATCTATGGCGATTCTCAAACATTACCAACACGGAACAGAGATGTAATTAATAAATCGTGCAGAAGTTATTTTGTAAGAAAAAATCATAACAGCTTTCAAACAACTCTTATAGGTCAAATGTTCGAATCGAAGTTATAATTGGGCAAAGTTGGTTTCCCTACAGTGTTACAAGTTAACATATTATTTAGATATGCTTACAAATATATCATTGCTTTGTTATTTTATTAGCACACGTCAAGAAAAGTTGTTTAGGTGGAAATATCAATAGCAGATAGCTAAAAAGCTTTGTAAGTTAAAAATTCCGTACAGGTGTAAAACGTTATCTGTACGGAATTTTTAACTTTTTCTATATAACTAACACATTTTCAAAAACGCATTGTAAATTCGAGAAAAGTTTGAAACAATTTTAAGTACTCGTATCTACCACGATAGAAGATGTGATGTGTGTTGTGAAAATAATTTTCTTTACCTGCCACTAGTAGCAAATACTACTATTTTACTCATTGGGTTATCTTTTTAGGGTTCCGTACCAAAAAGGTAATAAAGGAATCTTGTTGAGATCTCAACCTCTTACGCCATCACGCTATACAACTATATTAGAATCGGATCAGTTACATATTTTATTTATTTCAACAAACGGCCTAAGCCAATTACTAACTTTTATTATTGTTTGCTAGATATCAATAAATGGTAATTCGAAAAATTAAAAAAAATTACCAATAAGAAATGTTTGTAGTCAGTAAACAGTGGGTAACCCTTCTAGCGAGAGAACACACATACACTGAGTATGAGTACATTCGTGCTCAACAATAGACAAGTTTATTTATAACCACCACCTTATCCGTATCAAAAGTAACGATTTCAGATAATACCAAAACAAGGTTAGACATCAAGAGACATTAAGTACTAAGGAGGCCTAATCGTCGATTTAATAGATGTAATAATACGTTAATGGACGCTCGCTGATAACAGTGGGATTAGCGCGGTGGACTTACAGCCTTACGTCATTAAGAAACCACTTGCAATTTGTCTCATCAATTTCATCTTACTCACTCAGAGACAGTGAGTAAGTTCTTCTTCTTTCTACAGTTCTTATTCTTTTTACAAGGAGAAATTTTTAAAAACTTTTTTCGGTTGCCATAAATATGACTCAGTCTTATATAGTCAGGTGGACAGGTCAATTTATTTTTTTTAGGCTTTCACGATATTAACTTTTGTATGATTTATTTTGCTTGGTCCACACAAAAAGTATTGATTGTATTTTAAGTTGGCAATGTACCAACTCTGCCAGGTAGAAGCCGGACTTTTGGATTTAGGGTTCCGTAGCAATGAATAGGTAAACGATAGTAGAAGATAATAGGATTTTCATATTGTATGCTCTTTTAGGTATTTTAAACGTCTACCTCTTCCTATTTAAGTTAAGCATAGGTTTTCGCTTCTTACAGAAGAAATACCGTAGATATATACATATATACTTTTATCTTCGAATCTACGATATATATAATTTTACATCGTGTTTATCCTTAATCCGCAAAATACTAGCGTGTTATTACCATTATTAAGTATTGCAAATGCGAACGATTTCATTAAACGCCAAATAGGCGTGACGGTATAACAACACCGATATCAAATTATAAACTTTCAAAAACCATAATCTTTATTGCGATAAAAATGTGAAACCCCGTTTCCCAACGTGGGACAGATACGGTTCTGTATCCATGTCTGAAAGCCTAATATTGTGATAAATGGTAGATTAAGCATGAAGATAATTTATAATTTATCTATCTCAAGAAAGTTGACGAATACAGGTAGTACATAGGGAAAAATACATAAATAAGTATGTTTTAGTATTGATAATATTTTACGTAATAATAAAAACTTTAAAAAGTATTATAAATAATTTTAATAAAGACCACTCCTATAAATAATGCGTTTCTCCTGAATTTTTTGTTTTTTGCCCGCTTCATAACTTCAATGCGAATGGCATTGAGAATTGAAGTTATGAGGTATAATATACATCTATTTTGATATTGTAACACTGAAGAGATTGTTGTTTTAACGCGCTAATCATAGGAACTATTGATTGGAATTATAATTTGGTATTGGTTGGACCATTTATCGAGGAAGGCTATATATATACACATTGCGCTGCGACAAATAGAAGCGAAGATACAAGGGGAAGTGTGAACAAAACGGGGGAACTTTTTCATCTCTGTTGGTTACAGATACAGCTGCGAAAACGGTTGAAGATACTTTAAAAATGTGTATACAAGAATGATTCCTCTTTAAATGATCTAAACAAAAATCCACGACGCTATTTGTCTATCTTTTAAGATTACCTTCCAAAAACGACAGGAAGGGACGCGATCGACGTCGTGGCTAACAGCTTAAGTTTATAACGATGACGGGGTTTGCAAAAATTAATTTAATTTTAAGGTAGGGCACAGTTAATAATAATTATGATCACAGATAAGTGATATGAGATTTTTCAACTTTTTTTGAGATATAAAGTACGTTTTTTTTTATTTTCGACGCATAACTAAAGGTTTATTTATTTTAAATATATCTGTATACATTTTGCGATTCCCTTAATGTAGCCTCGCAACGGTCAATAGCCTCCCTTTATTAGCTTTATCTAACGCGATAAAACAATTTACAAACTTCAAGTCCTTTATGCATGTTCTTGGTTCAAGTGGAACTAGTAAAGAATCAATATTCAATACAGGTTTGAAGAAGGCCATGAAGCGAGGTTATTTCCTACTTATTATTGCATGGCATTTTATGTAATTGTTGCAAAATTAATAATTATTTTCATTATCTTTCTTATGTAGTTAGGTATAATATCTACACATTTCTATTATTTCTGACCCCTTTAGTATTTAAAAGTATATCAAAAAATGTTATTCGAAAAGCAACATTTTTGTCTAAACTCATGTAAACAAAAAGCACAAAAAATTATAAAACCTATTACGTGTTATCCGTTTTGATTTCACAAGCATTACAATAACTGTATTAGGAAATTAAAATATACACGTTAAAACCTATTAAATATTACGACAACGAATTATCTACTGTCTATAAATACTGTCTATAGTTTACGCGAGAAGTACAAATTTAAAAAAAAAAACTTTACGGGGGCAAAAGCGAAAATTTAATTTTTAATATTTTTAAAAAAAAATTTTCCCCGCCCCGGGGGGGGGGGGGGGGGGGGCCCCGGGGGGGGGGGGGGGGGGGGGGGCCCCCCCCCCCCCCCCCCCCCCCCCCCCCCCCCCCCCCCCCCCCCCCCCTTTAAAATCCCTTTTTTTTTTTTTTTTTTTTTTTTTTTTTAAACGAATTATCCTTATAGATTTTCCTTAGTATGGCATCACCGAGAAAAAGTGTACGTATAATTCAAATGTATTGAAATTTCTGCTGACACGTAAATTATTAATATGTAAATGAAATTTAGTGCAGGTATGATGAAGGTTTATGTAGGGTCACATTTTTGTGTCTGTTTTATCAGCCATTGATGGATTTGCTTACTAGTTGATCAAACTTTTGCGTGATGTCGTGCTTGACCGTACTGGGTAAACGTTAATTTATTCACAACACATGTCTTATAGTGCTTAGGGTACATGTTGAGTTCCTAAATAATAATTATTGTCATAGACACACTCTTCAATAGTCGAAGCCGATTCAGGAATTCATTTATAATGAATATTTGATGGCTTCTAATATAATTTCCTATTCCTTAAAATACACACAAATTATCTCATACTTTAGATTGTTAAAAGTACATACATACATACAAAAACCATCCATATTATCCAAAATTCACAGGTAGTAGTAGTTATTTATTACGTAGGGGTCCATAATTATTAATTGTGCGCTGGATATGGATCAATCTTATTCATGATACCAGGGGATAATAAATTTGTAATAGTAGTTTAGATGATTTTAAACATTTTATTGATTCAAATAAACTACAGTAATCCTTTGTAAATAGTTTATTTATCATTGAATGTTTAATACATTTTTACTTTAATATTATTTTTATTTGCTACTTGATTGGTTAAGATTTTAAATAAAACAAGGCAATTAATCTTAAGTGATCCTTAAAAAAAGTTGAATTGTAATATGCTTTTGTAAACATTATGCGTATAGGAAAATTCTCCCAAATTTAACGCTATTAGTGTGTATTTAGGAAAGTTATGGTGTAGGTGTTAAACACAAATTACCATAATTGTTGTATAACGTTACTAAATATGGACCGACATATCGTACGAAGTTTTAGCCTACTTGTAAGTAACATACAATGTATCAAGTGAAGACCAGATGGGTAAATAATACAAATTTTTGTATTAATATCTGCTTTATGATTCCTGTAGATCTGTATTAATGTATTACGAGAGGCAAACAGATTTATAATATCCGTTTTAAATTTTGTTTATTTTTTTAAATTTTGGATATCCTTTCCTCGCGATACACGGAAAACACGAAAACAGGAAATTGAATCTAACTCGAAAAAATCTACCAAAAAATCAACACTCAATTCTATTTATCAGTTAAGCCCTTTTGGTTAATAAATGTGACAAACATCAAATCCGCTTCTATAAGAACTTAAGTGATTATTAATTATTATCACACCGCAGTAAATAAAAGTAAACAAAAATACGTACCAGTGACGGTACCGCTGCGCGCGCGCACCTTCACACACTGACTCACGGTTCATACCGTCACTTCGTTCTTTGCGACAACCTTGACCCCTGGATCTAACAATGTTTTGATCGTTACGTCATCCCACTTTCATATCAGGTAAAGATTTCGATTTCAGAAAAAAAAAGTTAAAAAAGACACAATCAAATCTCCCTTATCTGTTAGAAACCTTTAATAATTATAAACTAGTTCACGATTAGCATACGCCCTGCACAAGGAATACGTATGTATTTTTGTGCCAAAGTAATCATTAGTTGTAGTTTGGGCATTTAACATTTTTCTGATACAGGATCCAATCTTTTCAGGAAACGTTCATAGCTCCGCCCCGGTAATAAATCCCTGTAATTTAACAGCTGATGTTATTATGTCAAAGGTGGATCAATAAACCTGCCAGAGCTCAAAACATGTGGCGCGAAGAAAACAGATATGTCCGCGCATGCGTTCCAAATTGTTGCCACATTCGTAAAAGTCTCTTCCCAAATGAAATATGTATTTAATTACTTACACTTTACGTATATCTATATAGTTTTATATTATTAGCTCGAAATATTATAATCGCATTAGAGTATCTAAATTTATAGCTTGAAGGCTAATATTGAAATCTGGTAAATTATACAATTAAGTAATTATTAATACATTATGTATGTACAATAGATATTCAACATAAAAAATATAGTCTGCTAATTTATATTATTTAAACTTGACACTAAATATATTACACCTTGTTTCCACGAAACAATTTTCGCACGTTTTTATTTTAATGCATTAAAAATGTTTACTCATTTGTTATGAATAAATTCAAATACCGGGCAATTTCGATAATGAAGCGGCAACATTAAAATCCAACGTCAAAAACTCAGCCCATACGAGGCAAAATTTACGCGAAAAGTAAATAATATAAAATAATATTTTTATGAATTAAAATCGATGTGAAATCAATTGTTTATTGAATTTTCTTTGATAACAATAATATTAGAGCTTAAACGTTGATATATTGTTAAGTTTGTGTTACAATGTCTTTTGCGCGGACCGAAATATTGAAAGAATGTTTTATCTATTAAATTATAAGTGTTGGTCTTCCGTCTTCTTCATATCGTGTGTGAAAATTGATGTTGTGTACGAGGTTGTGCTTTTAGAAAAGATAAAATAATTCGAGACATTTCGCAGTCTTTAAAACGTAAGTAGACCGATTGATTAGCTAGATGCAACTTATTAATAAGGCAAGGACGGAATTGAATGCAATCAGCATTTTCATCCGTACGGATTATCGACCACTAACTGATAGATTTAATTATTTTCTAATAGTGGACAGCGTTTATAGTTTACAATCTAGACTAGTATGTATGTTATGGTTTACGATCTACAGACTGTACATATACAGTCTGTAGATCGTAAACCATAACTGTGGCCCATAGGCCACAAACAAATCACATAGTTCTAGGTCTGCATTTCATATAATTAATATTTTTAGAGTCCAATAATATTTAAATAAAACACTTTAACGGTTTAAAACGCGATATATTAGTTAAACTTATTTGAAAATGCTTCGGATGCTTTGCAGCAGCCGTGGTCACGGGGAGACTCCCCGTGACCACGGCTGCTGCAAAGCATCCGAAACGTCGGGCCGAAGTTAAAAATCATTTTCAAATAAGTTTAACTAATATATCGCGTTTTAAACCGTTAAAGTGATTTTATTTAAATGTGTACTACTCGCGTAAACTATAGACAGTATTTAATTAACGAGTCCAATAATAGTTAAGCAATACATTTCCCGAAGCCTGGAAACTAGCAAACGTAACTCCTATCTTCAAATCCGGAAACAGTAGAGAAATACCTAATTACAGACCAATCTCTATCCTTCCGGTTATTGCAAAGATAATGGAAAGAGTAGTAAATAAGAGGCTACTCTCCTTTTTGGAGGCTGAGTCTATTCTCTCCAATAACCAGTATGGCTTCCGCAAAAAGAAGTCAACTGAAGACTCTATTTCTAAACTTATTGATACAGTAACTGACACGCTAGACATGGGCCAGCAATGTATTGGAGTATTTCTTGACCTCGCAAAAGCATTCGATACCGTCTCGCACCCTATACTTTTGCAGAAAATGGAGTACATGGGGGTAAGAGGCCAGGCCCTGCGGTGGTTCCAATCGTATCTTTCCAACAGACAGCAACGTGTTTGCCTTGGTGGTTACACCAGCAACCAAAATTATGTTCCTTTCGGCTTGCCCCAGGGCAGCGCCCTCTCTCCTTCCCTCTTTCTGATTTACGTCAACGATTTGTGCAATCTTTCGCTTACAAATGGTAGCATTTTCTCTTTTGCTGACGACACCTCTATTATTTTTAGTGGCAACTCCTGGAAACAGGTTACAAAATTAGCAGAAGAAGGTGTAAATAGCATCTTCCAATGGCTGCAAAATAATCTTCTAACCTTAAATATAGCTAAAACTAAATTCCTATGCTTCAGTTTAACCAAACGAAACCAACCAAAAATATTACCGGCTATCAAAATTCATTCCTGTTCAAATTTAACCAAGGAAAGTTCATGCCATTGTCCATCCATAGCTTACGCTAACAATATAAAATATCTAGGAGTCATCATTGATCAACATATCACTTGGGAAAAACATATTAATGCCCAGTCTTCCAGGATCCGTAAGTTGATGTTTATCTTCAATCGGCTAAAGCGAGTGGCAGATGAAGGGGTCATTAAAATGATCTACCTTGCTCTCTGTCAATCCATACTCACCTATTGCATCTCGGTTTGGGGAGGAGCCGTCGCAAAATACATACTTAAACTTGAACGTGCTCAAAGAGCCATTTTAAAAATAGCCTACAGAAAACCCTTCCGATTTTCTACAACCCAACTGCACACTGAGACAGGGTTGCTTTCGGTCAGAAATCTATATATTCTCAGTACTTGTCTTCGTTTCCACAAAGTCTCTATTTCACATAATTTAATGTTATTAACACAAAGACACTCTCATTTCACAACACCCAAAAAAAACACTAGTTTTGGACAACGATTCTTCAATTTCAGAGGACCTTACCTCTACAATAAACTTCATAAAATGGCTAAAATAGAGTTCGTCAAACTGTCAAGATATAGGATAAACAAAATAATAAAAAACCTACTGTCAAGCCTGGACCACGCTTCAGCTGAGGCTTTGCTTTATATCCCTAAATAAGCATAGTTTAGCACTTTATCTGCCTATAACAAAATGCTATTGTAATTGTTAAATTGTAAAATGGTTAATTTCGTTAGTAATGTTGAGTTAATAATTGTATTAAGTTTATTCCGTTAGTAATGTTAAGTAAATAATTGTAATAAGTTTATTCCGTTAGCATTATAATGTAACTAACTATAATAAGTCTATTTCGTTAGCATTGTAAACTTACATTATCCACCTATCACACTTATTCTGTTACATACCTATATTACAACATATCAACACACGTAACACCCCTCACTTCATACGTACACTAACACGCACATAATGCAAATATTCACCTAAATAGACACTAATCGTAAGTAGACATAAGTTACCTTAGAAGTTTTTATTTATTGTAATCTATCACCTGGAAGAGACTAGTCACCCACGACACAGGCTTGCCCTAGTGTGGGGACTAGGGACTTTCGACTCTGCACCATATATAAAGAATCAATAAAGATTTTTTTGATTTGATTTGAAAAGTAGCATGCTATAAATTTTAGTGGTACTTACATTTTGGGATGAGGGGTTCGATTCTCCGCCGTGCCCTTTTTTTTTTTTTTTACACTCCCACCCCTTTTTTTTTTCTCCCAAAAAAAATTTTTTTTTTTTTTTTTTTTAAAAAAAAAAAAAGGTTTTTTGTAAAAGGGATTTTTTTTTTTTTTTTTTTTTTTTCCCCTTTTTTTTTTTTTTTTTTTTTTTTTTTTTTTTTTTTTTTTTTTTTTTTTTTGCCCCCCCCCCGGGGGCGGGGGCCAACTAGCTGATCTGAGGTCTAGTCACTGTAGAAAGTACAAATACAGTAGTGTTAAAAAAGTAAAATACAGACACAATTCTGTTAACGTTATTGACCGATTTTATTTACGAGCAAGGAGTTGAATTACAGCACCGTCTTGTTATGTTTTCCTAGTGAATCCCTTTCGAATTCAGGACCTCAAAAATAAGGCATTGTATTACCGTATTAAGCTCGTATTTTACCGTAGTTTCTAGACTTTGGAGTTAGTGGAGATGAAGTCTTCTTAGTCTCCGATATTAATTTAATATTGTTGTAAACTCTCCTATCGAGTTGTTGCCGACAAAGTTGTACGGACTTCCTGATTATAAACTATTATGGAAGGCTTCATTGTACTAAGAATTTCTTATGGAAACGAGTGATTCTGACAATTTGTACACGATAATGAGTTCCAGAACTATACCAGAAACTAATATATAACTTGGAGATGTTCTTAATTCCCATTTTGTTTAGCAGCTAAGGATTTGGTTATGTGAGCGCAAATCAATTACTTTTAAATGAATACATATCTATATAAAAAGTTTTATGTTTTTGCGTATATTCTCTTCAATACTGTCTATAGTTTACGCGAGTAGTACACATTCAAATAAAACACTTTAACGGTTTAAACGCGATATATTAGGCGAGGATTTTTGTCTGGTCAAAGAATATCCTCGCAAAGGAGAGTCGATTTTTCCAAGATTGGTACGCGAAGCAATTGAAATCAAAAAACACCGAAATTTCAATAGGGAGGACGGCCTCAAATTATCAAACACCTGGGATACCATATTAAAAACTCTGGATCCCAATAAACAGCATACCACACATTAGTCAATTCTGCAAGGACCCGGCCAATTTCGCCAAATACCAACTTCGACGGATCAGAGGGCGCTAGCGTAGCAATTTTTTACTTTGACGTCAGAGACATCCTCCATCTTTAGTCTCCCCGTGACCACGGCTGCTGCAAAGCATCCGAAACGTCGGGCCGAAGATAAAAATCATTTTTAATCATTTTTTAAATACGTTTAACTAAGATATGCGTTAAACCGTTAAAGTGTTTTATTTAAAAATATATTCTCTTCTTTTTTAACTTGTTATACAGGTATCTTGGCTCACACGATTTTAACAGGGTAAAGGTTTTTGACCGAAAGAAACTCTTTCAGAGCAAGACACCGAAATATGTCACACAGGGTGTTCTGGACTTCCTTTATGATAAAAGATAAAGTTTATTATTAGTAAAAATATTTTTATGCTCAATGTTAACAAATCGGGGATGTGTAGTTGACCTAATGAGTTTTTTTTAATATTTTGTCTTTGTCCCAGGCTGTATAATGCGGTACAGTAAACGAAGATCGTCGCAAACCACGCGGACGACGCGTCATTCCGACAAGAAATATACGATACGTAAGTCATATTTATAATTCTTTAATAAATGGGTTCTTAAAATGATATTTGTGGGTATTTGGAGATTATAACTTTATTTAAATTTTTGAAAAAAAAAAAAAAAAAATGTATAAAGTAATATAAATGGGTATACGTTGTAGAAATGATTTACTTAAATTTCCTGAGTTGTAAAGTATATGGATATCAGTATGATTGTCCTAATCATACTTTTCCCAGGTCTCCCACAAAGCACCGTAGATGGCTGGTATTGTGTTTAGTGGTTCTGGTCAGCTATACGATTTACCACACTCCCCACGTCACTATTGCCCGACGTGGGCGTGCGTTAGGCATTCACACCACCAGTTAAAAAAAAAGAACAATCATACTTATATATACGAACTACTTATTTTGACTGCCTAATTCTGTTCTGTTGTCGGTCGTTATATGTATTAGGCCCCACGAAACGCAGTAAAATCATAAATGACCTTTCTAAGTGAACTATATTTTATTTGCTATTTTCTCAACTAAAAGCCTTTCTCGGTTATCTTCAAAAGCAAGCAATAACATAATCACGATCAGAACAAAACAACAGCAATTCGAGAGAGGCGAGGCTTCGATCGCAAAAGTTTGTGATATACGGAGCGAAGTTAACAAACAGCTCCAGAATACTGATGATATCACAGACGTGTTGCAAATTGAGCCCGTCGCAACTACTCCAAATCGGAGTAATTCTTTAACGATCGAAATAGTTCATCTTGTAGTTACAGTGATTCATGCAAACGAATTTAAGGAAATTTAGTAACTAACCTACTTTTGGTTTATAGGTTTTTCAGTCTTATATAAGATACATACATCGCAAGTGGGTTTGAACAGATTGTTACAAACACTCCTTCTGGTTTATACAGTACTCTGTGAAAACAGCATTAGTTTTAAGTGCCTAACTTCGATTCTAACCGAATTGAGTACTGACGTGGGATTAGCAAAGTTTTGGGATATTGTTATCAAATATGATATAGAATTGTATTTTAGTCTTGTAATCTAAGTATTTTGATAATAATTCCATAGAACATGGGATTTTTCTAAAACTAGGTATATTATCAAAATAATGTCAAAAAGCCCAATCTTCACTATTCTTTCATCATATGTCAGTTACAACACATCAATTATATGTTAAAAAGATGGATGTCAGCCCATTAAAAATATAGGTAAAAAATTAACAGAATATATTATATGAAAATGGTTCGTGATGAAAATCTTTAGGCTATGTACTTCAACTCTCTTTTTTATGTAATAGGTACGAATCCGTTCCAGTTTATTTTTAATTACGGAAATTGGAAAAGTCGCCTTGTTGTCGCAATACTAGATTTTAACGAACTTGGAATGATTCCAAATGCTGAACGCCTGAATAAATCTAAAAGCAAACATGTACGATTAAAATTGCGTAGCTAACAATTTAGTTATTAATGGTCTAATTATTTGATTATAATGGTTTATGTAAACTTTACTTTTTTACTAAGAATTTATTTAGATTACTATTTTTTTCGCATTTGGTTTGGGTCCTCAGTTTAGGGAATAGTTAATTCTGTTCAATCTGTAGATGTCACAATGTTCATACCAAAAATTAATAACCAAAATTTAATTGCCTAATATATACATTATGCCTGTATACTTTTTTAATGATAGAGAAAGACAGACAAGTATCCCAACAAGATGAATTGTCAATCTAGTCTTTGGATATTCGGAAATCCACAAACTAAAACCGAAACGCAATTAAACCTTTCCCATCCAAATTTTTTCCATCTCTTCACAGTTTTTTTCAACGGTGGTTCGTCACCCAGACGGAATTTAGTCATTGCTACCACCCGTTTAATATTTAAATTTCCAGCCGAAGTCAACCATATTTCAGAAAACGTAAAAATTGCCAAACATGTCCGTTTAGGCATTTTAGAGAAAAAGAGTAACGAACAAAAAAGTCTCTATTATAATAAAAAAATAGATGGAATGAAATTTCACAGTCCATCTTAAATACTTCCATTCACAGCGTTTTTCGTAGGGTAGACTAATGACATATTTGTCTCAAATCAGCTATTTCCTTTATCTTAGAGAGACTGTGGTAAATCGGCCGTTGTAGCCCGTTGGGTCTCCTCGTCTGTTTGTATTTGCTGCTAAAGTTTTAATAAGGGTTTAACGCCCGTATTTCTGTTGATACGTGTAATATTTGACCAACAGAACACCATGGTAAGGTCCTTTAAAGAAGAAACTACAAATTCACTCTACGTAGTATTGAGTGTTGAGTATTTTGTTCAAATTTTATAATTCCAAATACTTTCCTTGCCTTCTTTCTTAGTATACAACATCATAAGCTAAATATTTGAGCACAAGCAATATGTCAAAAATAGTATTCCTTCCTCACGTTCATTTATCATAAGTAGCACGTATGTAATTGAAGGATTCTCAGCCCTAGATTGGAAATTAAACAACAATACAGATTACTCGTTCGTTTAAATGGTTTGACTAGCCGCTATAAATAAAATTGGTCAAGAGGGAGAGGACTTCACTCACGGAGGTTTTATAACCCTTGACGAGCTCGTCAAGGGTAGGTCGTCGCCGATAGGTAGATAAATTCATATTGTAGTCTTTTTGTACATATATTACAAAATTTTAGCAATGTTTGCAAGTACTTGATATTTAGCAAAAATTATGAATGCGTTTTATTCTCTGTGACCTTAGTTATATTGTCTAAGGGAATTATTATTTGTAGAGCGCGCTAAGTAGATGTTTTGCGTAGCATCTTACATATCTTGTTATATGCATTAAGTTATATAGTTAAAAAAGTGTTAGTGCCAACACGAAATTAAATACAGCAGTAATATCTCCCTTTTCTCTCGTTTTTCTTGTATCATTTTGTTCTAAAAAATTTTCTCCATTAAAAACAAGCATTTCTTTCAGCTCTATTACTTCGGTAATTGCACTACAGTTCAGCGAGCGCTGAAAACTAGGCTAAGAGTAAGAACTTCGCCATTCGCCACGATTACCGCAAATGGTGGTAACGTTATTACGCGGCAGTTAGGGAGGTTCATTATGGCCGTGCTGGAAACGAATTCTGAAACGCTTCAAGATTTATAATTGCCTGGTACCTAGGCTGAGTGCGGCTGTTTTCTTTCAGCTTTATTTTTGACCTGATTCGAAAGGTTCTCTTTACTACTGAGAGCTCCATACTGCCTGACAACGGCGAAGCTATGATTTTGAGAATTTGAAATTAAATATTGCCCCATTTCACAAAGTACTTTTAACTTATTCAATTCAGAAAGTCATTTCTTGGTTGGAATCGAAAAAAAAACTATTAAAACATAATGATTACTGCTTATAAATATTTGTTTGGTTGAAAAGCTCAGGAAAAACAAGTACGAATTAAAAATATTTTTGTTTTGGTTGAACCATTTATCGAGGAAAGCTTCTAGAAAACGACAGGCTGCGATAAATGAGAGCGAGGAAAGGAGAGAGAAATATGGAAAAGCAGGGAAAATTTTTCATGAGGGACCGTTGCTTGCGGTGCTAAAACGGTTCAAGAAACCAAACAATATGTATAAAAATGATATTTTTTTTAATTATTATATTATATAAAAATTACCGTCAGTATGAATCTATCTTTAAAGATTAAGTCGTAAGAACGAGGACGAAATTAAAGCTGAATGATAATATGGGCAAAGAAATTATTCTACTCGGACAGAGTCGCGAGCACAGCTAGTATATTATGATGCTTTAATTACCGTCGGGCTCGTTAGTCTATAGTTAGTTAGTTACTACTAATTACTGTTTGGATAATATACAATAGGCCAATCAACTTGCGATATATAGTATTTGGTATGGGCTTTCATAGCCTACAATTACAGAGATCACTCAGTCTGTAGTTCAAATGTCTATCGATACAAATACATACAATCAATATAATACATATTGATATACTACTAGCTGTGCCCGCGACTTCGTTCGCGTGGGATAAGTTACTTGGGGTAGAATTATTAATTATTTAGGCTGTTAAATTTCCACACAAACTTTTAACCCCTTACAACCCCCTTTTCGCAATAAAAAGTAGCCTATGTCCTTTCTCTGGGTCTAGACCATGTGTATATCAAATTTCATTCACATCCGTTCAGTAGTTTTGGCGTGAAAAAGCAACAGACAGACAGAGTTACTTTCGCATTTATAATATTAAGTAAGGATAAATAGTCTTTATTTTTCTAAGATTGAAATTCTCTCTGCAAAATTGTATAAATAGCATGGAATCACTTTGAATTCTTAATGGGAATATCTTGAATTTGAACGGGGCAGCGCATTGAGTGGTCGCGGGAAATAGGTTAAGAATTTCATTCATACCGGGATATAGCTATTGATTTGAAAACGCGAACACTTCAGTTTCATGATGTATGGCTCGAAAATATTTCTAGATGGACTGAGGCGAGTTATAAAATCATTTGTTATATATAATATGAAACATAATTACATTAAATTAAAATTAACTTAATATTAGAACTGCTTAAAAGACGGTAATCGGTATTTTATGGCATATAATTTCTATTTTATTTAATTAAAATCAACTAAATAAAAAACTTTAAAATACTCAAACTAATAACTTTAAAGTAAATTCGATATCAGTAAGTAAATACAAGTTTCAAATCTTTATACATTTTTGTATATACTTACTGATATCAAATTATGTTTGTATCAAAGAATCCCAAGGAAATAATATATAGAATATTTCTGTTTCAACATCTTCACAGAGTGATTTTATATTTACAGAAAAGTTTTCGGTCTGCAGCATTCTGAAATAAGCAGAATATAAACTACAATAGGAGCAATAATTTAAACGTTTTTCTTCTCAAGGGAACCAAGAAAACGTAAACTATTTTTAAAAAGAGGTTTTTTCATATCTTAGCACTTAATTACAAAACCACCCTTTCACATGTTCCAGATACTAAGAATTTTTCGTTTTTACATAATGTATAAAACTCTCAACGTTCTTCAATGTATTTCTCTAATTATACAGCAGTTGAATGAAGGCCCCTTAACCGCACCTGAAACTTGACAACTCTTGAGGGAAGAGGCTTTCGCTTGCCTCTTGATTCGTCAGAAGTCTAGTATTGATTCTTTTTACCATTCATATTTTATGACGGAAGAAATCAAACGTATATGTAGCGCAATTGACAGAAGGTAATATCCTCCAGATTTGTAACATTTAATCAGATACATACAGAATAATTTTATAAAATTTACATATCAAAGTAGAAACTTTAACAAATATTTCTATACTAATATTATAAATGCAAAAGTAACTCTGACTGTCTGTCTGTCTGTCCGGCTTTAACTCCGAATCTAATGAACTGTCGACCTATTTTGTTTTTGGACATTCGAAATATTATTGCATACATACTTTTACCGAGTCGATTCAGATTCCGTTCAGATAACGTCGAGAACTTCCAAACAAAAAGCGGATTACTTATCTCCTTCATACCATATTCATGATGATAAATGTTTCAAACTACGCTTAAGGAAATTTTCGCGTGGCAAAGTTGGATTTATAGTGTCCTGGCGTTCGGCCAAACTATCACACAAATTCTTGTATAGAATAGCTGATCCCTCGCAGATACAGAACCAACGTAGGACTATTTTCCTTTTGCTGTGTATGAATAGAAATGTATGATGTACAATGTACTCGTTTTCACTCGCCACTTTGTTCTCATATCTTAAATATCTAACTGAACGACACCTTAGCTCGTAATTTAATGAACTACTTCCATTTTGGAGCAGTCACGTTGGTTTCTCGGCCTCACTGACGGTTTCTAGTTCAATGAGTATTCTGTGTTGTTCCCAATTTTTTGGGAATTGCGCAACACAGCGAAATGTTTTAAGATAAAGTTGTTTACGTTGAGTGCTCTCCAATTTAAAAGGCCAAAGTTAAATTGAATTTGGTTATTCCACGCTGAGTCATTTTCTATATGTGGGTGTTATTAAAAGGTTCCGGCGATTACGCCATTATGTCCGGGTTAAAATCTGAAGTAGACATCAAATGCCTTCCTTAAATTGTATCTAAACTTAAATTAAAAAGGTAAATATTTAAGTATTTGTATGATTTAGAATGATTTTTTTTTCAATTATGTTTGTCTTCGTTTGGAAAATCTCAACTACCACGGAGTCCACAGATGAAAGAAGCCGTTTGTTCACATTGTTTGTACGTTTTTTTTGTAACTTTTAAATAATTTTTTTTTTTTATTATTAAAATAGGCCGAAAACGCATACTGTTTAGATATTATAAGAGGAGGGTATTCCAAATTCCATCAAGTGAAAATTAGTACCTACCCTTCTTTTATTTACAAAAACTGTTTTTTTTAAATATTAGCATATTAGGCGCGCGTTATGCTTGATTTGATGATACAGGGTTTTTTACTTACTTCTCTACATTAAGTCTTACGGGTAAGGTAAAAAACAAAATATATAATTAGTGGAAAATATTCTCTCGGTTAGTGTCGCAAAAGGTGCAAACCGCGTTCTAATTAGTCTCATTTCGAGTTTCAATGAAAGGTAAACGATTTTGCTTCACTACACCAGGTTAATTATAGAGAAATGATTGAAACATCTGATGAACTGAAACCTTTAATGGAAGGTTTCCCACACATTTGAAACGCCACATTTATAGTTTCTAAAGATTTTAGACCCTCGATGGGCTTCAAATAGGTGGTGAAATTTCAATAGTGACGAAATGTCGCCCAGGTAATTCCACGTATTACAGGTTTTATTTATTATAATTTTAACATGCTATGTACGTAAAAGACTTGTATAAATTAAAAATAATAATTGACTAAGAAAGACAAAATATAACTCGGGCGGGGCTTAAACCAACAACATAAATATTATATCGTAAATTAAGAATGTGCTAGACAAAACTATCTCCTGTCCTTTTTTTTACAGTTTTAAATGTGAAATATGTAAGGCTCTTTACAGCAGCCGTGGTCACGGCGGAGGTCAAAGTCAACTATTGGTTGGGGGACACCCTCACCTTCAATGACAACATCTGGAAAGAGTTGAGTAGCTCGTTGTTAAATTAAAAATGAGCAGTTTAAATTTATGCTGCGTTTAAAACATGCGGTCACTTTGAGTAAGTAATTTTTTTTATCACAAAACACGTCTTTAAATCTTTGACTGAACAAAAGAAATTACTCATTGTCTTAATAAAAGAAAGTAAGACGAAAATGAGCCTTAGGCGAAATGAGGCATTCCTCATTTCAAGAAAAACCACCGTATTAATCCCAAGTGAGTCTCTTACGACCACTCATCAGGGAAAAACTACAAAGGAAAAGATAAAAGGACTCCCATTTCTTGGGACATACTATTATAATAATTTTATGTTCGGAATTCGTTAAGAGGAATTTTTCGCATAGTTTTATAAGCAAGTCTCGTTTACGATGTGTTGGAAAAACGTCGTTTAGCGAAACCAAGGCAATATTTTTGAATGGTAAATTATCATAAAATTATTTAGGCTAGTATTATAATAAAAGTTTAAATAAACAATAACAGTGAATACAGAAACTAAAGAAAATGTAAGTATTTCCTTAGCCTCTGTTTTTTGTTTTTTAAATTTGTGTAGCCTGGACTTATGGACATTGTTAAATTTTTAAATTCACGTATCAATAAAAGATGAGTATCTGATTTTTATACTGCAAAATCGTAGTGTCCTTCTAAATGAACAAAGTATTTACCTATATAATAATTCTCATTGCCTAGTGAGTAAGTCGTAGTTGAAAACGTGTATTTTTAGAATCTGTGCATTAATTTTAACGTGATATTACTACGAGTATCATAAAAAAATTGTTGTTACTTTAAGTTCGGAGCACCCTTGATGAAAAGCGAAAATCAATATAGTCGCTTTTTATTTAATTTCCCGACAAACTTAGGCGAGACATCAAAAAGTAATTGAAAAAGTGTGAAAATAAGCCAAGTACGTGTTATAACCTACCGTTACTCAGTTATAGAGCCTGCCGCGCGTAGGGCGGGCGTATTTTTCGCGCCCCAAGCCTTCACGTGAATCCGAAACAATTCTGTGAATTAATACTACTATTTCATAAGTTTAGTATGTGATAATGTTTGCTTGTGGTCTTTGGAGATGAATAGATATACGAAAAAGGATAACGACGAAAATAAAGTTAATTGCACTAAACAGAACAAAATATTAGGTAAGATTAGTGAAATAGTCTGTACTTAAGACGGGTAGTATGAATTGATTAAAACACTTACAATTGTTTAATACCCGAATTGAAATATATTGAAATCATTTTTCATTTCACGACCCGTTTTTTTTTCAAATATTACAGCAATTGAATTTCGTGTTTGGAACGGTTAATGACGTTAATTTTTCAATGTACTCAATAATGTTGTTACTGTTGTTTTCCAAACGAACAATATTAAGATATGTTTAAATACTGTCTATAGTTTACGCGAGTAGTACACATTTAAATAAAACACTTTAACGGTTTAAAACGCGATATATTAGTTAAACTTATTTGAAAATGATTTTTAACTTCGGCCCGACGTTTCGGATGCTTTGCAGCAGCCGTGGTCACGGGGAGACTAAAGATGGAGGATGTCTCAGACGTCAAAGTAAAGAATTGCTACGCTAGCGCCATCTGTTCCGTCGAAGTTGGTATTTGGCGAAACTGGCCGGGTCCTTACAGAATTGACTAACGGTGTCTTCGCGTTTGCTGGTATGCTGTTTATTGGGATCCAGAGTTTTTAATATGGGATCCCAGGTGTTTGATAGTTTGAGGCCGTCCTCCCTATTGAAATTTCGGTGTTTTTTGATTTCAATTGCTTCGCGTACCAATCTTGGAAAAAATCGACTCTCTTTTGCGCGGGGCGGGATTTTTGGTTGGTCAAAGCGAATGTAGTGATTGGGCCCTTCTGAAGAGTGTTGGCATACCGCAGATTTGGAGAGACGTTTATGTTTTATATCCGCGACGTGTTCTTTAATTCTGTTCATCAGAAGGGCCCAATCACTACATTCGCTTTGACCAACCAAAAATCCTCGCAAAGGAGAGTCGATTTTTTCCAAGATTGGTACGCGAAGCAATTGAAATCAAAAAAACACCGAAATTTTAATAGGGAGGACGGCCTCAAACTATCAAACACCTGGGATCCCATATTAAAAACTCTGGATCCCAATAAACAGCATACCAGCAAACGCGAAGACACCGTTAGTCAATTCTGTAAGGACCCGGCCAGTTTCGCCAAATACCAACTTCGACGGAACAGATGGCGCTAGCGTAGCAATTCTTTACTTTGACGTCTGAGACATCCTCCATCTTTAGTCTCCCCGTGACCACGGCTGCTGCAAAGCATCCGAAACGTCGGGCCGAAGTTAAAAATCATTTTCAAATAAGTTTAACTAATATATCGCGTTTTAAACCGTTAAAGTGTTTTATTTAAAAGATATGTTTATTTCTATGTATTTTGTCAGCGATAAAGTTATTATGACATACATACGAACATAGGTTTTAGTACTGAAATGTACATTGAAAGGCTTTTTAATTCAATTACCTGAATTCGGGACTTCAAATTTAAGTTGAATCCTTTGAGAGCACGTGATTTCGACATTCAGTTTGAAGAGTGACATTTTTAGTTTGTGTATATAACTTTTATCGTCATAATAAATTGTATGAAAGAACGAAAATTATTTAAATAAAACACCTTAACTGATGCTTTTCAGAAGCCGTGACCCCGTGACCACGGCTTTACCAAGCATCCGAAACACCAGGCCGTAGTTAAAAATAATTCTCAAAAAGTTTGGCTAAAATATATTGCGTTTTAAACCATTAAAGTGTTTTATTTAAATGTGTAGTACTCGCGTAAACTACAGACAGAAATATTATTGTTAATGTGCAGTAAAATTTTTGTTGATGGTTTTTAACACGATTTTATTGCTTTAAATTGCAATAAAATCATGTTTAAAGCTTGCCGTGAAAACAAAGCTAAAATCACCCAAAACGTACTAAGTATTTTAACTTACAACTTTTCGTTTTAAACCGTCAAATGTATGTGTAAGTCGCTTTTACTACAGATAATATATAATTTGTATAAATTGGTGATCGCACTTTCCTAATGGATCGTGTAGCGAGCTAAGGGTGGACTTACGTAGGTAATAAATGTTAGGAGTTTGGGCTTCCGTTGGGAAATCAAAGGATATGTTCTCACTGTAGAATATTGAAAGCCTACTCAAATTCAAGATTTCTGTAATAATGATTCCCGTTTTAGAATCAGTCTCCTCGTTCCACGACTGCTGATATATTTCGTGTTTTAAACCGAAAAAGTATTCGACAGCGCATCATTTTTGGCACCATAGGGCTTTCCAACTACTCTGGTGATTTAAAAATGACTGGGAATAAATTTTAGCATATATTTAACCAGGTGTTATATTTTTATGAAAGAGACGCAAAATTGTGCTCTTGTCCCATGTCGGCGTTATAGAAAGTTATGTATGTACTATACTATAATATGGTAATATATAACATAAAAACATAATATATAACATATTTAAAAACCCCAATGTTGAAGTTGATCTTTTATTTTAAATAACTTCGCTTTTTCGATGAATTCGCTTTTTCGCAATTGGTGTAATGAACTGCTCCATTTATAACTTTGTAGCACTATTTTGGACAAAATCCGTCGATTTAAATGATAAATATATGTTAACTTGAACTTTTAATTAGTGCTATTAATAAAAATAAAATTAAAAAGAAGTATTTCATATTTTAATGTGAAAAAATAATATCATATACTAAAGGTATTAACTAATTTTAAGAAGTTTTACATAACAATTGGACTTGTTTTAGTATAAGACCATAGACTTTTAAGGAGATGTAAATGGGTATGACTAACAAAACAAAAATTAACAAGAATGTATGAATATTCCCTATTATAGCCCTAGCTGTGTCAGCGACTTCGTCCGCGAGAATCGTTATTTTGGGCATCCAAATTCATTTTGCAAACCCCGTCATCTTTATAAACTTAAGCTGGCCCTTCCCGTTTTTCTTGTACGTTGATCTTAAATTTTAAAGAGGAATCATTCTTTCATACGTATTATTTTGGGTATCTTGGACGGTTTTTGCAGCGTACGCTGTTTGCGTTTGCTGTGTACAGGGGTTGTGTTTGTTTTTTTTATTAGATGCGTTTTAATCTAATATTACAGAGCGGGGCTTTCAACTATCATCAAGTGAAATTCTCACGGTTTTGTGTTTACATACAATATTTCTTAGGAATTGCGATGAGGTCGCCCGTATATCACGTATATCGTATATCGCTCTATAACACTACTTAGCAATGCCTTTAGTGATCCAGATACGATGGCGCTTTGTAGTATATAAATAGTTAGTAGCCTAAAATAATTTTTAAATAAATGACTTAGGTAGATTTTACTTCATGTAGGTAAATAGGTAAAACAAATAAACAAATAAAATCTATCGCCCTTGCTTCTACTGCTCTCGGAAGAATCACGATCCCTTTTATTTTAAGAGGTAACGTTTTGGTTTCGAGTCATAGTGTTTCAGATTGCAACAACGATACAGCGCCTTTGAGTTTGTCTTATAAACACCTAATGTTACAATTTTAAATATTTTTAAACTAGAAATACATACTCGTCCATTTTTTTTCCAAATTTTTATCGGCTGAAATCATTATATCCATTTGTTTACAGAACTAGACTTGGATTACCTAGAGCGTGGTGGAGGGGGTACCTTGGCTGTGGGGGGAACCCCAAGCGTCGAGCCAAGTCCTGACAGTCTGGATCTAGTCAAGGTCGTTCTATTAGGCGCACCAGCAGTTGGAAAAACTAGTATCATTCAGGTAATGTTATATGGTCCCACAATTAATTAGGGTGAATAACCAGTATCTATACCGTACATATCTTATTCGCTCAGACTAAACTAACCCTTTGTGTACTGTGGGATATAGTCCCAAGGCAATTTCATCCCTTTGCTCAGTAAATGAGCCTCTACCTTATACCGAATAGAAGAATCATGTAGGCCTTTGTTGACTATTTACCCAACTACCAAAGTCAATAGACAAGAGATAGTGGATATACACAATTAATTTGTTCTCTGGTACATATTTACGTAACAATATTAATTTCATCAAAATAGATTTGTTCAACTTAAGTTTTGTTGAATTGTATTAAAGATTTATATTAAACATTTTAACGAGCCGTGGTCACGGTGATGGTGTCCTTTCAGCCGCCCAGTGACCCCGCCTGTCCCTCGAACAATGCGAGGCGTTGCGACATGGCGACAATAAATCGCAAATAAGTTACCAAAAATATATTTTGCGTGGTAAACCGTTAAATTTAAATGTTTATTATTTGCGTAAAGTACAGACAATATTTAAGTTATTGTTATAGATTTATTCTAGACTAGAAGTCTACAAACACATAAGCTTGTCTGTAGTGTCTATTTCCTAATGTATTTTTAAATAGTTCATTTTAAGATACTGTGAACCCAAATTACGAAATAAATAAACCTTAATTCCTCCCTTATACTATTGAAGCGCTATTAATTAACGTAGTGACAAACGATTTGTAATTGTGACCCGGTTGACATAAGCTGTAATACATATATGAATACATTATGGTTGAAGAGAATTTATTTGGCTCTAACAAAAAAGACATTTAATGCATTTTTACAAAGGTTTTTTTAAAGCAGACAACAGGTAATAGTCACCTACGACCTTTTAACTTTTTACTGCTGTATTTTTTGTTATTTTTGTGGTTAATACCAGAAATGCGTCCCACTTTTTAGGATTTATTTCCTACTAGGTGTGACCGCGACTTCGTCATTTCAATAGTTATTTCGGGCATCAAAATTTATTTTTCCAAATAAACCTCCTCAATCGTCCGCGTCCCGTGGTGTCGTTCTTGCGAGTTATCTTAAAAGTATAAATAAAAATACTGTCATGGACATTTTTAGATCATTTAAAGATAATTTTATCTTCTTACATAGTTTTTCGTTATTGAATGTTTCACAGCGCACGTATTCCAGCCCTTAAAGGGACTATTTTTTCCGTCTTTCTACATTTCCCTCTGTTTTTTAGCTTTTTGGTCGCAGCCTGATGTTTTATAACTTAAAGCCTTCATTGATTAATGCCAAGAGACAAACAGCATCACCAATACAACTAAACACAAATATTTTTTTAATTCCAACCATTATTTGCTGAGATGAGCGCGTTCAAACAAACAAATAAATTCAGCTTTATAATACAAGTAAAGATTTGGTACACTTTTGGCTGTAGTTAACGTGAGTTGTATACATTAAAATAAAACACTTTAACGGTTTATAACGCGATATACATTAGTTCACTAATATAAATCGCGTTTTAAACCGTTAAAGTGTTTTATTTAAATACCAAAACGTATTAACGCAACCATATGTTCCATACGCTGGATGAAACCTGTGGCAAAGTGCGTATGACATTACGCATAATGACACAAACCGCCGTCATTATTAAATATCCCGCGAGTGCCAGCGTCGTGAAATAGGCTTTTACGGGCATTATTCCACGCTATTAGTCTACTTGGCTACGTGCTCTAAATATTTGCGCTTGGCGAACATCATCCGCTTTAAATTATGCATAGGTACCAGCTTTAAAAGCTCATTAGCAAACTTATATGATAGCTTTATAAAGCAATTCATCTACGTGTCTCGTTTTGATTAGGTTCAACCTAAGATAATCATAGATTGTTGTCTTCGTTAATATGTGTATCCTGTAATTCCACTAAAACTAAATCATTAGTAAGAAAATAATGACGATTTAGATAAAACACTTCAAACGGTTTAATATAAATACGTAGTACTGGCATAAACAAAAGATAATAATATATAAGTATACAATTGTTAAACATTAATTTGAAGATAAGTTAACTAATCTCGCGTCTTAAACCGTTACGTGTTTTTTTTTAAATTACATTATAAACTACAGAACTTTAAGGAGGGATTTGTATTTTAGTTTTTCACTTAAACACGCGTGGTGTTATAAAGATGAAAAGTTTTTGAAATAGTTTGAACACGCTACGGAGAGTTAGATATATGTATATACTCTGACATAAGTATGTAATTAACTATACCTGATTTTATCAACTATCGTTTCCTTCAACTTTCGCTTCCATTCGATTATATATAAATTAATTTTTCGATTCATATCAAATTCATTTTTTTATCTGCAGGCGTGGTTAATGTAATTGATTAAAGTTTAATTGATGAATTAATTAAAGTAATTAGTAATTATGCAATACGGAACAACAGCGCTATCATCTATATTAAATAAATTTCACGTAATTTTGTAAGATTTAAAAATAACAAACACATTTTGTATTTAGCGACATGTTACAAAATTATTATTATTATAAGTCAAGTACAGATGGCAATTCCCAACATAGTCATATAGTATTTTGTCGTACATAGTCGAAAAATGTCTACGGTTTAACATAATTTAAAACTTAAATAGCACCCCAGCTAGCATAGTGTAGACTGTAGATTGTGTAAGTAGTTAACAAAAAGTTGGGCATAGGTTTAGTTAAGCCCTGTTTAATTCAACGTCGCCCTATTCATTATATTGCTGAAGTTCGATATATATGAATATACATATTTTCATTCCATTCCGATTAGAGTATGATTTATATTACGTGAACTAAAATATTAACTCTTTTTTTAAATTTATTTTATGATAACGCTTAATCAAAGTTTTTTATAGATTCTCTAATCGGATTCATTAATCAGATTTCAACAAATATATTAACTCTATTTTGACAGCACATTGTTAATTATATGTATATCTATATAGAATAAAATAGATTAAATATAAAAAGACATCTATTTAAGAAGTCATTCCCTGAAAAACTTTACATATTTTATAGACTTAATTGTAGACCTTATATTTATAGACGTTTGTTTCCCAATTTTAGGTGTCTTAAATCTTTTGCTAATATTCGATATTGATATCTAAATGTCACGTTAAGATTTCATCTCTTGTTACAGCAATTCGTGTGGAGCGACTTTTCCGAGGACTACTTGCCGACCGACAAGAAACACACCTTCTACCCATCGGTGATCATCAACGAACACCTCTACGAGGTGAAAATAACAGATGTCCCGGTGATCCCCTACTTCCCCATAAACTCGTACTATGAGTGGGCGCACTATCGCTTTTACGGTTTAAGAAACGCCACCGCGTACATCTTAGTGTTCGATCTGTCCAATGTTGAAACGTTCCAGTACATCAGAACGTTGCGAGACCAGATGGTCGAGAGCCGCGATATGAGGAACGTCCCGGTTCTAGTCGTGGGGAATAAGCAGGATCTCCTTTGCAGCGCGGCGCCGACGGCCGCTAGCGGTCTCCAGCAGCTAGCTATGGCCGAGAGCGCGTGCGGCGATTCACGGGAGAAGAGGAGGAACATAGTGAATCTAGTCAGAAAACATTGGAAGTGTGGTTATGTGGAGTGTTCGGCCAAGTACAATTGGCGGGTGATAGCGGTCTTCAAAGAACTAATGGAGATGATTGATGCGTTGGAATGTTCCGGTGGGGTCAGGAGCGCGGAGCCGCCGCCCGACGCGTCTGCCACCACCCACGAGAACAGGTGTGTGGTTGCTTAGCATCTCTCTTTGCTGAAGAGGTGTGTGTTCAGGACGTTTTCGTTCTCACGTCGTCGCGAATAAATGTCGATGTTATAGTTAGGTTAAAGCTATAATGTAGTCGCATGCCTCTATAACGAGAGAGATATATATAAAATAACTAATAAGCCAGTATGCGGTATGTATCTTTTATATTACATTAAAAGTCTCAATGTACAAACACTACAGCGAATATGTAGTATGGCACCAATAAAGATAGAGTGATTTAAATATGCAATATATAATTTAACTTATATTTATAGATTATAGATAATTATTCAATTTTTTTTCATCACATATATATGCATCACAGCACCTTAGTGGTAGTAGAGCGGAACATATAATATATATTAAGAAAATCTCATGAGTTTAATTAAACACTTCAAGTTGCCATAAACTAAATTTAATGGCTTTCTTATATAGTATGCTATGTATGTACATAGTTCTATCTCTAATGGTTAAACTACATTATCGCTTTAATTATCTCACTGTGACATTTATTGCGTAATAGATTAGACTAAATTGTTAATGCAAGGGAAATTACTTCTACGCTAGGATTTAATTGTACGAACAATTTATCGAAGTTTTCACACGTTACATATAGAAGGTTTAGGATTTTTTTAAATCGACTCGGGCGGAACTCGAACCCAAGACGTGTAATAAAGTCATTTATCGGTCAAACGGCAACCTATTTGGTAGAGAAACGGTCTGTTTTATTTTAATCTTAATTTTTACGTTATTTGAGCTTTGGGGGCATTATATTGTAAATACGCTACCTAAATAATTAATTTATCAAATGTAACAAAATGTTGCCATATCAAATTTATTTGTTTTTGTGCTCAATGTTAATTACAAATATTTAAAAAAATGCATCTAATATATACAACAATTATTCGATATATATGGGGTGTAAAAGTGTGGCTAAATTTATTTTCAGGAAATAAAAACGAGGAGATATTCTCACTTAGTTTGTTTTTCTATTATTATGATCTTTAAAACAACTCTATCATATATTCTTCTTAATAATAAAATAAAAATATTTTCCTTAGCAATACATTAAATACAGAAACTGCCTTTTATTTTCAATTCCAGCCTGAATTAAAAATAATAATAATAAAATGTACTAAATGTGAATATGAATAATATTATGTAAAAATTGTCGTAAGCATTGTTGATAAAAATAGTCATCCAACATTAAATAGGCATTACCGCACATTTTTAAGATAAGTGTGATCTACCCGCTGATAACCGAAGGGTTCCGTACCGTTAATTACTATAAAAATAAGCCAAATTTTGAAAAAGCCTTCTTGTTTTACTCTTTGCGTACTCAACTCCAAAATTCATCACAATTTTTATTAACCAAGTATATAAGCACAATATGCAATATGGATATTTTTATCAAAAAGTATGTTTGAGTTTAGATTTATTAATTTGTCATATATTTGAAAGGTAATCTAAATGTCATAGAGGTGATTAAGATAAAGAAGAATTTCATTTTCCATAATATTTTTATAATAGAGTTTAATCAAGTTTTAATAACGTACTTTTTGAATTGAAAATCGATAATAAATTGAACAATTTACGACTCGGCCAGGACTTGAACCGGCATCCTCAGCGTTCCGTGCTGTGTTGCTCTGAGATTTTTTTTTCAATTTATTATCGATTTTTATTTCATATAGTGCCATCATGTGAAAAATATTACAGTTTTCAAACATACTTTTTGTCTCGTAATATAATAATATTATTAGCTGCATTTTTTATGTCTGATAGAAGATTTAACCTCTTCACTCTTATATTACCCTGGTACATTTTTATTTTTAACTGAATACAGTTCTTTCTTCAATAATTGTTACTGCAACGTAAGTCCGAATGCATGTTGTGGGGCACACTGTAAGAAGTAGAAAATTATCACTTCCACAGGTTTCCTGATATGTAAGATTATGTAAATAAATTATTTACACAGTGATAAGGAACAGAACAGTGACGCAGGGTATTTTATACTTTTCTACTGTAACCCGAATTTTAAATAATCAATGTCAAATTAATTTCGTAAGGAAATTTCTCCTTCCATTTTAATATTCAATGACAAGCGAAATTTCGGAATTTTTAAGCATAAAATAAATAAAATGAACCAGCGTCACTAACAATATCCAAATTTGCTTTCTTCGATACCGTTTTTAGATTTCTACCTAACTAACTTGGTCAACCTTCGATGAATTATAATATATTCGTTGGTCATAATATTTTTTTTACAATCTTTTAAGCCTATTAGTCATCAGATAATGTTTATATGAAAATTATTAATGTTTATCTTTATTATACTTTCGTAATTAAGTTAGTATGTAATTGTAAAAATACTCCGTGTTGTGCTACAACCCTTGCGCTTCCTCCCACTAGTGATTCTAATTAGATAGGTTTTAAATTTATATCCGCTGGGCATCAATTAATCGGTTTTTTAAACAAGATATGTCTAATTTAAAATTTAACGAATAATTCGTCACAAATTTCCCTTTTAGTAGTAAATATTTCACATGTGAAAACACATCTATAAAGTGAACGCTAAATTATAAATAGTATGTGTTTTGTTTTTAAGTTATACGGACATATATGTATTATTATTATACATGAAAATCATTACAAACCATAGACATAGAATCCGCTAATATGAATAGCTTATAACGATTTTACGTGAAAAGTGTGAAATTCTTATTGTATCTAATTGTAGATTCTAATTTCGTATAGATATTGTCGTTTTATAATGATCGTTTCATTGTATGTAAATTATTTTGTATTTTCGTAGTTAATGTGAGTAGAGTTGAGAAATAATATACAAATGTTACACCATGCAATAAAACGTTGTGAATGCATGTTACCTTTTATTTTCACATCACATCTATTCTACACAATCTGATTACTTAAAACAAAACAAGTTAATATGGTATAACTTGGGTATAACTGCTTAATCTACTAGCATGAAGGCTTGTTTTTGAAACTCGAGACTTTTTTAGAGAAAAAGTTTTATATATTGCAAGTTTACACACCAACTTTCATTGTAATCAATGTATTACTTAATCGAAAAGGTCCCTAACTAAAGATGTGAGACGAACTTAGGAACGTAGCTTTACAATTTAAGCACACTATTACCAGCTAGGAACTTTTGTTTTGTTTTATGAGACTGAAAATGCTTTTAAGCACTGACTGCAGGATTCCATGACCTCTGACCTCTATGCTTATGAGCCTTGCTCTACAAGACTTGGTGACACCAACTATAAACAAACTCAATTTGCCGCTATTACCACGAACAAACTGTGACCTGTATTCCAGACTACTTTTCACTTAATGGGCACACAAATTCGAGATTAATAATGTCTCATTTTTTTAAATATTATTAAAATATATCCTATACCATACACTAAACAGAGATAAGCAATGACAAGCTGATATCTATAAGATGAAAGTTATAAAAGTAACTTGAATTATTTACAATGTCCTTTGCGTCAAACGATAATAATAAAGATAATATTTAAGGACTGCATCATAAAGTATAAAAATAACACTGGCAATATAAGTAAAATATTATACTTGATAGAGGTGGAACTGCTAGTCGGATTCGGTGGTGCTGGGTATTTGTAATATTTCGCGAAAGCCTCTTCCCAAAATTTCGTTCTTTCGGAGAGCATAGAATCCCTGAATTCTAAAGTACTGTTTAAGGACATGTAGGATCTTTGCTGCGACATCGGTGGCCAGGCTGGGTAGTTCGAACCGGCTGGTACTGGCACTCTGAAAATTACCAGCGTTTCGAAAACCTTTAGAAAATATCGGCTACCTTAAGTACAAGTGCAATTTATTCTCATAACTTAATCAGGGACTTAGTGACGCTACAAAGCATCCGAATGGGTCATATTTGTTACAATATATCGCGGTTTAAACCTCGTAAACTACAGTCAATAATGTTTAAGGTTCTTAAAACTTACCCTGTGGTGATGAAATTTAGCCAAAGGTCTCGCATAATAACTTTGACGTTCCTATACTTCTCTGATAGCTTACTTTCGTCGCCCAAATCCATGACAGCATGCGCTTGCGCACAATGCGTGGCCCCACGTTCTGCTGTGTGCGGTATATAATCATCACTTTCATCCGCAAATGAATATTTATAGAGATAAAGCTGATCGTTTCCAACATCTAATTGCAGTTTAGCAGACCTTAACATACCATAGCCAAACATGATGTCTGTGAAAAAATCTATGTAATCTAAAATACTACTATTTGTAACGGGTCCGACGCCAAAATAAAGTCGCTTAATATCTTCTGCCAGTTTTACCCTATTTTCTTCATCATTTCCTAAATCTGGTGTAAGGAAGTTCACAAAGTTCTCGTTCATTTTGTCTCTCCATGTATCGAACATATTGACCCGGTATATTCCTTCCATATTACAATACCCATATAACATAGGTACCTTTAGGAAGTTCCCGTCACTTAGTATCTTAAACGGGCTGTCATGAAGGAATATTTCTTGACCAATATCTTTCTCCACACACGGTGAGAATAAGGTGACCGAGTTTGTGGTTTGTGCTAATTCAGCGGATTTAAGGGATAGTGCTTCATATGGGGTGTTCAGATAGAATTTTTCCAACGCAACAATATCGTTCGTATCGTTGAACCCCATTTGTTGCGCGAAATATTTTGCGTTCTCTAACGGCCTCGTTTGGACAGCAAAGGCATTAAGATTACTCCCGCTACCTCCTATTGCTCTTTTAAACAATCCTTTGCTTTGTTTTGAGATCAATAGTAGGTCTATAGATGCCGAGCCAGCGCTGCAACCAGCAATTGTTACATCGCTTGTATCACCGCCAAATTCAGCAATGTTCCTTTGAACCCACCTAAGTAGTTCTATTTGGTCTTTCATTCCAGCATTACCCGGAGCCGCGTCTGTTCCTAGACATAAGAAGCCATGTGGGCCCACCCTGTAGTTGAAAGTGACTGCTATAATTTTACCACTTTTGACTAAATTCTTAGGCGTTCGAGAATTTCCATATCCGAACAAAAATGCTCCTCCGTGTACAAACACAACGACGGGTAGCTTTTCTTGTTTCGTATCTGGTACGAATACATTTACAATGAGGCATTGTTCTTTGACTTCAACTAGACCGGGGGGGTATTGGCGATGTTGTTGGCATATTATTTTTCGATCTACCGCATCGAACGTATCATTCCAAGATGGCGGAGGCAGAGGTGCCTGCAAAACCGAAATGTTTTATTTGAAATAAAATAAAATAAAATTTAAAGAAGCTTTGGCTTCCTATATAGTAATAAAAATAATATTTTTAAATAAAAAAAAGAGTTAAATAAACTTACCTTATAAAAATCAAGGCCGGACGGAACAATTGCGTACGGAATGCTTTGAAACGTAAATATATTTTCTTCCACCGACCTATATCCTCGTACGACTCCTTGCTCTATTTTCACATCGCGATAATTTGTGTCCTGCGCAAACGCTGCATTACATAGAGTACAAAGTACCAAAGCTACAATACTCTCCAAAGTTTTTGACCGGGAAATTGGTGCGATCATCGTCTTGCGCATAGTACTGTCAAGTGGAAAATTGTTATTAAAAGCAATTTGATATAAGATCCGAAAATGGTTACATAAATAGTGGGTTTGGATTTTAAATTGTAGTGTTACTGTGTTTTTAATTCTAAGATAATTCTAAATAATCTATCTATCTTATTTTAATTTACATTGCGATAAATATGGAATTATAAAACAATAAATTCATAGAAGTTAACGTAAATGATAACACTGTCTGTAGTCTACGCGAGTAGTACTCGTTAAATAAAACACTCTAACTGTTTAAAAAGCAAAACATATTAGTTAAAGTTATTCAAGAATTATTTTTACTACGGCCAGACTTTTCGGATGCTTTGTAGTAGTTTTTACTTTGATATTTAAGAAACGCTCCATCTTCAGTCAACCGCGACCACGTGCCGTGACGTGACCGAAACGTCGGGCCGTAGTTAAAATAATTTTTAAATAAGCTTAAGTCATATATTTCGCGTTTTAAATCATTGAAGCGTTTTATTTAAATAAATGATTACAACAAACCATCAATGACAAGAAAATTAACTATAACCAAAGCGTTGAACTTGACTGTACTCTTAGAACTTAGAAGCTCATTGACAATGTGGTTCACGTACGGGCGTAACACTCACACTAATGCGCGGGAGACCCAGGTATAGTCGCCCTCCATCCGCGCTTCTTATTTATCGCAACTGATAATTACTTCTTGCGTTCTGCACAACCAAAGTTTGGCAAGTACTGTACTTCTTTCGATGTCATGTCGACCTTAGGTTATGATTGAAATATATTTATAACCTGCGATGAAAAAGATAAGATTTAATTATGATTGCGTATCTTATCTCAAGTAACAAAAGCATGATTGACGGCACACAGAAGATTTTACATTTACGACGGCCCTTATGAAGTTTTGTTTTTATGTCTGCATATCGATAAAATTCTCATATCTCATCTCCGTGCATTTTTTGTGCATGTACAAATAAATTATGTAAGAAGCAACAACGAATACCTAAAATCGCAATAAGAAGAAATAGTTTTTACTATTATGTTCAGAAAGCTCTTAAGCGTTATCCTTCTTCTTATTTATTTATCATATGTTTATTGTAAATTAAAGAAATAATAATAATATTGGATTCAAAATCGAGAATTAATTGCAAATAATTTCGACTCGGGCAGGACTTGAACCGGCATCGTCAGCTTTCCGTGTTGTTGCTCTAACCAATTGAGCTACCGAGTCCCACACCCCATCGGCGAATAACAGTCTTAATCGACTTAAATAAAGAAAAGCCAACTTTACGTTTTAAGATGATTTAAATATGACTATATATTCTGCCTTGTCGATAAATAAAGCGCTATACTTCCATTATTAATGATGGCAGATAAGAAAAGAAATGATAACGAAACATAATTTAAGGAAAGCGTGTTAACATTTAAGAAATATATCAACAAACCTAGAGTACCTAGCTACCTATCTACTTGATAATTTCGGTCTTAAAAGAACGAACGTGTGGGTGGTTTTGGACCACTAAATGTAAAGTAAAACTTATTGCTGCTAGAAAATATATATGTACATATATATACATACTTAAAACTTAAGATTACTTATGTTCTATAGTAAAAAACTTATTATATTAATAAAAAACTACTGGTTCTTAGACCTCCTTTATTATTTAAAACTATTTACAACTTTTTTTCAAAAATTAACATCAAGTTTATGGTAAAATACAAATAGTCTGACTCAATATAAGCAAGAGTGTATCGAATATAGCGTCATCAAAATTAAAGAGACAACACTATTACTAATTAAAGCAGAACTGCCATTCTTGGGGTCTGGTGGTGAGGGATATTTGTAGTATTTCGCCATAATTCCGTCCCAGAATTGCGCCCTGTCTGGCATGAGGGAATCCTTATACTGTAGAACACTGTTTAGGGACATGTAGGATCGTTGGGGCGACATTGAAGTCCAGTTTGGGAAAGTAGAGCCTTGTGGTACTGGAGCCCTATAGATGAAAAGAGATATTAAAATAAGAACAAATTAATATGCCTACCTAGTGGCACAATTACCCGTTCTTTTAATTTAGTCGTAATAATTAAATCGAGACTACGACTGCAAAGTGTTCAGATAAAAATCACTTATTACATACATGTTTTGAGTGTAAGTTAATTGACATCAATCTCTTAGTGACGACAATACTGACCCAGTAGTAATAAAGTTCAGCCACAGTTGTCGCATAGCTGCCTTCATATTTTTATATTCAGTAGACAACTCCTTTTCATTTGGCGAGTCCATCACAGCTGCATCTTGGGCGCAATGTGTTGCACCGCGCTCCCTAGTATTTGGAATATATTCCTCACTCGCATCTACAAAGGAATATTCGTACAGGTATAATTGATTGTTCCCGGCGTCAAGTTGAAGTTTTGCAGATCGTAGCATGGCATAGCCAAACATCACATCCGTAAAATAATCAATATACTTCAAAACAGTGCTATTGCTCACGGGTTCCGTGCCGAAATAGAAATTCTTTACGTCTTTGGCAATCGTCTCCCTTTCTTCTTGGTTGTTACCTAAATCCGGTGGCAAAAATTCAATGAAGTTCTCATTCATTTTCGTTTTCCATGTATCAAATAAATTCATACGAAATAAACCCTCCATATTACAAAAACCGTATAACATTGGCAACTTTGTGTAATCTCCATTCGAAAGTATTTTCACCGGGCTTTCATCCAAAAACATTTCTTGTCCAACGTCCTTCTCCAGGCAGGGTGAGAAGTAAACATTAGAATCTGGACTTGACATCAATTGAATAGATGTGGCCGCTAGCGTTTCGTAAGGCGTTTCTAGGTAAAACTTTTCAAGAGCATTGATGTCCTCAGTGTTATTGAATCCTAGTAGCTTTGCAAAATATTGTGCGTTTTCTATAGGGTTCGTTTGGACACTGAAAGCGTTGACGTTACCTCCACTTCCAGCTATAACCTTGTGGAAGAGACCATTAGCTAGCTTAGAGATCCCCAACAAGTCTACCGATGAAGATCCCGCACTACATCCCGATATAGTCACGTGATTTGGATCTCCTCCAAACTGGGCGATATTATCTCTGACCCATCGAAGCAAAGCCACTTGATCCTTCATACCTGCATTTCCGGGGACTTTATCAGTGCCCAAACATAAAAACCCATGTGGTCCTAATCGATAGTTGAAGGTTACGTACATAACTTTTTGAGATTTAACTAGATTGATGGGCGTCGCTGCATTTCCATGCCCAAGAAGGTAGGCTCCACCGTGTACATCAACTACGACTGGCAAATTTTCAGTTTGTGTCCCGGGAACGTACACATTGGCAACCAGACATTGCTCTCGCATATTATCATTTCCAGAGAAACTCGGCTGTCGACACCTAATATCTCTATTTACAGCTTCCAATGTTGTACTCCATGTTGGTGCGGGTAATGGACTCTGTAATTGTAATTGTATTAATATCGTATTTAATGTATAGTAGATTATTTTACAAATAGATATATATTAATAGCTACAGTACATTCATTATAATTATGTTATTATCATCATCATGTTAATCTATCGCAGTGACCGAAAATTGTTACCACAATTTTTTATTGTACTTTTTATTTTCTCTTTATTGAATGCAAATCATGTTTTTTGTTATTCAAATCAAATGAGTTACACAAACATGGGTTATCAATGATGATTATATATAATTCTAAGTTTCTAATATAAAACTTGGCATGTAAGAACTAAGCATGTAGTTAGTTAGATGCTAATTGTTTATACACAGGAGGGGACTAGCCGCCCACGACACAGGGAATCTTCGTGCGGGGGCTAGTATACCCAAAGACAATATGTAAACGATTTTTTTTTAAGACACAATTTCTATTTATTTTCAATCAGTTTAGTTTCATTCATCTATAAACGCGACAGGATGAGTGTTAATTATCTAATTATAAAGCTTGTACACCAAAAATAGGCTTTGTCTGTACTGTTTAAGCGTTAGAATCTAAGAGAAAAAATAAAAACCTTATAAAAGTCAGCTCCAGTCGGAACACTGGCATATGGGATGCCATAGAAGACGAAAATTATGTTCAGAAAGCTCTTAAGCGTTATCCTTCTTCTTATTTATTTATCATATGTTTATTGTAAATTAAAGAAATAATAATAATATTGGATTCAAAATCGAGAATTAATTGCAAATAATTTCGACTCGGGCAGGACTTGAACCGGCATCGTCAGCTTTCCGTGTTGTTGCTCTAACCAATTGAGCTACCGAGTCCCACACCCCATCGGCGAATAACAGTCTTAATCGACTTAAATAAAGAAAAGCCAACTTTACGTTTTAAGATGATTTAAATATGACTATATATTCTGCCTTGTCGATAAATAAAGCGCTATACTTCCATTATTAATGATGGCAGATAAGAAAAGAAATGATAACGAAACATAATTTAAGGAAAGCGTGTTAACATTTAAGAAATATATCAACAAACCTAGAGTACCTAGCTACCTATCTACTTGATAATTTCGGTCTTAAAAGAACGAACGTGTGGGTGGTTTTGGACCACTAAATGTAAAGTAAAACTTATTGCTGCTAGAAAATATATATGTACATATATATACATACTTAAAACTTAAGATTACTTATGTTCTATAGTAAAAAACTTATTATATTAATAAAAAACTACTGGTTCTTAGACCTCCTTTATTATTTAAAAATATTTACAACTTTTTTCAAAAATTAACATCAAGTTTATGGTAAAATACAAATAGTCTGACTCAATATAAGCAAGAGTGTATCGAATATAGCGTCATCAAAATTAAAGAGACAACACTATTACTAATTAAAGCAGAACTGCCATTCTTGGGGTCTGGTGGTGAGGGATATTTGTAGTATTTCGCCATAATTCCGTCCCAGAATTGCGCCCTGTCTGGCATGAGGGAATCCTTATACTGTAGAACACTGTTTAGGGACATGTAGGATCGTTGGGGCGACATTGAAGTCCAGTTTGGGAAAGTAGAGCCTTGTGGTACTGGAGCCCTATAGATGAAAAGAGATATTAAAATAAGAACAAATTAATATGCCTACCTAGTGGCACAATTACCCGTTCTTTTAATTTAGTCGTAATAATTAAATCGAGACTACGACTGCAAAGTGTTCAGATAAAAATCACTTATTACATACATGTTTTGAGTGTAAGTTAATTGACATCAATCTCTTAGTGACGACAATACTGACCCAGTAGTAATAAAGTTCAGCCACAGTTGTCGCATAGCTGCCTTCATATTTTTATATTCAGTAGACAACTCCTTTTCATTTGGCGAGTCCATCACAGCTGCATCTTGGGCGCAATGTGTTGCACCGCGCTCCCTAGTATTTGGAATATATTCCTCACTCGCATCTACAAAGGAATATTCGTACAGGTATAATTGATTGTTCCCGGCGTCAAGTTGAAGTTTTGCAGATCGTAGCATGGCATAGCCAAACATCACATCCGTAAAATAATCAATATACTTCAAAACAGTGCTATTGCTCACGGGTTCCGTGCCGAAATAGAAATTCTTTACGTCTTTGGCAATCGTCTCCCTTTCTTCTTGGTTGTTACCTAAATCCGGTGGCAAAAATTCAATGAAGTTCTCATTCATTTTCGTTTTCCATGTATCAAATAAATTCATACGAAATAAACCCTCCATATTACAAAAACCGTATAACATTGGCAACTTTGTGTAATCTCCATTCGAAAGTATTTTCACCGGGCTTTCATCCAAAAACATTTCTTGTCCAACGTCCTTCTCCAGGCAGGGTGAGAAGTAAACATTAGAATCTGGACTTGACATCAATTGAATAGATGTGGCCGCTAGCGTTTCGTAAGGCGTTTCTAGGTAAAACTTTTCAAGAGCATTGATGTCCTCAGTGTTATTGAATCCTAGTAGCTTTGCAAAATATTGTGCGTTTTCTATAGGGTTCGTTTGGACACTGAAAGCGTTGACGTTACCTCCACTTCCAGCTATAACCTTGTGGAAGAGACCATTAGCTAGCTTAGAGATCCCCAACAAGTCTACCGATGAAGATCCCGCACTACATCCCGATATAGTCACGTGATTTGGATCTCCTCCAAACTGGGCGATATTATCTCTGACCCATCGAAGCAAAGCCACTTGATCCTTCATACCTGCATTTCCGGGGACTTTATCAGTGCCCAAACATAAAAACCCATGTGGTCCTAATCGATAGTTGAAGGTTACGTACATAACTTTTTGAGATTTAACTAGATTGATGGGCGTCGCTGCATTTCCATGCCCAAGAAGGTAGGCTCCACCGTGTACATCAACTACGACTGGCAAATTTTCAGTTTGTGTCCCGGGAACGTACACATTGGCAACCAGACATTGCTCTCGCATATTATCATTTCCAGAGAAACTCGGCTGTCGACACCTAATATCTCTATTTACAGCTTCCAATGTTGTACTCCATGTTGGTGCGGGTAATGGACTCTGTAATTGTAATTGTATTAATATCGTATTTAATGTATAGTAGATTATTTTACAAATAGATATATATTAATAGCTACAGTACATTCATTATAATCATGTTATTATCGTCATCATGTTAATCTATCGCAGTGACCGAAAATTGTTACCACAATTTTTTATTGTACTTTTTATTTTCTCTTTATTGAATGCAAATCATGTTTTTTGTTATTCAAATCAAATGAGTTACACAAACATGGGTTATCAATGATGATTATATATAATTCTAAGTTTCTAATATAAAACTTGGCATGTAAGAACTAAGCATGTAGTTAGTTAGATACTAATTGTTTATACACTGGAGGGGGACTAGCCGCCCACGACACAGGAAATCTTCGTGCGGGGGCTAGTACACCCAAAGACAATATGTAAACGATTTTTTTTTAAGACACAATTTCTATTTATTTTCAATCAGTTTAGTTTCATTCATCTATAAACGCGACAGGATGAGTGTTAATTATCTAATTATAAAGCTTGTACACCAAAAATAGGCTTTGTCTGTACTGTTTAAGCGTTAGAATCTAAGAGAAAAAATAAAAACCTTATAAAAGTCAGCTCCAGTCGGAACACTGGCATATGGGATGCCATAGAAGACGAAAATATTTTCATTGGGCGTTTTATATCCGCGCACTTTCCCTTGGGTTATTGTCACCTCGCGGAAATTTGTCTCCTGTGATAGAACAATAGGAAGGACACAGAATAGCAGAAGTATGCTTCTCGTCATGTCTACGAGTGCGTTAGACGAGTGTAGATATTCATTTCAATTCCGAGAAAGTGTTTAAAAATTTTGAATTATATCGCGATAAGATTTCATCTTATCTACTATTGCTATCAAAATTATATGTTACTTCAACATGCGATCGGTGTATTAGAATTTGTGTGTTGTATGTATTAGATTGATTCATATATGAAAACTAATAATTAAAATGTAATGTATATTTTTTAACTACTGATTTTCGTAACAATCCACATCAATACCATTTGTAAAAAACATTTTCCTTTAATATAAATTGACATTTTAAAATTTTATTAACAATTCTTAATATATTATTTATCAATAAAAGATAAATTAGTGACTTTTTTCTTGTATATAATTTTAATTAACTTTCACGTTTTCTGCAACATCTTGACCTTTAAATGTCTAGAAGAAACGTTATGGCTATGAGTTCTCACATAAATAAACTATTTTAACCAAAACAGTATTTTTTTGTAGTATATAATACTTGTAACAGACTTTTTATCTCATCAAACATTTACAAATTTAACCATCTTATCGAAATATCATGTTTGCCTATCCAGCGGACGTCGGTTAGTGGGTTGAACAGATTAGGGATATGTTTCGTCATCTATTTAGAACGTGGGGCCGTTTTTTTATATTTTACTGGAATGGACGCCGAAATGGAATGAAACATATAAACTATGTAAGTATTATTAGCCAGAGATTCCTTGTGCACGCAAGAAGTGCAAATAATTGCATTATCCTAATTTCCTACCTAAAACAAAGAGAAAGTTCTGATGTCGACATGTAAACAAAATTAAATTTAAATAATTTAATTCCAAATGAATCCATTTATTTTCGTCACGCGACTGATAATACTATAAACATTTTTAATAAAACGCTGGTATCAGTTGAACTATGTAATAGTGGTGTTAAAACAGCCGTGTAATATATTCTAGCTGTGTTAGCAAGTTCGTCCGTAAGAATCGTTATTTTCGGCATTAAAATTCGTTTTTGCTAACCCCTTCATCTTTATAAACTTAAGCTGTTAGCTTAGCGCGATCAAACAAACAAACAAACTCTTCAGCTTTATATATTAGTATAGATATAGATATCACATATTTTAATTTTCATTGTGAGATAAAGAAAACGTTTATAAATCATATAATCAACTTACATTACATTGTGATTTTAAAATAACACTGCAGAGCAAAAATATAGTAATATGTATCATATCAATCAACATCAGAAGTCCCAAAATGGGATTCTTCTCTGCCTGCACTGTAAATATGAAAACTTTATTCAAAAACTTGTCAACCAGAACTAATATACTTTGTGATTACCGCAATGGACAAGATCACGGTTATTAGACCGATATGTACATCCATACTATTATTATAATTCTAAAGAGTTAGTTTGCTTGTTTAAACGGTTATTATTCATCTTTGAATGCTTCCATTGCGGGCGCTGCAAAACGGGCCAGGAAGTCGAAAACTATGTATAAAAGAATGATTCTTCTTCAAATGATCTAAAAAAATGTCCGCGACAGTATAACTTTCAAGCTTAACTCGCAAGAACGAAGGGACATCGTCGACATCGGGCGACGTCGTGGATAACAGCTATAATTGACAAAGCTAAAGAGGTTGTTAGCAAATGAAATAATATTATGACTTCCAGAATAACTATTCTACGCAGGCGAAGTCGCGGGCACAACTAGTCTTGCCTAAACTTTGACCAATCTCTATGTAAACATTAGAATTTATTGCTAATTGACAAATCATATTATACAACATTGCTTGGCATAGTGGGGAGAATGTCTTGCACCGACGCGATAAAAATGTCATGCTGATTGACCTCTGGGATGTGCAAAGGCACGCTGTCATTTAATTAATAATGGTATATTTAAATAAAATAATTTAACGATTTAAATTGCGATATATATTTGTTAAACTTATTTGTTAATTATTTTTAACTTTGATTATCGGATATTTGATAATTTTGATTTTCGGATGCTTTGCAGCAGCCGTAGTCACGGGGAGACTAAAGATGGAGGATGTCTCTGATGTTAAAGTAAATTAAAAGTAATTTTCAAATAAGTTTAACCAATATATATCGCGTTTTAAACCGTTAATTAAAAAAATAAAGATAAAATCAGCCAAAAAACATGAATTTTAAAGCTTTTCTTTTGTATTAAAATATAAAAAAGATAACGCTATTTTATCAGAACAGTACCGTATTTTTAATTCTTGGAAATTGGTGGTTATTTCTCCATAGCCCCCCTCCCAGCCCAGCATGACAGAATACTGTAGAACAAACCCTTAAGAAGACATGAAAGTTTGCGAAAGCAGAGCCTTCTGCTACTAGGGCCCCATAAATTAAAAGAGATGTTATAACCCTCCATATTGGAAAAGCTATACAGAATTAGAAACTAAGTTTAGTCTCCATTCGTAAAGAAAGAGAAAGTTTTCTTTAATTACGCCTTAAATTAGTTTCAGAAATATATAATCCTTATTTGTTGCGTTAAGAACAAAAAAAATAACCGATATCTTATCTCATCAAATATTTGCTAATTTAATCATTTTATCGAAATAACACGTTTACTTATCTGGCGTTCGATAGAAGTCAAGTAGCATTAGTTTGACTTTAATAGATTACTGAAACGTAAAAATAGATGTGTTCCTTTATTTGGGATATGGGGAAAATTTTTAATTTTCTTTATTTTGACTACATAAGTCAAAATAACGATATCAACTGTGAAACAGCTGAAAATATAATCTTCAGTGTTTTTTACTAAACATCAGATTGTTTATGAGTAATTCAATATTCATTGTCTGTACTTTGCGCTAGTAGGGCTCATTTAAATTAAACATATTAGGGTTTTAAACACGATATATCTTTGTTAATTGAAACCGTGACTGTTTGAAGCATTCGAAACATCTTGCCGTAGATACGATAAATTAACTAATTAATACTTTTCGCATTTTAAAGCCTTAAAAGATTTATTCAAAAAGTATTGAAGTTAAATATCATTTTCAAATAAGTTTAACTAATATATCGAGTTTTAAACAGTTAAAGTGTTTTATTTAAATATTGTATGGTAATTGTTACAATGAGCTCGTCCAATCTCGTGGAGGGATGGGCTGCTTGTAGTATTTGTCGTATATTTCTTCCCAGAAGAGGGATCTATGGTTCAATGGTTTAATCTCTATGGTATTGTTCAAAGACAAAAGATAGATGTTGTCTATATGGACTGGAAGCCATTGTGGAAGAGATGACTCTGTAGACTCTGTAGGTTTTCTAAAAGAAAATATAAACATAATACAGTTGCAATTAATAGACCGGAATATAAATCTGTTTTATACATTTAAAGTTAAATATACAAAATGGTATTTATTATACATACTTTTAATGTGAAAATGTTTTGGATATATATGTTTGGAAAATTTTAATGGTTTTTTATTTAGTGGTTTACGTTACCGTTCGCTATAATGTGACAAAGATGTATATCGAAATACTTACCCCGTTATCACAAAAGTAGAATATATATCTTTCATTATTCTTTTCATTTCTAGTAATTCAGGAGATATTTGAACTGAATCGCTCGACTGAGTATTTCGGTCTAAAATGTTATTGGTTTGCCAGCTATGGAAAGCTCCAGGCTTATTAATAAATTGAACTCTCGGAGATTCTTCAGACGTAAATGAATATTCATATAAATAAATTTGGTCATGCCCAGCTTGTAGGTGCAATTTCAAAGCTCTCAAGATTGGAAATACATATATAGTATCGGTAAAATAGTTGATGAAAAGTAATATATTTTCTTCATTTATTTCGTGGTCACCGAAGTAGTAGTCCTTCACTCTCTTGGAAATTATATCTCTCTCTTCAAATGTAGGAAATTCTAAATCAAGAGGCAAAAAGTTAGTAATGTTTTTGTTCATTCCGTCCCTCCATTTGTTAAACATTGGCATCCGAAATGTCCCGTCCATTTCTGTAAAGCTGATTAAAAGTGGTACCCTGAGATATTCGCCAGATTTTAGTATATCATAGGGTGTTTCCCCGAGAACAACTTCATCTCCTAAATCCCTTTCCACGCACGGTGTAAAAAGATAACTTTGTAACTTCGTCGTATCTATGGAATTCAACTCTTCATAAGAGGCATTTAGATAAAAATCTTCTAGAGCCTTTATGTTATCTACGTCATCAAAATTTAACAATCTCGCAAAAACCTTAGCATTGGCAAGTGGATCAATTTGAACAGTTTCAGGGCCTAAACTCCCACCACTATCACCAATAACACTTTTGAAGAGTCCAGCTGTTGATTTAGATAGCATCAGAAGGTCTACTGACCTTGACCCAGCGCTGTTTCCATAAATGGTAACATCATTAGGATTGCCGCCAAACGAGGCGATGTTTTTCTTAACCCATCGAAGAAACGTCACCTGATCTTTCATACCCGCATTTCCGGGGATTTTATCTGTACCGAGACATAGGAAGCCGTGTGCTCCAACGCGATAGTTGAAAGCAGCAAAGATAATATCTTTAGAATTGACCAGTGTTTTAGGAGTATTATTATCAGCATAGCCGCCTTGGTAGGCGCCCCCATGGACATAGACAATTACGGGTAAATTAGTCTTATTAGTGTTTGGAACATAAATAGATGTTATGAGGCAATCTTCTCTCACTTTTAGGGTTTTATCAGATTGCATTGAATTTGTTTGATATTGGGGACAAACTATATTTTCTTCAACTGCTTCTAACACTCCATTCCATTTGGGTGGTGACAGAGGCGCCTAAAAACATATTTTAATTTTAATTTAAATATAAAAAAAAATATGCGCGAGTAAATTTGTAAAACAGGTACATTCATTAAATGATCTTCTGATATCTGATCTTCTGATGAGACACTATTTAAAGTAACATTTTAACAATTAACTCAACTGACAAAGTAGTTTGTGTCGTTTACACTTAGATGTCTATAAGATTAGATTAACAAAATTCTGAAGTTATTAGAATTTTGTTACATCATTTCTAAGCTTGCAACATTACATAATTCAAAGTCAAGTTTATTATTGTCTCGTTATTGTAATTTAAAATAAGTGCAAATCTTAGGTAAGAAAAATAATGATCATTTTTATTTTCTTCTAAACGACGAAGTTATACCGTATAAATATGGTTACAAAGTTTACACGTGCTTTACTTACCTTGAACCGGTCTGACCCCGTAGGTGCAGTAGCAAACGGTATTCCGTGAAATGCAAAAACATCATGCTTTTCCAGTTTGTATCCTTTTACGAAACCCTGTTCTATCATAACAGTTTTTGACTCATTTTGAGCAAGTACAACGCCTATATTTATTAATTGAAGAATTAGGAATACAGTACGTTTCATTGTCCAAATTCGTCTCAAATTCTAAAAACATGCTACTTTTGTAAGGTCTTCTTATATGATTGGATCGGAAGATTTTACATCAAATACTTTAATTTAACAACGTTTTTTAATTTAACAAGAAAATAGTATCATATTTTGAACAAAAAACATCTTCTCTTCGTTCACAAATTTTTGTGCACATTTTAGTAAACAATATATATTAAAAAATAAACAAATAGCCCACTATTAACACCAAGATATAAAAACACACACATAAATCCTTTGCTGTCGAAAGAAATCACTCAGCTGTATAATTCCGTTGTATTTATAGTTCTTGAGTATCTTCTCTTGTCCTTCTTGATTAAAACAATTTTGTTCCAGTAATCAAACCCGGAAGCTTTACCTTTAACATGAAGCTACGGAATCAACGTAATTTTTAGTAGGAAAAGACCATTAGATATACTTATAGCATTATTAAATAAAAGGTAAGTTTTTGCTTTAAAAAAAAACTTTGGTGATCCGGCGTAATACATAGTTTTATTAAAAATTAACATATTGTGAAATTTTATTTTTTCTTAAAGATATTATGCAAGTTCTTAGTTCAGTGCAAGTGTAATGATTTTTTTTTCTGATTCTATTATTTAATAAATAACTTACCTTTCTGACGTACTTCTTCACAATACATCAATATCATAAATTTATGATACCCGTATCTTTGGCATCTTTATCTTTTATCTTAGAGAGGCTTATAATGAAAATACAACCCCCCACAAAATTTGAGTTAGATACATAAACAAGGTTTTCTTTGATCGCTTTTAGAGATATCAAAGCCGAAAACAAAGGTATTTAGTTTATAAAACTAATAATAATAATAAAAATCTCGTTAAGATGATTTGATATGGTTGGGATACATCATCTTCTATCAAGTAAACCGTATGCTAGGCTGTGCTCATCTGTTCTTTCAATTGCTAAACATTGCTGAAACGTTCTGTCGAATTCTGCAAAGCTAATCATAAGTGGTAGATATTGTTTTAATGTTACATACATTACCTGTTTAGCCTTGCCTTTTCAGATACTAATTGTTAGCATTAAAAAACGCCTGTCTTGAAATGAATAGCATTACTTATGTTTTCACATTTGTTTAAAAGTATGTATAGGCAAAATATGTTTTATACTGTGTAAACATAACAATCTTTTTAAGACGAAGAAAGCATATATAAAATAGGATGAAATAACTTAAGTTAGAGGTACAGAAATGAAAGCGAAATATTTGTTATTAAAGTTTAATAAGTTGTTTAAGTTACTTATTATACGTTTAACATAAGATTTGGAATTTTCTTTAATTTTAGCTGTCAACTTAGTATTATTAGTTGTCTTTTAAACGAAACTAGTTATTTGTCATTTTAAAAAAAGTCCTAGCTATCAACAACATTTTTACATATACATTGAGTATATTAATTGGTATGGCTTGTACTGAATTTTTATAAAAAAGCAATTAACTTGAAAAGCATGATTCACGTTGTACAATGCCTAACTGCGACAGGAACATTTTTTGTCTAAACTATATCACGCGGCCAATTTAGGACATGTAATGCTTGTCTATCCTCTCCTGTCGTTAAAATAAAGTCAATACATAGAAGTTTCTGTTGCTTTAAGAAATAAAAAGTCAAAATTCAAAACTTACATATTATTGACCGAAAAAAACTTATACGTACTATTTTGGTATTTGGCATTGGAGGAAAACGAAAGAACATTATTTTAACATGTTTTACTTAATCAACAATTTAACAATTAAGATTAATACACAATAGTTTATAAGATTATTTATAAAGGTACTTTCTGTATATAGAGGTGGTGGGATTGGAGCTATGTAATACTTCTCATAAATAGCATCCCAAAATGTGGCACGATCTGGTACCGCAGCCCCACGTAGTTGTGTCACCACGTCAAGAGACATATGAGGTGATCTGTTAGCACCGACTGGAGGCCAAGTGAGGTCCGATGAATTATTCAAGCTTGGTTTCCTATGACAAGAAATACACTTTAATTTATTTATATGGTATTTTCCTCAAATTTCTATCTTAAATCAAAATCAATTCTTAAAAATGATTCATAAGCATGTATTAGAAGTAAAATGACGCGAACTTTATATATATGTATATGTATTAATGAAATCAAAAGTCTTCCTATATCAAAATACGAGAATCAATCATCTCGTGAGAGTAAGTTAAACTTTGGTTAAGCATAATTTAAGTTCGTTACCCTTTGGTAATGAAATTAAGCCACAGCTCCCGCGTAATCCTTTTAACTGCTTGATATTCTTTAGAAAGCATTTCTTCATCCCCAATATCCATTATCGCATCGGTTTGGGCACAATGAATAGCGCCCCGAACATTCACATAAGGCACGGCGACCCTAGTTTCAGCCGCAAAAGAAAATTCATATAAATAAATTTGCTTATGGCCATTTTCTGTATAAAATTTGAGAGCCCGTAACATTGGATATGTAAACATAACGTCTCCAAAGTACTCTACATACTTTAAAATTGTCTTTGGACCAACTGGTTGATTTCCAAAGTAAAATTCCTTAATTCTACGGGCTACTAGCTGCTTTTCTTTCTCATCAGAGAACTGTAAATCAACAGGTAAAAATTGATTGAAATCTTCATTCATCATATCTTTAAACTCTTCAAAAACAGTTAAGCGATAATGTCCTTCCATGTTTGTAAAGCCATACAGCATTGGTAGTTCTGGATAAGCTCCTTCCCTTATTATATCGATAGGAGTACTAGTGAGAAACGCATCTTGAACCTCCTCTCTTTCAACGCAAGTCAACAATAATGGCGAGGAATCCAATCGGTGCACTAAATCCACTGACGTCAACAATTCCATAGAGGCATCCAGGTAAAACTCTTCTAAAGCTTTTATGTCGTCGACATCAGTAAAATTCAGTAACCTAGCGTATTCTTTAGCATTTGCTAAGGGGTCCATTTGAATGCTGACTGCGGCTATAGCACTAACACTATCAGCTATTACTTTATGGAACAGGCCTCTGGTAGTCTTCGACAACATCAATAATTCTACAGCAGTAGATCCTGCACTGTATCCATGTATAGTAACATCATTGGGATTACCGCCGAAACTAGCTATGTTCTTCTGTACCCATTTCAATACAGCAACGTGGTCTTTCATTCCAGCGTTACCAGGAATCATATCTGTTCCAAGACATAAAAATCCTATTGCACCGAGCCGATAGTTAAAAGAAACGGCAATAATTCTCTTAGTATGCACTATACGGCTTGGAGTAAGCATTTCACCATTACCAATTTGAAACGCGCCGCCATGACTAAAAACGATAACTGGCAGGTTTTTTTCCTCTGTATCTGGTACATATATGTTGACTATAAGACATTCTTCTTTAACGTTCGTTGCCAATGGTGGATTACCAGGGTCCACCCATTGACGGCATCCTACATCTTGTTCTGTTGCTTCAAAAGTACCGGCCCATTTACGCGGTGGTAACGGTCCCTGCAATAAGGTATTAGGTATTTAAGAATGTATTATATACGAGTTCGTATGCCTTGTCTTCTTCGTCTTTAAAGTATGTCAGGTCATACTTTTCATGAGTATAGTGTGTTTTTTTTCACTTAAGTGTAAATAATGCACTACTTTATTGATTAGTGCTAAACAAATCTATATATAAGCGTTAGTTAAATTATATTTACCTAATGCGAAGTTTTGAACGAATGATAAGGAAGAAGGTGTATTATTTAATCAAAATTGCACACGAAAATGTTAGATTAGCTATTAAAATCGCGTAGCAATGGCATGTGTAAAGTACTGTGATATGATTTTATAATTATTTTATATTATTAGGTTGCAAATAGATGCTAAAATAATAATATACAAAACCCACAGTGTCATTTTAACTGTCATTGTTATTATTATAGTTCAAATTATACGTCACAAATAAGACTATTATTATGTTATAACTTATGTCACAAAAATGTAAGTAAAAGGATAAATTATAAAGCTGGCATGTGTTTACTTTGCTATTTAAGTCATTGGTTAACTTTAATACGTGACCAGTTAAAAAGTAATGAGCTAATGTTCTATTATAGGTGCTTTTTGTAAATCTTACCTTAAATCTGTGTACGCCCTTGGGAACCGTTGCGTATGGTATCCCAAAAAATCCGAATACATCAAACTTTGGTAATTTGTAACCTCTCACTTGACCCTGGTCTATTTTTATAATGCGAGATGCCCTAATATTTTCGTCAAGCCCACGAGACACGTAGACGAGGTTTATTAAAGCAATTGATAGAATTATCAAATGAGATGGCATGATTAGAATGGCACCAATACAACATATATTATAAATAAATACACGAATTTATAATTAAAATTAAGAAGCAGTTATGATTCTTATTAATTCTCACTCGAGCAAACTTACTCTTACTTAACAAATCACAAATAATTATTTTAATTATTGGGGATAAATCAAGGTTTTAAAGAGGGACTTTAAATTTGTAAAATATTAAGTATTCAATAAGTAGTTAATGTTACGATTATACAAAGCTACGAATAGCAAGTTTGTACAAATGGCACAGGACTCAATAGAATGGCTTTTTATTCTTTTCACCGTTTACGAGAAAGTGAGGTCAGATATATTTTTTTATAGTTCATTTAATTTAAAATACAATAAAAAGCAATTTATATATACTATTGTTCTGTCTGAATAAGTTTAAGAATTTTTCTCACGAAGTTACGATGATGTTAAAAGTTATTTAAATATTGACGTTGTCTGTAAAGGGCAGACCCGCTATAACTAAATTTTATAATGTACCAGACAACACTTAAACAGTTATTAAACAGCTAAAGAAGTTAATTGGTATTTTGTAATTAAACTCATTTTTTTGCTTTGTTATCAAACAACAATTTTAATTATCAAAGCATTTTTTTTTCAGTACTTTACGAACTAAAGTTTTAAGTGCAGTCAAACCGACGTGAAGTAGCGCTCAATTATTCCAGTATTTTATTGCTTTTGTTTAATCTATTTTTTGTTGATATAATAGGAAGATCTTGGATGTAGGTACATAAACTTTATGTAACTGTCTTTACTAGCTATGGGTTAAGCCTGAGAGTTCATAGGTTTTATTTTCCGATACATACGGTATTTTTTAGGCGAAAGAGCACCTATCGAATTTATAAACATTTAAGGCACATTATATCGTACTACAAACAATCTCAGTGCGTTTATGCCTTATAAATTAAGATATCACTGGCGTTAGTTCCTAGTTCCTACGATACTTTAGCAGAGAAACCTCGCCATTTGGAAAAGTTCCAGTTCCACGTTCCAAGAATCTTGAGCGCAAAGCTAATTGGATGGTCTTTCAAAATGTAGTGCAGCAGTTCTTCTCGATCAATGACTATTCAAGCCTTTAGAATTTTGTATGGTCATCAAGCTAACTACTAGCGCAATAGGTCACTATGTATGTAAGAAAAAATAAATAAAAAACCCTAAAGTTTAATAACAATTTTTTTGTAGTTATTTAATAATATTAATATAATATTTTTAGTTTACGCGAGTGGCGATTACATTTAAATATAACACTTTAACGGTTTAAAACACGATATATGTATATTAGTCGTCGAAACTCCGGGCTGTAGTTAAAATAATTTTCAAACAAGCTTAACTAATACATATCGTAGCGTTTTAAACCGTTAAAGTGTTTTATTTAATTTTTTTAAGATCCAGCTGTGAAACAAAAGGATTACGGTGTATGTAATAATCCAAGACACCAATAGGTGTATTAATCTTTCATGAAATTAAAAGACGCCTTGTTTTAATTTAAAGTACAAGAATAAGTTGAGAATTCTTTGCCAATTTTCACTTTACATGAATATGTTATCTTGTATTTTATGTATGATTTAAATAACTATTTTATACTTTGATGTACCTGTTCACATAAAATAACAAGTTATTATAAATCCAGTTTTCAATATCGGTTGTTAATTTACGCTAAAGTCTTTAAACAGAGTTAGACTGAGATAAACACAAGATAAAAAAATTACAGATGATAATATTTATTATGCTATATGAGACCGCCTCTGTAGCGAAATGATTAAATGTTGTGCGTGAAGAGTTCTGGGTTCCCGAAGGAAAAAAAGATTGTTTCGGCTGGAATAGAAATCTAAATAACTACTTGCTTGTAAATAAAACCGATTAGTGAAACGGACACAGAAATGTGTTCGTGTGTTGTGATACGGGATGCCAATTTATATGTAAATCAAAACATTGTTTCAAATTCGTGAATTAATAAAAAAATAAAATACTAATAAACATCAATAGAGGTAATCCTACAAAAATGGTGAGTAACATGACGATATCGTAATTGTTTCGTAAATACGAAATCGGTAATGACTGTATCTTTAGGTTTTGAGTCCCGCCAATGAATTCAAAATTTCAAACGTCTAAAAATCTAAATTTAGTTGTATTCTAAAACCAAAATAATTTATCAAAGTTTATTTCTTATAAAAATATGGAGTCACATTAGATATGAATAATATAAAGGTATAAAGTTTACTTTTTTATTCGTGACTGATGCGCGCAAAGATTATTAAAGTGTCCCTGATGATGAGTCAAGAAGATGATAATAAACTCGGTTATTGACGTCTAGTCGTTTAGTAGGTCAGTCACTAACCTCTGCTGATCAATCAAGAACACAATTTTAATAGCCGATGCGACAGAGGGTTCTGTATTCCTCAAACCTGTAGGTATATCAGACCAGTCATACTAGACTCATATATGACCTGCTATACAATTCTTAATTTCCTAAAAATAACTGAATTCAAATTTGATAGTGCTAAAATCAAATAAAAACAATCGAAATCCATACAATTTTAACTATGCCGTTATTAAATAATTTTCATAAAATAATAAAAACTATGAAAGACTATTGAAATTTTACTCTTCGTGGATTCGTCCAAAAACAATAAATTTATGTTTGTTTAACAGATAAGAGATATTTGCTAAGTAAAGACATAAACATAAATACTTTTATTATATAGCACTTCTTACATACTTATTCTACCTTATTTTTAAACTAAACTATCACAAATACTATGAGATCGATTTATAATATCTTCGTTATACCGTCACCAACATTTGACCACGTAAGTATATCCGGCTTAACTTTATCTACCTTTAGCCACACCCATTTATAGAATATGGCTGCTAAAGTTGCCCCCAGGAAGGGACCAAACCAATAAAGCCAATGGGATCTCCACGTAAAAGTCCACAGAGCTGGTCCTAGCGATCTCGCTGGATTCATACTAGCCCCGGTTAATGGCCCACCTGCCAAAGATAATCCAGCCACTGTGAGTCCGAACTTAATAGACCCGCTGTCTTGAAGGTCTTTGTTAACAGGATCCCAGAGGGCACAGCATATCAAAACCAATGCGGCAGTCAAAATTACTTCAATGCCAATCACCTGGTACTCCGTATATATCGCTAACGGTGTAGTTGCGCAGATACCTCGCGAAACGAAATCCGCTGGTGACAAAGCAACCAAAACTCCATATCCAACAATAGCACCGAAGCATTGTGCCACTATATACATTACACCGAGTAATAAAGAGATCCGTCCCCAAAGAACAGCTGCCCAGGTAACAGCCGGATTCATGTGAGCTCCAGAAATGTGACCGAACACTTGAACATTGAAAGTCACTATGAGCCCAAAACCTAGTGGTCCGTATAGAGGATTTGGCATTCCATCAATAGGTATGCACGTCATGCAGCCCAGAGCAATTAGAAGCATGGTCGCTATCATCTCCGCCAGGATCGCTCTCCATTTTAACGTCTTCCATATACCCGTTTTTATTGGTATCTCTTCAATAATGTTTTCGTTGGCTCCCACTAACTGCGCGTTCACTGACATTATGATACACTTCCAATTGTGTGAATTTAAAAGCTACGTGCGCTTGCGCGGCTCACTCCCGAATAATTGATTTGTGTACAAAAATCACGGCGTTTTAAAATGAATGGATTTCGATACTGTTATCTTGTGGGCGTTTCTAATTCCATTATAGATATGGATTTGATATTGAATGTTACGTTGAAAATTAATTAATCAATAGATAGAACAAAAAAACTATGTGTACTTAATGCGTGTTTATTTTAGATAGTAGTTTGTAGGTTTATCTTGTTAATACAAAGGTCATAGCTTTTTAAAACGACCCTCTAAGTATTACATTTTTACTTTAAACAAATTAGATCATCTAGATAATGGTACCTAACTGGTTTATGATATAAAAGCTTTTCAACATAAATTAAGCTAACCATTGTAACCGACTTAACAAAGTGTAAATAAATGGTGATCATTAGTCTGACAAATGGCGGAGTGAAATTTTATTAAAGGATTCCCTTTGCTCTAATTAAAAGGAGAAAGCGAGGGAAATTAAGGTTGACGTAATGAGTAAAATTGATTGCCTTGGTTAATAATAAGTTTCAAAGTTAGAGTTTGCTAAACTCTATTAGCAAGTTTCTTTTGAACTAAATTTGAGGCAGATCTAGATCAAAGTTGTTGTATTTATTAATTTTAATTACTAAACACTGAGTAATTACGAGCAATGAGGAAGTGTTAGAAATTATTAATTACTAGCTGTATCAGCGACTTTGTCCGCGTAGAATAATTATTTTAGGCTTCCGAATTCGTTTTTGCAAACCCGGTCGGTCACGTCCCTTTCCTGTCGTTCCTGCAAGTTGATCCTAAAAGATAGACATATAGCGCCGCAAACTTTTTTTAGATCATTTAAAGAGGAATCATTACATATTTTTGGGTATCTTGAACCGTTTTTGCAGCGTACGCCTCGATAACCCATAATGATTTGATCATAAGAATAATTTTCCGACTATTTTTCACATTTCCCGTTGTATCATCGCTTTTCTCGATAAATGTTCTAACACAAAAATAACTTTTCAGTGAGTACCTGTAGTTCCTGAGATTAGCGCGTTTAAACAAACAAACTTTTCAGCTTTATATATTCGTTTAAATAGTGAAAAACCCTTTTTTGAAAATTAAAACTAGCATTCCACAGCGGTGCTGTTAAATATGCAAAATGAACTTTTAAATACTAATAATCAAATTTATACAATATAAGATGACTACTGTAAATATGATTCGATAACGCCTATACAGTTTCATAGCATTGTAGTATAAGATAATCAGTATAAGGTATTTATAATACTTACTTCAAATATCAGTTGAAGATAAAATTTCTACATTTGTAATCTTGTCATTTTAATAAATAATCAATAACCAATCTTCATAATGTGTTATCTTATCAAAATACCCTTCATTTAAAGGCCAAATTGACTTTGAAAAATAAAAGACTTGCTTAAGTAATTTAATAAATGTATTGAAGACACATACAAAAATAACATAATGCAACATTCCTACAATTTAAAATCTATGGATATATCTAAGTATGTACTTCAAAGCCTATTTAGATTAAATTGTAATTAATAAGATATTATTGAATGCAAGTTTTTACTTCAACTGCACCAAAACCATGAAATATGTTACAACAGCACCCAACACCTGAAAAAATAAAACATGATCTGTTGTTTTAGATTATATGGCGTTATTACCCCTAAACTACCGCATTATCCCTCAATTTAAAGAGCGTTGACAAAATAAGCTTTTGCTGCAAGGGCAACAGAAGTGGTAAGTAGTTTTTATATTTTTTTCACTTAGTATGTCCAAGCAAACCCCCTTACGGCAAATTATCCTGCCACTAGGTTATCATAACTCACAGAAAGTGTTAAATGCAATCATCCTTTTTTATCAATTCGAATCTACGACCTCGGGAAATCATTATAATCACTAGGTCTACATAACGTAAGAAGCGATTTTCTTATCAACCAGATATTACAATATTTTGGAATTTCACATTATACATAAATTTAGGGACGTCGGCTTACTTAGTTTGCGTGTATATATTAGATATAATTAAAATCTCGGTCGACAGACGCAAGGCTGGGCTCCCACGGTGAAATATCCGAGTCCTTTTGTGCGAATATATTACGAATAGACCTTAATATCCCGGACAAATAGAAGCGAAACAATTTGGGTAGGGTAGTGGTTGTAATCAATCAAGTCTCCCGCCAGGTAGGACGAGATGAAACGATATAAGAACCGCAATCATTCATACTGATTTTGCGACGGAAATATCGGGACAATGTATCGTTCGTTGTGGTTATATTTTTAGTTAATTTTTTGCATTTTGTTTTATATTCTTCTATTTAACGGATGATTTCGAGAATATTAACGATGTGCAACGTTACTAGTAAAGATATACATATACTATAGAAAAGATATAGAGAAAGTAAATATAACTAAGTCATAACATAACATAGTGTGTATAACTATTTAATTATATTAAGAACATCCTTGAAATTTTACAAGAGAATACTAACAAGTACTTCTTGAGAAATAAATTGCATGCTAAACGAAAAATACTTTTTGTTAAATATTATTTACTTTCTAGAACCACGATTTGATATAAAGTATTTAATACTTTTTCATGTACCACTGTTTTTGCTTACGCTGACTATTTCCAATTTTTGTGAACGAAAACTTATGGTGTTACCTTATCATAAAAACTAACTGTGGTGTCGAAAACCCCCATATTCATGAAAAATGCCTATCTGTTTGTCCAATATATGTTTTGGAAAGCTTACTATCCCAGACCATAAGAGTACATCTAAATATAATCTTACCCTACTTCAAAATTTTTATAATTATTTCGCTGATATATATATTTATAGTTAAATGTGGAATAGTATAATAGTTTTCGGGATACTTTTACCATAATTATTTTTTCCAATATAATGTTATTATTGTGATACTTACAGACGCAAACAAATCTAAGGACACCGTGAAGAACTTGGCACCAGAAATGCTCATGGCCTTCTGGCATTGTTGGCATACGATCTGGACAAAGGTCTTCGCTTCTTCCGAACCATCATACCACTGACAGGAGTAAGCCGCTTCCATTACTGAAGAACTCTTAAAAAAAGGTATAAGTATAATCTACGCTTTTAAATATTGAATACGTAGAATGATACGATATAAAAGAAAGAAAGAGTTTAGAAGAATATAATTCATGGGCATACATTATATAAATAACTATTTAATACTTCAGTTTATGTGGTTGTGTATAGTCTAATATACGAAATCACTGAACCTATTATAAAGCAGTTTTTCCCAATCTAATTTATTACATAGGGTGCTATAAAAAAAATGAAAAATGGATGTCCTTTGTTTCATTTCTTGGCTCGTTTGTCAGCCAGGCAGCCAGGCAGCAGGGTAAGTAATGGAAAATGATTAAAACCATTTTTTCAGAGATGTATAGTATGTATGTAGTGAAGCTAATACAATAAAAGTTGTAAGTCTATATATATTATCGTCAGAAACGGATTCAAAGAAATAGCAGTTTGAATTAGAAATATGTTCTAAAGCCTTGTACAGTATAGATAGGTATATATAATTTATTTTAGTGTAATGAAAAAAATTTATCTTGTACTCATCCTTCTAACTAATAGTATTACTACCGAGCCACTAAGGCTGCGATAAGCTCACCTCTTCAATAAGCCGATTACCGAAAATGCAAAAATGAAACACTTGTCCTAGAGTGTAGCTAAGATATCCCACTGTGCTGAACGCGTATACATTCAATCCGTTAATCTGAAACGAGAGAACGGACCCATTTATCTCTGTGGGTCACATTATTGTGTCCGCTTTCAAGTAGTTGAATTGATGTACCTGCCTAACCGAAACGATTTACAAACACAAAATAGTAAAAGATAATGTATGTTCCAAAAAAATATGTACATAGCCAAAATGTATTTACACGCTGCTATTGAATAGTTCCTCATTAGCTAATCCCTCCCGAAATCCTTGAGGAAAGCAATTTCCTACGAAGATGATGAGAGGGGTCCTTGAAACAATTTAACTGGAATTAAGTAGTGGAGCTTAAGTTTTCGTGCCGTTGCTTACGAGCCTACGTTTATATAATTAACATTTTTAGTTATGTTAATTAATTTTGAATTAAAAGTAAATATTTACCGTTAGACCTTTACATTTTACCATTAGAAATTTAACTATCGAGCGATCCTCACAAAAAACCTTGTCATAGAAAATCTATTTGAACGGCTTAAAACGCGTAATATATTACGTAATTTTTAACTACGACCCGACACTTCTACGTCTTGCCGCAACCAAGGTTTCTACAAGCCTGCAAAGTGGGAATGTCGGGTACCTACCTACCATATGGCGGATCTACACGTGCCAACATTTTAGCGAATGTATGCCAATATGTGTTGGCCATTGTGTAGAATGGGGGTTGGTGATCTATTTGATAGGTATTGGACTATTGGCCCACGCATTGGCGCAAGATCTGTGTGGTGTCAGTTTTTCTACGCAGATCAAAGGGTTATGGCGGGATTGTGGCACAGTGATGGCCGTTGCGTCCACACGTTGGCGACACGTTCAGTTTGCAGCGAGCGCCCATTCTGTGCGGACGTATTTTTTAATGAGGATTTATTGATATCGAATACGATTATGGCAAGTATGAGTAATGAAGAAACTTTTCGCTTCATAGAGCGAGCATAGAGCGATCATCAAGCTGAAAACTGTCTATGGAATCCGAAAAATAAAAATCATAAATTCTTTTTTCCACTTATTTTGAATAACTCTTCCCTTATACAGACTTGCGTAGTAGCGGTATGCAGAGAATAAATAAATCGCAGTAGCCGTCAAAACCTCAATATCCATTTTTTCGTCCGCACATTGGCCCGAACCGAAATAAACAGATTGACCGCCCAACGTGTGGACGCCATCACAATCTCTCGGCCAAAATCTTTGCCACAATGTTCGCCAATATCTTCGCCATCGTTTAGAGCCGCCATAATACAAAGTCGGTATTTTACTTATAAGTGCTATACTTCATTATTACCTTTGTTGCTTGATACGCCAGTAACGTAAGTGTGATGGTTGACACAAGCATGTGAAAAAGAAGAGCTGTGCCATAAGTATCTCCAATCGATGAAACAAGCCTAGAAATAGAAAATTAACCAATGACAACGAAATAAAACGCGAAATTATTATCTGTCTTGCGTATCGTAACATCAAAACGAGTAAAACAAAAATGTTTAATCCGTGTAAGGCTTTACGGCCATCGTTCGGCATATCATTTTTTTTCGGGCTTTTCGGCCGACGTGAGCGATTGCTTCTAGCAATCTAGAAGCTAACATCTCTCGGCGAAACGTCAAGAACCTCTCGGCCTAACAGACCGAAAAACAATGATATAATGTTTTAATCCGTTGAACGTTTATGTATAAAATTTACTATTATACATACAATAGTCAAAATATAGAAAATAATTTCAAAACAAATAGTATAATAAGGCTTTCGCGGCCATTTTGTGAAACTTGTCGTTCTCGACTTTTCGCGATGACGAGCGGATGACGTTAACATTCGTACAACATATCCTAATGTTGTACCTCGACGAAGACGTGTCGAGGACAGTGCAACATCGACAGTAAATTCTCAATTACGACCGTCGTGCGCAGAAAGCTAGGATCAATAAAATATCATTGTTAATTTAACCATACCTGACGACATGTTTATGCCTCTCCACCCAATACTTAATAGCAGAACGAGCAAGCATCTCCTGTTTCTGTGTCAAGCCGTTGGGGTTATTAGAAGGTGGTTGTCCGAAAGTCTGAAGACGACTTCCACCTCCACGCAGCGTCATACCAAAGTCCGTTTGTGTGGAATATATACCGCGAATATCTAGGTCCAAAGGTTCTTTTTCGTTTTTATCTGGAAACGCCGGATAAAGTTAATTTGTCCCATTGGATTAAATATCTGACGGGCTCATTGGTGTAGCGGTAGTAACGTATGGCTAATAATCAACGGGCGCTGTGTTCGATTTCCACCGGGTTCAAAATTTTTCTAATAAATTTATTACTTTTCTGAAACATATTTGAGTTCGTCTTAGAAATCTGGATATTTAATGGGTATTAGAAATATCGATATTCCCCGATCACGAACCACCGTCATTATATAAAAGGGCTGTGAAATTGTATCGCGTTTTGGTTTCAGTCTGTGGATTTCCGAGTATCCAAAGTCAAAATATATGGAACCTAAAACAAGGCTTTCGCGGCCATTTTGTAAAGGTTCTGAATTCCCTTAAAAAGGCAAACTCGCAGTTTTATAGTGATTAATTAGCAAGAACCACACCTGTAGATGATACTCTAAACAAGTCAGCAGTATTCGGTCTGTAGGTATCCAGCGAGGCGCTAAGTTCCATTAGAGGTTTCATTATAGCCTTCAAATGCTGCAGCTGTTCACAGGCGAAGATAAGCCACGAACAGAACATCACATCCATAAGATTGGCTATGATCATTGAGAAGAATAACCAATACACCTGAAACATTGTAAATTTTTCGCTGAGTTTTTAAGAACCAATCTATCGCTTATTTAAACTTCGCGCTAAGTTAATATAATCCATAGGTTTGTTTGTTCACTACAAACGCCTTAAAGAAATAGTGGTCAGTAATGAGGGAATTTAATAAATATAAATTACTGGTTTTAAATAAATAAATTAACATTTTGCATTCCTTTTTTTAATAATAATAAGTATGTAAAAATTTATAGTAATTTATACCTATTACTGAGGTATAGTTACACACGCAGATTTCCAAAGTCCAAACTACTGGTAACAATTTTTTTAAAGAATTAATCTGACCTGAAAGACAAAAGCGGCAATATACATGGTGCCACTCATAGCGTCGAATGGATACCAAGCCTTCACAGGCAAACGAGGAGCTGGTTCTGTCAAGGTTCCATTGGTTTCTTTGTCGACGATCAAACGGACTGAGTCACCAAAGAAAGTGATGGTCACCCAACCTGGAACCAGCGTAAAAATAGCTAATGTAGAACGAGTTGCGCTCTGTGATAGTACATGACATTATAAGTTCCAATGTAAAATTTACCAGAGTAGTACACATATAGGACAAAACATGAAGAAATATAATTGGTGTAGATACTTATTTATGTATTTTGACTATTAATAATTTAAAATGGTTAACTAGAAACTTGTATGTATAGGAATATCGAATTTTATTTTGCATTCGTATATGAATTTAGACTGTAACCGTCTAGAAAGTTTATACATATATTGTAATTTATGGAAGTAAAAACGTATGAATATTTAAATAAAACAGCTTGTAACGGTTTAAAACGCGATATATTAGTTAAACTTATTCGAAAATGATTTTTAACTTCCGGCCGACGTTTAAGGTTCATTTGCAGAAAGTTTCCCCCGTCTTGTTTGTCACCCCGTGACCACGGGTTTTATTTAAATGTGTACTACTCACGTAAACTATAGACAGTATCTACGTATGAATATTCTTAAATATTTTCAATATTATATTAAGTACCACAGCGTCTTATGATGGGTTAATGGTTATTGGCGCTGTTTACTTTTACTAAAAAAAATATTCTACTACACAGCTTAGATTCAAACACCTAACATTAAGAAAGACACCGTAATGATCATTAACAACACTGCTAGCACCTTCCATCTTTCACTGTAAGCATATGAGCTATACTTACATACAACCGAAAAGATGGTCATGCCACTGATGAAATACAAAAGCCTCCTCATCTTTGTTAAAGCGAGCTGATGATACCGAGCATCTGACTCCGTGAATAAGGGATGGCTGTTCGACTGGTTCCACACAGCGAGAGTCCTGTAAAGAACACGCATTACACCAGGTCTGTAGTTTCGGGTTAAAAAAACCTTCAATAATAGGGAATTATTTAGAGCTTAATAATATGTACATACGAGTACTGACATATAGAAAAAACATACAGGTACTGACAAAATATGAATTCTCTTTATTGAAGTATGTCATGCTAAATTCGGTGTATTATAGACCGATTAGTTATATAGCCACAAACACTATACGAACTCTGAATATTCCATGAAATAAGATATGCCCTTTCGAGCCCCTTTCAAAGGAATTAGCTTTTACTTCTTTGTTAAATTATTGTTGGTTATGAATTTTTTTATGAGTTATTCAAATTAAACTCAACGCTTTATTCATTATGGGAAAATGAAACGGCTTTCGGATGGAAAAATGTTCAGATCGTGGCCTTTGTAGTTTAAATGAATTGAAATTGGGTGGAAATGAATTTTCTTTGTAACGAATCCTTCAATGAGCATTATTTGACATCATTCAGATTTAGTAAAAGGGAATTTTAATTTACAATTTGCTATAAGAATTCTATCGAATATATAATATTCCCTTTACGAGTATATAATTCTCCTGGCACATTGTTCGTTAGGTCTGAGAATGTGTTTCTTCCTATTTTTCCTACTAAAATATTTAATAGAAATAATTCTATATCTACACAATTTTTACCGGATCTTGCTACCTTTATCTACTTCAAGATGTTTTAGTATTCTTTCGTATTTTTAAAACTAGATATAATTTTCTCTTCCGAGCTAATTTTAAGCGTCTTCCATCCATCGTCCGCGCCCTGCCGGACCATAGTAGTGTATTAAGAAACAAAGTTTGACGAAATGAATAATGTCTACCTGTAAAAGTTTTTAGAAGTGATCGCGAAGAATAACAGCTTGATGATCGAATGAGCGAAGAAAAGTATCGTTATGGTGTTCGCCGTTAGCTCGTTCACTTCGTCAGAGTACTGTGCCATGTTAGCAGCCATGCATAAGTAATGGATGACAATGAGAAACGCGTGGACGCTAGCGTAGACCTTACGGAGTAAAGTTGACATGCCAGAATTATCTGAAAAGGGTTCACTGATTAGTTTTAACGGGCTTGGTGATCGTGGATTCCAGGTCTTCACAAGGTCCAGTAAAATTTTATTGCGTTTCAATTTCAGTCCGGAATATTTCCGAATATTCAAAGACAAAATAGGTCGACAGAGCAATTTTATTGCAGACTTATTATGTGCACCTTCCATCAAGTAACGACTTGCTTCGTCCTCCTAAATCACAAGGTGTTTAGAATATCAGATACAGCATTTGCGCTTGTAGGATAGCGATTTAATTTAAATTAAATATCTATGGATACATTAACACGCTAACTAAAAACATTTTTGAATAATTTTTTATGGAAAATTTCACGGAAAATTCATTAAGTATTATTCTTTCTTACCAGAATGATAGTTGAACAGAAAATGTCCAGCCATTTGCATCAACTTGATGTTAGGCATCAAGTCTGACACCAGACCTTGAGTTTTTATTTTGGTCAACATCTAAAAGAATTTAAATATATTGCAATCATGAATGATTTCATTACTAGATTCAGAATTTAATCACCCATATCGCATTTACCTTGAATATTTTTACTTTAAACTTTTATCTGTAAAATTATTTCTTCCAATTGAAAAAAGCATACATTTTTAGTCAATATTAAATAACCTTTTCATATAACACGTGCTTCCTGCACAGTTACTACTAATGAAATGATCGATTTCTACAAGTTTTGCAATGACGTGTTCCAAATTCAAAGTCAAACCGGCCAATGGGCGACGTGAGATCACACACGTGTACCCTCAAACGACATGTGACAATTTTCCTATTTCAAAAATTCATGACATCTTCGCGTTACTTAAACGAACCTGTTAATTATTGTCTATTAAAGTATTCGTTAAGGTCACCACGATCAATAGAAAAACATTACTTCTACACAGTCTGTTTGTTTTATAGCGTCAAATATTTGCTGTTAGCGATTTTCAATTGTTTGAAAATGCACTGCAAACGACCGAAGTTCTATCTGATTGTCCGTAAATAAGTGCATTTTTTTATTTAAAAGTAGAGGCCTTATACCGATAAAATTTATTTTAATTTATATATTTCGACTGCCTATTAAAATTTTCAGACGCTAAAATTTCGTTAAAAACATGCTGGAACTTATGGAAATCGAACACAAGACCCATTTTAAATTTTAAGTATCGTTAACATGAAAGCTGTTTTAAAAATAAGCAGAATAATATGGAAATAAATGATGTATAAATGTTTAACCAACACAAATGTCTTGTCATGTGATAGGACATAAAAATAAATGAATTTGCATCTTTTTAAACACAGATTTAATAGCATTTACCAACAGAATACAATACAATTCGAATCGGCCTCTCATTTTTATTTTTATTAAGATATTGCGCAGATACTTTTGTAAAAAAAATAGAAGTTAGGCATATCGTATCTTAACTACTTTGCAGGTGAATAAATATTGTCTTCTTCGATCCTCTCTATGGACTTGATTAAACATTTTCCTCGGAATAATAAGATCACGTTGGTGCCAAAGCGGGCCTATAGTCGTGACTCGCGACTATAATTACATTCCATCTCATACCGAGCGTGACTTCTACTATGTGTAGGCAATTTCCTTTTACAGAGTACATCTAGAGATCGCACTAGCTTTCAACCCGACCTTGTCTGTTATTTTCAAAAACTACTCCAGAATCGAGATAGAAGTTTTTACTACTTGTTTTTTTTAGACTTTTTTTTTGTTTGTTTAGACTGCATGCACAACAATTCAACAAGTTCTAATGATTAAAAAAAACTTTTTTTAAAGGAAACATGGAATAAGTAATAAGTTGCACTTTTCTTTTATTGATCATATCAAGGTATTGTTTTAAACGCTAAATCATTATATTTATGAACAGAGGAGGCAGCCAAGACCGGTATGTGAAATACCCCAGTTATACGACACCACCGCGCCTATTTTGGTTTGGGTCGATCGTATGTAGACTGTCAAAACCAATATTCTCTTTAATATCAATAACCCTTCTTTTCGATTTCGCTAAAAACGTCTTGTAAAACAGTAAGAAGTCCAGTCCAAAGTAAGTAGTTTTGTGGCTATTAGTATAGACTATCTTTTACGTTTTATAGAGTCCGGGTACAATGTTTAAAATTTCATACATTTTGTTTATAAACATGGGACGATCGTCGCTCGGCTATGTATGATGGAGATAGTAACGAAAGCGAGAGTCGAACGATTGCGACTGCGCGCCGTGAATCAATTTCCTGCGTTTTATAGTAACCTGGTAGATTGTTTTTCATGTCTTAGGACTGTTAGTAAAAAAAACTCAGTTGGCGCATTTGAATGCCGCCCCAACTTGTTTTGTTTGATAGGATTTTTCTTCTTTGTAACTCGGAAAATTACAATTCGTTAAAAAGGATATCTAGTTATATTATTAAGATTAATAATACTTATTATATTATATAGACTTGGAAGGAAATAACAAATTTTGACAACGTTCAACGACTAAATATTTCTGAATAATTTAATTACTAACACAACATATATTTTTGAGCACTTTACCACCCTGAAATACGATCGATTTGACATATCATTCGATGGTGTGTGTGAGTATAGATTTAACACATAAAAGTTCTCTATACTAAATAAAACTTGTTAACAGAGTCGGAATAACGTACGGAAAACACGTGCTCTTTGAGACGTGAGCGCCTTAACGTTTGACCCTTCTCAAGTAATCCTATTTATCTGCTAACTTTTCGTACAAGACTGACAAAGGTATTTGATGAAGTAATGAATTTTATTTATATTTATGGAGTAAATAGGTAGATGTGTAGATGTCGAGTTTATTTCAAAAATAAACGCAAATTTCACCTTCAATTGCAAAGTTGTTTGTAATAAGGAAATTCGAAATAATAAGCAGATTTACAAGGAAAAAAAATAATGAAGCAGCCAAACGGGTTCTAATTATTTCTTCTATGAAAACTGTTTTATGGGGAAAATATTTTATATTTGTTTGTTATCTCCTATTAGCATCCCGCGCAACGTAAAACAAGACAAATTGTTAATTAACGTTGTATGAATGAATGGACTGAAGTCAACTTACTTATTCATTCTACTTTTCAATAGCAGCAATCAAGCTTAAATGAAACTAACTGGATGCTGTGCCGGTTTAACCAAAACATCATACCAGGAGAATATAAAACTAAAGGAGGCCTCATTTTTGCTGGTACTATTTATACACTTGAAAAATGTGTATATACTCAATTCGGAGGTTTTAAAAGCAAGAAAAATGCAATCAAAATTGCTAAATTTTACTAGGTTATTAAGTACAATAAAGATTTTGTCTGCCCATTTTTCGACTCGTCAATTTCCACATGTACTTCAGTTTCGAGCACCACACTTTGCTTTATTAAAATTGGATTCCATCGGAAAACAAACCGTGCATCAAAAAAGAAATTATATGGTATAATATATTTTTAAATAAAGTAGAAGTTAAACAAAAAAAAAGAAACGATTTTTGTGTGGAAATATAGAAGCATAATATGATGGTTTGATAACATGCATCGTCTTTTTTTATTTGCAGAAACATTAGTTAAATTATTTTAAAATCACTATTCCCCGTGGACTAGCAATTGTTAAATAAGGCTTATGTTAAAGTGATCATTATTTATAAAGTGTGGCCAAACAGAAAGTTATTGTTTTTTTTTATTCAAGTGTTTTTGTAAAGTAATAATAAGTATTGTTTTATTATCTATGGATTTTAGATTTTGTTTATTAGGTTGACTCGCAAAAGATCTCCAGAAAGGAAATATAATTTTCAAAGCAATTATCCTGAATCATGACCTTAAAATTCGTCAATATATTTGTTCAACTATTTGACGTTTTGCCAACAAAGAGTACACACTTGACACAGTAATCGTCTTGTTCGAGAGAGAGAAGTTTAAATACAAATTAATATAATGGAGTCAATCTCCAAAAATAGTTGTGAAAGTTTTAAAGAATTTGATGGTTCAGTGCCTACTAAAGAATTTATAGAAAAGCCTGTTAAAGTTACACAAAGTGAAAATGGTATAAAAGCTTTCAACTGTCCGAGAGGCTTTATAATAGTAGGACTTATTTGTGCCGCAACAACCACTCAGAAAGAAGACGAAAAGACAGAAAGTAATTAATTTTTATTTAAATACTACAACTAATGAATATAATACAAGTGGATTAATTAATTACCTTTCTATACCTTATTTATTATTTTATTTAAATGCCATTTCTAGGCATACTAGAAGATTTATTCTCCTTGCTATTTTTTATTTGTTATTATTTTTTATGTTATTTTTTTTAACCACTGATTGCTTATGCAGAACACCAAAAAAATCTGATTCTAATTATCTATGGTACAAACTGCCATTGCCATCACGTTCATAAAAAAAAACTCCATTTAAATGTTAGTTTTTAGTAGTCTAGCTGCGGCGGTTTTCCAAAACATCATGCCAGGCGAACACAAGTATCTAAGAGTAGTAGTCAATCAATACTGAAAATAACGCGTCTGTATGTCTGTGCAACCCATATCTCTCTGTCTGACTCCCATAAGGGGAAAGAGTTGCAATAATAAATAGTTATGACAAAAACAAAAGACCCCATATTGTTGCGAATCCAATGCTGCGCTGCGCCGGTTTAACCAAAACATCTTACCAGGAGTGCATATTAATGTAGGAGTGTTTGCAGCAATTTATGTAAATTTGAAGCTGAAATATGAGTTGATTCACGTATTCACATGGATGTGATCTTAAGTTATGGAAATATATATTAATTCACCTTTAGATTAAAAGGAGTTTTAGGATTACAGAGATAATCAGAGCTGAAGAATATAAGCTGATGACGAAAAGCCTTCACATTTTCTTAGGCTTTTTTAATATTGGAGATGAAATGAATGACTCATCTGGGGATGCATCTCTTATGTTTTGAATCCAGGATAAATGGCGGTCAGAATATTGTATATTAATGGTAAACTGTTTATAGTTCAACCCAATTATATTTACAGAACCTTGTTTTGCGTTCTTAGTAAGACAACAAAGACAGTTCGTCATTTTTACTTTATAAAACAAGTGAGAGCAAAAAACAGCGCAGTTCAGTTAAACCAAAACAATCAACCAGGCGCATATAAGAATCGAGAAGTATTTAAATTTTATTTTTTTTCAACAGGATTTTTACGAGAATAAGTTTAGCAAAATTCTTGTATAAAATTCCGTCTGTGTTGGGGTTTGCGGTCCTGCTACGCCTCCGTAAAACTGGCACATAAGCAGAAGAGTACGAATCTGACTCTCTAATCTTCGTGGTAACGAAAGCCCGATACCGAGGGCTCAGAATGGATGCCAAGGACCCGGAATCTAGCGTTGAACGGTGTTTGGAACACGAGTCCGATCGCAATAACGATAGAGCTAGCTTCCTCTAGGGCGCCCCCAAGGGGCCCCCCCCCCCCCCAAAAAAAAAAAAAAAAAAAAAAACCCCTCCCCCTACTTTTATAGCTCACAGGTTTGAATCCCGCTAATGTAATGTAAGAAAAATGGTCCCTAAAACAATCCCGCTTTTAAAAGTGACTTCTTTCATTAGCGATTCTGTGTTTGGCAATATAAACTGCTCTTAGAATTTCGAAGGAAATCTTTTGTGCTCACAGGATCGAAATTGAAAGTAAATTACAGTTTACTGCGACAGCTGTCGGCAGATTGCTGTAGTAAATAATATTTGAAGAATAGTAATATGGAGAAACCAGTCTATCATTTAGAGGAGTTTAGTGTCCATAACAACTATTGTGGTTTATATTTACCATAATACCGTCATAATGTTGAAAAACAATAGATTTTTACTGTATAAAACAATAATTAGTGAGGAGGAAAAATATAAATCATAGTTACCTTGCGTTATTTTAGATAATAGTAATTTACAAGTGAGCATAATTTTATTTTTATAATTAAATACGCTATTATGATTTTGAATTTTTGTAGTGACAATCTCAGCTAGAAAAATCTTATATCCAATCTTTACAATTATATTTAACAATTACATGCCTCATGGTGTATTTATTTTTGATTTCCTTGGAATTGTGAAAACTTTAGCTGAACGTATATACTTGACTTTTTCGCGCCACTTAAACCATCGCTCTTCATTATTTTTATACTTTCATTCGACAAGCTGTCACATGTCCCTCCATCAGGCTAATGGCATCTAGAGTACCTCTTCAAGTGTCTGAGGTATACAAGTTTGTTCTACAACATATAACTTTTTCCTTACCTACGAGTTCTTAATTATCTAGTTTTATTAATTTTGTACAACTTTATATGTTGCACTGAACTTATGAGCCATAGTTAATTGTTAGGAACTAAAATATCTGTGTTGTAATTTAAAGAATTCATGAGTATACAAGAAACATATGTTTACATATATTTAAATCTTTTTGCGCTGTAGATAAAAATAATAGAAATGCTTGGAATGCATTTTCGTTAATAAGCGATCTCTTATAAGCAAACAGAACAAGACAAATTATTTAAATAATCCCTTTTATTACATACAGTTTTTTCTCTGTTTACTTTATCTCGGTTACACATCACTTTTGACTCTTCCTCATTTCTGATTTCGATTTAAACAACATATTTTCTCTAAGAATATACACATCACAATATAATGACACTTATGTTTCTTATACTTAAATGATCCTTATTCATATTATTCATTTTATTCCCTTACTTCTTTTATATGAACAATAGGATCTGATGTTCGCTAATGACACAGTAAATAGTAAGATTGGAGCCCTGGCCATTATTGAAAAACTACACTTTTCTTCCCCACTTTCGGCTTTATTTTGACACAAATAGTTCCTACGCGTCTATAACCTTCAGCGCACTTATTATCGTCTATGAAGCTTCTGTCGTCAAAGGAAGGAACGACTTTCTCATACACTTTACCATCGCCGTCAACTTTTGTTATATTTCGTTCGGTTTCAATTATTTTTAGGCTCGCTGTAGCTCCATCGGAATGAATGTCAACTTTTATCGTGAGGCCGTGCGATGTGATTGGTATTTCGCTGATCGTCAGTACTCTAGCTTCAAGGACAGTTATGGATAATAGAAACAACGTTGATGCCACTAATAACATTTTAAATGGAAAATAACTAAGAAATAAAGAGCACTCCCTGTTAAGGATGCTGCGAACTTGTTTTACGACGACTGATGACAGCAACACAACAATTCAATTTATATTAACTGTTCTACACACTAGTCGTTCGTAGAACGCTTATTGCGATAGGGTTGCCAACATCCGGAGCTTAGTCTGTTTACTTTAGAGACGATATTGAAATTTCTATGAAAATTGAAGAGACTAAGTGGTATATTTTGTTTGGTAACGAATACTTGTTAATAGTAAAATGTTGTATAAAATTAATTGTGTGGTTCTATCTACCGAACACGGTCTATTTTTTTCCAATTTATAGTCGACTAGCTGTGCCAGCGACTTCGTCTGCGAGAATCGTTATTTTCGGTATACAAATTAGTCCCCTTCGTTCGAAAAAAGGGGGGGGGGGTTTTTTTAGATCGTGGATCATTCTTTTCTACACATTTTGTTAGGTATCTTGAACCGTTGAAATGTAGGGATTCATATCGATAGTTCCATGTCATGAATAAACAAATACGGAGGTTAGCAGAAAGGTGTATTAGAGTTGCGGGCATGCTTCGACGTTTACAAAATTTCCTGCCGGTCCCCACCAAGACACTACTTACCCGATCGTTGTTGCTCTCCTGTTCTTGATTATGCCGACGTCTGCCCTACCTAGACGTAACTGGAGAGCAGCGTAATAAATTCGAGAGACTCCAAAACTTTACCTAAAGCAGAAATTTATATTTATGGGTTCCTCCCATGAACTGGACCTTCGCTCTACTAAAAACCACCTTCTCTCCGTGCCTATCCATAGTATTAATTTCCAGTTTAAATTATCTTTTTATTGTATAATTTAATTTTTCATGTTGACTTTTGATTGTTAACTAAAATTATCTTTTTTATTTCTTTTTCTACATGCAAAGGTTGCCTGCGAAGAAATCGCCATAGGCATAGGCTAGATAAAGCCGCCTTTGCACAATTTTTATTTTGTATCTATGTTCTTATGTTATGTTTGTGCAAAAAGAGTTTTTTATTATTATTACACATCTGAAACCCACAAATTGACAAAAAAATTTCTTCCGTTTTGTTTACACTTCCTGCTGTATCTTCGCTTCTATTAGTCACAGCGCGATGTTTTATAGCCTATATAGCCTTCCTCGATAAATGCTCTTATCAACACAAATATAATGTTTAATTCGAACCCCTAGTTCCTGAGATTAGTGCGTTCAAACAGACAAACTCTTCAGCTTTATATATCAGTATAGATTGTAAATTCATATAGTGCCATCATGTGAACAATATTAAAGTTTTTAAATGTTAAATAATAAATATTTTAAAAATTTATTAGTCAGCCCTAAGTGAAGGAAGTGGATTGTCTTCAAACTCGTCATAATACGCATAATGAGTAACCTTTTGGTATTTCCCTTTAGGGAACAATCGGTAATTTTTGGTGATTGAATAGGAGACTATTCCATTGAGGCTGGTGGTGAACATTCTTCCATTTCAAGAATGTATTTATACACAAGATATAAACTAATTTTTGAGCTCAAAGAGAAGTAATCCGAGTTCGTTATAGGCCGATAACATTAATATCTTGGTAAGGTACTGCCACAACTCACTAAAGTCCCGTCTCATTGTCTCACATCGAGAAAACTGAAGAAATTGTTTAATTCATACTATAAAATACCAAAATTAACCAGATTAACATATCATTTTCCACCCAGTTCATTGGTTATTATTATTTTTTATTTAATATTTATTATTTAATTATGTCTAATGGTAGCAATGCGTGGTTAATAATCAACGGGTCGTGGGTTCGATCCCCAATTGGGTCGATCCTTTGTCTAAACAATTCATAATTTTTACTAAGTACTTAAAAAAAAGTACGGCGATATATTCATAAAATTCCAAATTAGCTCAACAAAGTACGTATGACCTTTACAACGAAGCATTGAAATATTTTCTATAGTTTACGCGATTTACTTGGACCACATTTAGCCGAATATAAACGGACTTTAACGGTTAAAACGCGTTTTAAACCGTTAAATTGTTTTATTGGCAGGTAGACGTCTGATCCTACTTAACAAATGTGTTCCCATGCCCCACGACGGGAATATTTTTTATTCTCTTTACTTTTATTTTACTTACGCAATACTTTTACATTCGCGCTGCCACTAAAATATGTCATAATTATATTCTTTTTTAGGTTCGTTCCAACTTTTCCACAATATTAAAATTTTTGGTCCTACTTGTTATCTGATAGGGACAGACTGGGAATTAGCGCTTAGTAAGCCTTTCAGAGCATATGCAGTCTTAATGCATTTTAGCCCAAAGTTAAAATTATACTTTTTTAGCTTTCTTTTTTATTTCTTATTTTAGTTGTAAATTATGTACTTTGTGATAATAAACAGGTTATTTATTTGTTTATTTTTCGGAAACATATTGGAGTTTGTCTGGAAATGTTATGGGTAATAGGAATATCGAATTTCCCACCGGATCACGGAAGCAAAAAAGTCAAAGCGAAAAAGTCGTGGAGTCTGTGAATTTACAAATATCCAAAACCAATTTAAGTCGATGGCGCCTTGCATCTTTACAAACACCATACTTTGTCCGCCTCCATCATTGAAAAAAATATATAGATGAAGAATCAATTTACTTTAGTTTGTCACGATTTTTGTTGACAATGGCTTTTCCTAAGAACTTTCAGCCGATCTTCAGAGGATTTTTTTTGCCTGAGTCTTCTTTAACCAATGATGAAGCTACTAACGACTAATGACACGTAATAAATTATTAGGCCCATGAACTGGCATAGTGGATTATCTATTTAGCGATTTTAAAGTTTTATGTATTTTTTTTTTGTTAAAAAATACTATATCTAATAGACTTCTATTTTTCGCTCGAGAAACATGGACTATTAATAAATTGTGTAAGGCTTTCACCATCGTTCAGCATACCATTGTCTTTCGGGCTGTTCGGCCGATGTGAGCGAGAAGAGTTAGAAGAGGTTCCTCGACGTTTCGCCATCACGTGTGGACGGCATCATCAGGAGATGTTAACTCCTCGACTGGATTCAAGGAATGGAACATTGTTTATTATTGTCTCGACCAGAAAAAAATACATAATTAGGAGAAATAAAATTTTCCTTGCCGTGAATTGTATTGAAACCTACGGAAGTGTCGTTCTTAAACAGCTTCATATTTTTGACACTTAAATTGCTATTGATTTATTATCTTGTACATGTCTGAAGGCTATATAATTTATTTTCGATTTTTAAACTTAAATTGCTAGTTAGAATCTTTGTCCCGCCAATAGGCAAGCCGTATGTATCACTTTAGTTTTTTCTTGGAATTACAATTGAGATTTCCTTACATGATTTTCAATTTTCTGAAACTTCCTTCTACATTTTCTAATGAAAAATAAAAAAAGGGCGCCACAACTTTTCAATTAATTAATTTAAAATGCAAATAAAGGCGTTTATATTACTATTATCTCAAATTTTCTTTTATGATATATAATTCTTCCCACACACTTCCTCACTCAAAATCGTTTACAAATCTATGTATTATAGTAACTTCAACAGCTGTGAATAGATTTTTTGAACGTCTTTAGAGTATTCAACATATTTACATAAAAATAAATGACAACTTTATTTAATTAAAATATTTATTTTTGAGGACGCCAATAACAATCGTTAATATTACGTATAGCATTACTTAAAATTAATATCACATTTTACTAATAATAACAGTCTAAATAACGAAAATTCAACATTAGCGCTTTATAAGGTTTAAAGCGTAAGAAAAAATTCAGTATCAGAAGTTGACTCTCTCAAAATGGGCCACTGCGAACTTCCAAAGGCACCAGCTGCTTCCTTCCTCTCATCCGATCCCGTCCCATTCTCACAAAGCGAACTTTCTTCAGCAAATAAACTTAACGTAATTCCTAGTAAAGCCTCTCCAGATAAATCACGAACAAACAGAATTAGCCGACTGGTAAACAGAGGGCCCCTCGACGGACTAAACCGGTCGAACACTTGCTACTTCCGATACTGGATCTATCGTTGAAATCTGGAATAAATCCTGATGCAGGCTTCAATAAACCTTCCACCTTTTTCTCCGCTTCGACGAGCTTAAGAGTCGCAACCGGTTCACCGTCTTCGTTTAGTTTTATATCAATCTTCATGGTTAGTACATCCTTCACCGCGATATCGTCGATTTTAATAACTCTACTCTGGACGATATATATTAAACTCAGTAAAACAGCGAAGTATGTGACTGACGAAATCATTTTTTTACAGTATATATTGGTTCTCGATGTCGCCTACTCTATACTATGTCTTCGTCTGATAGTAATAGCTTAGGTCGTAGCTTATATATTCATACCTTGCGTATCTTTTTCCCTATGACAAACTATGACGTTTTTGAGTGTCATCAGGGGATTTTCGATTATCCTCGTAGGGATACTGTTTCGGTACAGTCACAGTTTTTTACAAGGCGAATATGCATTTGTCACCCTTCAACGGTGATGATGTCAATTAGATCACCCTTTTCTAAATTGGGTTTTACACAATGACAAAACGCATTTTATTTTAATACTAAAAAATCTAAACTTGCAAATAAATATTTCGAGCGCCCAACTAACCAAAAAAAGCAATAAAAAACACACGGTTCCGGCATTGTTTGTAAATACGGCTAGGAAATTAATAACAATGTACCAGGACAGCATATTGATAAGGGGATAGTTGTGAAATAGAAAATTGAGAGGTCACACGATGAAAGAGCAACAGCTGGCCACCATTTTCATAGGATGTTAGACTTCAGTAATGGAGTTATTATAATATTTACAAGCAGATATGGTGAAATTATTTCATATTACTTGACGAACTCTCATAGACAATATGAAAAAAGCTCTCTTATCTAAAACAAGTTTTTTTTTCTTTTGTTATTTTTTTATTGTTACTATTAATTTTCGCTATAACTTAATACAAATTGTTATAAAAGTTGAGCAATAATTTCAGACCCATATTGAGTTAGTACGGCACGACTTCACCCTCACATTTCACATACAAGTTAAATTTAATAAAGCGTCTATAATATAATGGTAAATCAGACTTTATTTATTATTTTGGGTTAATTATTCATCTCTCCACATTTAACATAAATTACTTAAAAAGGAAGATAATATTAGCTTTTATCTGCCTTATTAACACGACTTATTATAACATATATTTTTTATTCATTGTCTATTATTTTTGATATTTTTTCAATAACTCTGATATCGTTCCATTAATGAACTTAGTCATCTCGTAGCATGTAAAATTGTTGTGTCTTAACAAAAGATATGCAATTACGTAAATTATTACTTTTGACGTAACATCTGCGTAGACCTCGAATATATTATATGTTTTCCTGAAAGAACTAATTTTCAATTATTCACTCATTGTTTCCTTAAAGCGTCTTTAATTATAATTGTTATAACTTAAATTGAAATAATTTACATGTAAAAAGTGCAGTTAAAAGTTAATCAATATACTCTTGCCTACGGGCACATTGACGCACGAGACCTATTACTCTTATTAATAATACTATTACATGCTATTATTATGATTTTGCTGTCTGTCCGTCACCACACAGTATTTAGTACCGCGATAGCTAGAGAGTCAAATTATGTTAGAAATATAGGTATTTGAAGTGGTGTAATAAATAATACACACCATGTTCAGTCTCTTTGTACGGTTTTATTGAACGATAACAGATTTATTTTAAATAATTATATTATATTAAAGAATTAAACAGCAAAGTGAATTTGTTAACTATTACACGGTACGGAGTCCTACGTGCGTGAGTCCAAGGAAAATTCGCCCGTGGAAAATTTATTTAGGAATACTATAATTGTGTGAATCTTTTCATTAAGCCTTATTCCCAAGCAGTACTACGACAAGGTATATTAATGAATATATAAGGAAAGAATATCTTATAATTAATTATTTGAGCGTAAGTAGGTATTGTGATTTTTTGTGTAGTTATTTCTTACATTACGTAATTACTACTAAACCGATCTATTACAATTCAGCCCTGCAAGAACGTAAGTAAGAGTAACGACGTTCACCATTTTATAAGTAGTAAGTTAGTATTATGTTTATCCTCTATCCAAGGAACGTACTAGGAAAATTATATTCTCAATAGGCATTAATATCCTTCTTCTATACACATTCCATTCAGTTCTAAGTATATGTTATGATATAGAATTATTGCGTTGTTTATTTACGACATTATTCTTGGTTAACTAGGATAAGAACAGCAAAGTTTGTTTGAAGGTCTAGATTATATTGCATCTTGCGGTTGACATCTACAAAAAAAACTGCTTTAAAAAGAAGGTCTGTAAAACGATGCCCCGGTTTTGCTTGTAACTTAAAAACATAATATAATCTGTTACCAACATTGACATGTGAGCTGTGTGAGTGAAGATAACATTATCTGTAGAAGTTATCATAAAGTAACAAACAAACTTTAATTGAGAATGCTCACATCGTGTTGTTTAGAGATTATCTTTAGTTGTGGTTGCTGTTAGTATCAGGTAAGAAAGTTTTTAAAACTATCACATGTCACCAGGAATGTAGATTTTGGAGGAAATATTTATACGAAGCATCGTGTAGAAAAATGTGAAAATCCATTTCCTAAATTAAAAATCATATTGCCTTGGTTATGTTAACATGTTAACAATAGTCGTAGGTATTTGATACGAAAAGGCAATAGATAAGACACCTTTCTTCTAATAATAAGTAATAACGAATAAAAGAAATAAAGAGAAATGTGTAAAAAATATTTATAATGGCGATGAAATGTCGATTCTAGAATGACTTCATTCTTCTCTTACCCTCCATTGAAGCTACAAGAAGAATTAAAAAGAACAGCGGACGCTATCGTGAGTTCTGGAAAAGGGATTTTGGCTGTTGATGAGACAAATGGTTCGTATCTGTACTAAATAAAAATGTCTCTTTAACTACTACACTGTACTAAATTTTTTTCGCAATTTGTGTGTGTGTAACTTTATAACTTTTTCTGGTTCCCATTGCAGAAGGAATTGGTAAACTACTAGCGTCCGTTGGCTTAAAAAATACAGAGGACAACAGAAGACAGTACAGACAACTGCTATTCACCACAGATAATGTAATTATCAAATTTTGTATTACCGGCAATTGTCAACTATGCGATTAAATAACATAAGTCGCAATTTATCACATTGTCTTCAGTGATAAGCGTCGGCTTAAGTTATAACTTAATTGTGAATTGCCTCTTTGCAGGAATATTGTCCATTTGTCTCTTCCAAAACACATTTATTTCGCCGATTCAACTAGAGCGCAACAATTTATCAGTCTTATCTAAACCATAAATATAACCCCTTTATCTTGACCATAAATCTCACAAAACTCGCAAAACAGTCACAAAATGTAAAAGGACCTTTTTTATAATGAGAGTAATGGAATAAAATAGGAAAATTATTTTCTTTCACTTTATTTACCGTTTTTCTTAATACTCGAGACATCTCGCGCCGAACGAAATGTTAATGTATAATTTTAATACAGTTTGTTTATTCTGATGAAATAAATAGTTGTGTTTTAGTTTAATTCCCATACAGAAACACATTTCTTAAAGTACGTTTTATTTTCACAGATATCTGAAAGCATTTCTGCCGTTATACTCTTCGAAGAGACAATTTACCAGAAGACGGACGACAGTGTCCGTTTCATAGAAGTCCTGCAAAAGAAGGGCATTATACCAGGAATTAAGGTTGATAAGGATGTGGTCTCTCTACCGTTAACCGATGAAGTTACTACCCAAGGTATTTAATAGCGTAAGAGTAACTAACACGTTGCGTTAATAGCCAAAGCGTTGGGCAAATCCTTGTATAAATTGTAATTTGCAGGTTTAGATGATTTGGCCTCACGTTGTGCTGAGTATAGGAACCAGGGATGCAGATTTGCAAAGTGGAGGGCACCTCTGAAGATAACACAGAACACTCCTTCCCTCCTTGCTATTGAAAGTACAGCTAATGTTCTAGCGCGTTACGCATCTATTTGTCAAAGCGAAGGCCTTGTACCGATAGTAGAACCCGATGTCTTGTTAGATGGTAAGTTAAAGAAATAACATGACTTAAGAGTGTCATGAAACTAAAGTAAGGCTAATTTGAATCTACCAGGTGACCATGACATCGTAAGAGCTCAGAAGGTGACAGAAACTGTCCTCGCTGCTGTTTACAAAGCACTGAACGACCACCACGTTTATCTCGAAGGAACGTTACTGAAACCGAACATGGTACGTTCTCTGGCGTATACACTTGTTGTGATTTATATACTCCTAGTAATAAGAACTGTAGTATTTTTCAACCAGAAATTATTTCTTTATAACAACAGGTCACACCAGGCCAAAATTGCGTAATAAGAAATACCCCAGAGGAGATAGCTCAAGCCACAGTTACAGCCTTATTAAGAACTGTGCCAGCCGCTGTATCAGGTAAATGTTGAGATTATCTTAATTAAGCTTGATGATGATGATTTCTTGTATTAAAATGTTCACAAACATGCCCCATTCGGTACTTGGGGAAATAAAAGTTCTCCCTTTGTCCAACAATACTTACAATATTTGAATAGATATTTTAATGAAAATAATAACTACAAAATAAGGCAGTTTTCCAAGAACTGAAAATAAAGTTTTCAGTTCCTAAAGTTCTTTATGTAGAAGGACATTTTATTATGCAAGGATGTAAACATTTTCATAATGAATTATTCAAAATATTCAGGTATAGCATTTCTTTCTGGAGGGCAAACTGAAGAAGAAGCCACGTTAAATCTTAACGCAATCAACAAAGTATCTCTAAAGAAACCCTGGCCACTGACATTCAGTTACGGGAGAGCTCTTCAAGCTTCAGTGTGGAAAACATGGAGTGGAAAAAGGGAGAAAGTAAAGATGGCGCAGAGTGTCCTCATTGAGAGAGCTAAGGTAATTTTAGCAAATTGGTTTAAAGTGTTTTATTTCAAAGAAGACATAAAAATCTTTTAACGGGATAAAACGCGTTACTAGATAGTATACTCATTTATTTTAACTACGATCTGACGATTTTACGGATCTTTAGCAGCCACCGTAGTCACAGTGGCCTATTTTGAGTTTTAGACCTTTAAAAGTGTTTTATTTAAATGTGTGTAATTGTCGCCAGCTACTACAGACTACTTCTATTTAGAGAGACTCGTTATTGTATTGTGTACAATTAACCAAAATAATCACTTAATTTGTTACACAAACGTACACATAAACTAGAAATTATGTATTCTTCTACCTAGTATTAGCTACCTACATTAGTAGTATTGTACGTCAATTAAAAGTATGGCTACAACTTAATTCATAATAAACACGATCATATTATGGCTGTATATTTATATAATATATCTATAGAACACACATGAAATAAAATGTTAAATAAACGTTTGCTACCAATATTTCACTGTCTTTATAGCCAAATGGATCTATTAAACACAACAAGAGATAATAATTTAGAGTCACAAATAATATACTGTATTGTATCGTATTTTCAGGCAAATAGTTTGGCTTCTCTGGGAAAATAAACCGGCGGGTCATTTTGAAAAACCACGGGCCCCACAACCCCAATATACCCCCCCCCCCAAAAATAAAGGGTTCACAAAAAAAAAAAATTTTAAAAAAAATTTTTTTTTTTTTTTTCCCCCCGGATATTTTTTAAAAAAAAAAAAAATAAAAAAAAAAAAACACCCCACCCCTTTTTTTAAAAAAAAAAAAATTTTTTTAAAATAAAAAAAAAAAAAAAAAAAAAAAAAAAAAAAATTTTAAAAAAAAAAAAAAAAAATTTTTTTTTTGTTTAATATTTTTTTTTCTTTCTCCACACTTAAAAAAAAAAAAAAAAAAATTTTTTTTTTTTTTTTTTTTTTTTTTTTTTTTTTTTCTCCTGTTTGAAAAAAAGTTGAGTAACAAACTAAATTAAAACATGCTCTAACGCATTTAATTTAGTTTGTTACTCGGGGACATCGAGGTTATCCAGGTCTAACTCCGTCGAGTTTGTCCCTAATGTAGCAAATAACTTTTTGTTCGGATTAGCAAAAGGATAATTCTTAGTATTCTAGATAATTTTAAAGAAATATCATCAGCGCCATCTGTTAATCATTTGCTAAGCTTATCCGCGTCCCTCGACTCACAACGATAAGATATGATTTGACTATGTCTATCGTAGTTCAACACAAAACTTATAGGTGGCGCTACCGCCGTCGGTAATGTAGCTCTTTAACGATGTCGCTAGTCCTTCAAATGACCTTTGTACTCGTGTATTACATTCGACTTACAATTTTGACAGTTGTGCGGCGGCAGTTGAACAGTGTATTTTAGCCTGAGGTCCAGTGAAATTTATAAAAAAACGTGAGTAAATCCTACGCAAATAAATTGTAGTAAAAGAATAGTATTAAATTTCTGTTCAGGTCTGGTTTTTCACAAATATCATATTTAATTATACAATTAATATTTCTTCGTAACTATGATGTAATTTTTTTATATTCAACCATTTTATTCATAATTATTTATTAATTTTGTTAGCTTATGAATCATAAAGCATCTCGTATTAATAAGTTATAACCTATGTCAATAAGCTAATTGTTTATTGGAATTTTTATTTTTCTTTTTATAAATTTAAATCAAAGAGGAAATGTACTTTTTTTATTATATACTTCTATGAAAAAAGTATTATATTAATATTAACTTAAGTACTATTTATATATGCAATTGCTTTAAATATATTTGACCTTTAGAGCTGAATTTAAGTATGGTGTCACCTTCTCCGGGGTTAATGATATAGTTCCTTACCAAAATCTAAACTATCCGTTATCATGTATACAAACGAGATGTTTTACTCTCAATGACCTTTCAAGGTCAGGGTCACCCTAGCAGTTAGCTGTTCTACTTTAGCTTCAATTGAAGAAGATAAAATTCAGACAACATACCAAGATTAATTATGTAAATTTTAGTTAAAAAAAATTGATAGTAACAGAAATAGGATGTCACTTTTTTTAAGAAAATTACACAATTGAAATTTGCATCTATGTTTTTATCAAGAAACCTAAGGATAATTTCAAAATCTACACCTTTACCAGTGTCAAGCTTAGGTATGTAAAAGTTTTATATTTAGTACCTATTAATTAAAGGTGTCAATTTAAGAATCATACCAAAAAAACCTTTGGTTTGATTGATACAAGATGATTGATTTTATTTTGATTATTTTAATTAGGTAGAAACAATTGTGGTACGGATAACATTTACTGGAATCCAATAAGGCTATTAGTTTTAATGTCATGTTGTGTAGTATATTTTTATATATGTGACATTTTTTAATGTATAACTTAGTCTTAATGAAGAGAACCACTAATAAATCCTTATGCACACCTAATTTTATGCAATGATTGAATAACAGCTGTCTTTAGTAATCTGACAAGTAAGGTGTCAAACACTTAATTTTCATTTTGGTGAGTTTACAATGTAATTTTGTTTATTTTTACATTTTTTCATAATTTTATACAAAAACTAAATAACAAAATGCCACCTAAAGGGAAAGGCAAGAAGGGCCCACCCGAATCAGGATGGATGCCCGGTTTTGGTACAAAAGGTAGGCTGAAGTAGTTAATGTCTTACAATCTTCACACTTTTTACAAGACTTATTTGCTTTATTTATAATTTTTGAGTAAGTTTTTTTTAAAACATAGATCTTTTGGTATATGTTTTAATGCCTTGACATATCCATATGTTATTATTTTTTCCGATTTCAATAAACAAACCTAATTTTTGAATTAGTTTATTCTGTCTACTGAAAATCTTTTGCAAACCAATGTTCAAATTTTGAATAAATAACAAAATCATTTGCTCAAAACAAGTTTTAAATGGAGGTGTGTCAAACTTGTACAATCTAGTGACCTTCTAGCGAACACACCTTCTGTGATGTCAAAGCCTTAAAGATAATAATAATTAATTATTTAAATAAGTTGTATCAAAATCCTGTTGATATTATATGTAAGTAACCTTTGCAACGGTGATAACAAATTTAGAATAACACAAAAAATATTTCTGAAATTGTTTGTCATAACACTTAGATTAGTATGTTCACACTTTACATAAATTAATTATGACTTTTATCTGGCTATTTACGTACCTTAATACCGAGTAACTTTTAATTTTTTTTTTTACACAATAATTTCAACTGAGTTAAAAGATAATTTTAAGTGAGGTAAGTTAAAATTATCATTTGTTAATGTTTTCATTCTAGCCACAATGAGTACCTACTTCCAATACCCAACACCTGAGGTTCAGGAAGAACTCAAGAAGATCGCCCAAGCCATTGTTGCTCCTGGCAAGGGAATTTTGGCTGCTGATGAGTCTACAGGTAATCAATCTATCACAAGTACCTTTACTTCTATTCCACTGCCAGCTATTCAAACTATTCATTTTACTTAAAGAGTACCAGGTTATCATGGCACTCTAGAGATAAATATTTTACTTTATGTGTGTCATCAGGTACCATGGGCAAGCGTCTCCAAGACATCGGAGTCGAGAACACCGAGGAGAACCGCCGTAAATACCGTCAGCTACTCTTCAGCACTGACCCAGTAAGTCGTTAAGTAACATAACTCGAACATAAGAACAAGTCTGGCGTATTCTCGCTATTATTATAGGGTAGAATGATAAAATAAAAACGTATATAGAGAACCTAACACCACTGCACTGATAAAGTAGTAGGTATAATGTTTTGTACCTATGTGAGGAAAAACATATACTTTTAAAACAAACGGCAGCTTTCATTAGTACAATACACGTAATAAGGACAAAATAAGTGTACCAAACAAAAGGCTTCATAAAAGAAGTAGTTCTTCTCAAGGTAACTGCATACGATACTTAATAAAATCCCCAGCGAAGTGCAAGCACCCTCAATAAATAGGTTTAAATCGTATGTAAAACGAAAACTGCTTGAAAAGGGTTATTATGACGTTAAACACTATTTAAATGATACAAATGCCTGGGGTGTGGAGGAACCCGCTCTTACAAGGAAAAATATGTAGCGCTAAAAGTAAATCAAGAATGTAAAATGAAACTTGGCGATAAAAGGAGTGACGGCGAGTCTATTGCCAGTTCTTCTCGTTCGTTCTACGCAATTGATTTGAGAACTGATAGTAAATGTAATGTGAGATTCTTTAATTATTTTGTGATGTTCATAAGTGTACATTATGTTACCTACATGAATACTAACAAACTAACAAACAAATTTTAAAAAAGTGTAAAAAAAAACAAGTGTAGTAGTTTTAGTAGAAGTAATGCATCTTATGTTAAGATATATTGGCACTACGTGCGGTTAATATCACTTTCGTTCGGTCAAGTCTACTTCGTGTGCCAAAGAATTCTATATGACCAAGTTAATAATAAGTATGCTATTATTGCGCAGTAGTAAATTATAATAGTGAAGCGTGAATTTAGTAACGTATTTTAAAATTTGCAACGACGACATCAAATAATAACTTTTAAATCATGTATTAATAAATGACGTCACTTTGATGGAAAAAAGAACAAAATGTTAAATTAAAAAGTGATAAATACTAAAATTTATAAAACAAATCAATAACTATAGGTAGGTATAATTAATTAATATTCTAGATACCTTTGTCTATTTCATAATCTTTTCTAAAGTCCATTAAAAATTTAACACGTGAGTTTAGTCACGTAGATAGCCAATATTGCAATGTTTATTTGGCACCTACCTTATGTCACCTATATTCACTAAAGATTCCTTTTTCGTAGAAAACTTAATTAATACTATACCTTACCTTTTTAATGGGCCCTACTAAAAATGTATGTTCCAAATTGTGCCATTAATAATGTTTTAATTTAGATACTATAAAAAGTGGTTCATACTAATTTAAACATACTGATGCAGACCGGATTTTACAGGCAGATTTTTATCAGGGACAAAAGAGTTTCTCTATAAAATGTCCAAGCATGGCATAACTTTGCTAACGCGTAATTACTGTTTTAGGCCGTCTCTGAAAACATCTCCGGTGTGATCCTCTTCCACGAGACCCTGTACCAGAAGGCTGATGATGGAACTCCATTGGTCCAGCTCTTGGAAAAGCGTGGAATCATTCCCGGTATCAAGGTCGACAAGGGTGTTGTCCCGCTCTTTGGATCAGAAGATGAATGCACCACCCAAGGTAACACACAACCTTTTACTAATTTTTTTTTAAGAACATTTTAGATGTCCAAAGTCTATTAACTTTAATGTCTTTAGTTTACACGAGATCACATTTAAATAAAACAGTTTAAAAACGCGAATTTTGTTCAACTACGGCATGACGTTTCGGATGCTCTGCAGCGGCCATGGTTCACCGCCCATAGTTTTAATAATTTTTAAATAAGTTTAACGAATATATTCCCCGTTTTCAACCGTTAAACTGTTATATTTAAATCAATTAAGGATTGTCATGGACAATAGTTAAGAAATATTTGCTTTAGTTAAGTCGCCAATATTTTATGGTCCTCTCTTACACTATATGTGACATTAGCGTGATTAAGATAAAATATAGTCGGCATATATATTCTTCAAGTACCAATACAAAAGAAGAAGCTATTAACACAAATCCCACAGCAATATTGTTTATTCTATAATACTGATAGAAAAACGATTGTTATAGTAATATGGTGGATAACCTTATCAAATTGATATTATCAAATGACCCTGATAGATTAACTTTATACATATTCTGCTAAATAATAGATAATATGTAATTTATCTTGAATCATGCTAAAATTGTTCGGGCCTTTTATACCGGGCCTGTCAAATAAAACAAAAACAAATTGACATGCATTTATGAATATATTGTCCTGGTATGATCCTAACTGAGTCGACTAGAGCTGCCTATCGGTCAGTAATCTTTGCCACCTAAACAAACGAACAAAACACTTTATTTTTCATATCTCTCAAGCCTCTACTATCTTCATTACGAGTACAATATAAATACACCAATACCAAAGAAATTTCTATTAAGGCGGAGTCTTCAATATATTTGAAGTAAAATACGGTCTAAACTAAGCAAAGCTCTACAAGCGAGAAATTATTTTGCTAGTTTAATTTGCCACATAAATAACTATCTGACTAGTTTTTGTCAAGGAAATTGTATAAGAATACCAGTTTTATGTTGCATCACGTTAGCGGTGTTAAATGACCTGTTTTTCACCGATTCAAAAGTTCAAACTCGTATAAATAAACGTTGATAACATTTATTTTTGTACAGAATCTTGGGGGCTCGCTGTATGATAATATTATGTAAACATGATAAAAACATTCCATTGTTGGGTTTAAAACATCATATTGTTTTATGTTAATATTCGTTAAATATTTATCAGATACTTGAAGTTCATTTGAGATTCTAAAGGTTAATGAAAAGTATTGTCTATAGTTTATGCAAGTACATCGTAAAACACTGAACGGTTTAAAACGCGTATAAGTAGCTATATTAGTAGTAATTTTTTTTTGGAAAGTCATGTTGTTCAAAACATCCTATTTCCAGGCCTCGATGACTTGGCTCAGCGCTGCGCCCAGTACAAGAAGGACGGCTGCCACTTCGCCAAGTGGCGTTGCGTACTGAAAATCGCCCGCAACACCCCGTCCTACCAGGCTATCATGGAGAACGCGAACGTTCTCGCGCGTTACGCCTCCATCTGCCAGAGCCAGCGTATCGTTCCCATTGTGGAGCCAGAAGTTCTTCCTGACGGTAAGTACTTAAAGACGATAAGAAATAAGACACCTCTAACGTACGACCCGACTTTTCGGATTCTTTGTAGAAGGTGGTTCTTCTAAGTTTACGTGGTCGTGAGATGGTGCAACCGTCGGGTCGTAGTTAAATAAGTTAAAACCGTTAAACTTCTTTTATTTAAGTTAACTATTATCCCAGATAATCTTTTGAAATTTATATAACTGTTTAAATAACTCATTACAATAGAAAAACACATTTCTCAAATAATACGACGAATGTATGACTATTTGTCTTGGTAACGTATTATTTTCACATCAGGTGAACACGACTTGGACCGCGCACAAAAGGTGACCGAGGTGGTTCTCGCTGCTGTCTACAAGGCACTTAACGACCACCACGTCTACCTTGAGGGAACCCTTCTCAAACCAAACATGGTATGTTATGTTATGTCAAAAGTCTTGGTCAGTGAAATTTCAGCTGAGTCAGGAGGTGGTGCATTTTAAATACCAGGGTTATATAAGTCTATAACGAATCGTTTCAGGTCACAGCCGGCCAGAGCTGCAAGAAACAGTACACCCCCATGGACATCGGTCGCGCAACTGTCACAGCTCTGCTTAGAACTGTGCCAGCAGCTGTTCCCGGTAAGTTATAATAAAGTAACCGATTCTTATTACACGACTCTCTTTAACAAAAAAAGATAAATAATTAAGGATATTTCTTTTTATTTAAAATTTATTGTATCAATGAAACTCCCAAATATGGAGTTTTCTCTTTCTAACGCAGAGAAATCTTTACAAATAACAAGAACATACAATTTCCTATTACCGCTTATATCATACCCAAACAAAGCCTGTTCATTTTCAGTAAGCCTAGATTAATTTTTAATCAGCAATTAATATAAGCATACTTCCTATAATTTCAGGAGTAACATTCCTGTCTGGTGGTCAATCTGAGGAAGAAGCATCCGTGAACCTGAACGCCATCAACACCATCGACCTCAAACGCCCATGGTCGTTGACCTTCAGTTACGGTCGTGCCCTCCAGGCGTCCGTGCTTCGTGCATGGGCGGGCAAACCAGAAAACGTGGTGGCCGGACAACAGGAACTCTTGAAGAGGGCCAAGGTAAGATTTGTGTTTGATAGAGGTTGAAATAATAAAATGTGGAATTAAAATAAGGGTAAGTAATTGTTTGATTGAGTTTTTTCATGTTGAGTAAAAGTTAATAGTTTTTTAAATAATAAGAACATTTTTTTTTCTGAAGTCAGTCACGAACTTCATTATAAGCTACTTCTTACAATTATTTTTTATTTAATTTAAAGATTCATCAAGTAGTTTTTTGGCTTGCTAATTTAATAAGTGTTAACTTGAGAGGGTCTAGATAAGTGTTACTTATAATTTAACTTTAAAATCCCACGTTTATATAATAATTATATACATATATTGTTTTTCTCTCTTTTACTGAGAAAATTTTATAGCATATATCCTTATTTCTCGTAAACACTATGTTGAATTTTGATATTGTAACATGGCCTAATGCAACATTTTATTTTGCTCGAAAGCTATGTATACTACATAACAACGTTTACAGAATAGACACTATACATACAAAACTATAAACCACTTATCTGACCGCCTCAATGTTCTATAAAATCTATATCATTGTGTTGTCTGCTATGCTTATGTGTTTATTAACAATATTATTTTTTCTCACGCCCATTCCAATAATGCACCAACGCTGCGCCTGACTTGGATTTGCATTTCAAAATCTTGCCATCTATATAGGCTAACGGTCTCGCAGTCAGAGGTCAATATGTCGCTGGTTCAATTCCCTCCTTGGCCGCATCCAAATCTAACTTCGTCAAATCGCACGCCTATTGAGAACTAGGATTTTCCAAATTTTTCCATGTTGAGCTTATGAGAACTTTATTATTGTTTTTTTTTCTCGAATTGTATCAATTTGTTTATGCATTTATATTACGACTGAGCATGTATATCGTGTAGATTAGATAAGCTTAGAGTTTTTACCGTAGTTAAACATGCATGAATTAATATACCGAGTTACAAAAATGTATATAGATAGGCCACAAACAATTTTACAATAAATATTTAAAAGCATACACGCTTGCCTTTTACAATCCCCCTTCATATACATTTTTGTACCTATATGTTGTCTCTTTCTAACCCGTTTTTTTATTTAATCAAAAGAAACAATGCCTGTAATATTTGTCATAAAACTAGTTAGTAGTATGTTGTCTTGTCTGTTGCACTAACCATCCATGTACTGCTTGCTATTAATAAAAAATCTATATGAGATTGTGTTTTTTTTCTCCATTTAGTGTTTAACATTTTTACTCGTAAGTTTTATTTACAGAACAATAGTAATAGTATATTAAGTAGCCGTAGTAGTGATATAAGTAGTTGATTATTATTTTTAATAATGAAATAACATTCAACATCACTTTTAGATACTGTCTGTAGTTTAACCGAGTAGTACACATTTAAATAAAACACAAACGATTTAAAACGATAGAGAGATGAGAGATAGATATTTTAGCTAAACTTTTCTTCCTGTGACCACCACGGCTGCTGCAAAGCATCCCTAACGACGGTGGTTAAAAATAATTTTCAAACATGTTTAACTAAAATATATCGCGTTTTAAACCGCTAAAGTGTTTCATTTAAATCACTGTTAGAATAAAATATCCACGACACCGCAATTTTAAAACAAAAACAAAGTTATTAAGAGTCCTGATTCTACGAAATCATTGTAATATTTTATTTTAAAAGTTTGTTCACCTCTTCCATTTCAGGGAGAAATTAGTAGTCTTATTATTAATTTAACGTCGTAAAAGTTATGAATGGTCTAAAAATATAGTTTAGTTGATATTTTGCCAAACTGTCATGTTAGTAACAGACGTCCATATATTTGGCGAGGTTTCTAATTGTTAAACTCGTATCTCTAATAATGTATGTTGCCCTAGTATCACAATGCTTAAGTGAAAGAAAAATCCAAAGAACTCGTTATTAGAAAATGTATGCCGATAAAGAGTGGTGAATTTTTGATAATTTATAAACGCCCTGGACAGTTTGCAAATCAACTGTTGCACCACTACGCAAATCAAAATATAAGTATGGCAGGTCCACAGCCAGCCCATATTCTTACGTGATGAGAGAATGATACCCTTTTATTCCTGTATCATATCTCAACTTATAATTCCGTTTCAGGCGAACGGCCAGGCGTCCCAAGGCAAATACGTCGCGGGATCAGTCACAGGTGTGGGAGCTGAGGCTGGTCTTTTCGTAGCTAACCATGCGTATTAGAGAACGTTGCTAGCTTAGCTCAAGCTGACGATACATTGCTTAAAATGTTACTCATCATAGCTTAAACGACATACTGCTAGTGTAAATTTAAATGATATTAAAATATACCTAATTGAGAATACATTCACAGACTTAAATCTACCTGGCGTATTTGCTACAGTTAACTCTTGAAAGTAGCTTAATTTTAGCAAAGCGTCATGTGATATTGAGCTAAATAAGTTATCTGTCTTCTTACAAAAGCGCACAAAACTAAAATTAGTATCGTCAGCTTAAAATACATAGCAATTACGCGTAATAAGACATTAGATTGTTGCAAATGGTAAGGAAATTTCGATCCTTACCAAAATTAAAATATAATATTGTAACGTGCTTATAATGGCGTCTATCTCTTTCTTAAAATGTCATAAAATCTTTTGTCCTTTTCACTCATATTCAAACAACATGAGTGACAAGGACGAAACATTTCTTAGAGTTGTCATTTGTAAGGCTTTATATCTTTTGTCTTTTTTCTGGATTACCAGCATACCAGAAAGAGACAGAGATATAGTGAGGTTGCACGATTATAAGTTCAAGCTTAAACCGCGCTTTTTGAAATTGCTATGTAACGCATAGAGATTGTTACTCGAATTTTAACCTCGTTTTCATAAAGTATCTATTGTTATTGTTCCATGTAAGATTAGTATGTCGTTTTAGATCAAAATTAGTAAATCTAGATGTGACGTAACAGATTATTTATTATGTAAGAATCATAGCTAAAATTATTTAAACATGGTACATATGCATAGAGATTTATAACTATACTACAACACAAAATGTATTTTGATTATTTGTAAAAACTATTTATTTACATTATTTTAGTATTTTTAATGTATTTTGATAAGAGTAAAGTGTAATTTTCTGTCATTTGTAGTCTTTCATTTATCTCAAGTACACATTCATAATTAGCATAAGAAAGCTGTTAAATGTAGGAGTATATTAGTATCGTCAGACTTCCCCTTTTTTATATAAGTTACGGGTTTCGAAACAGACACGGTGTTTTAGAAAAAAAATTCATATAAAAACAGATTTTAAGTTACTCAAATTGTTTCGAAAATTGGTCTCGATGACTGTTTCTCTATGTTAGCTAGGATCACATGTCATTTTCAGTATTTAGAATGAAAAATATAGACATATTGTTTTTTATGAAAGAATAGGACACACATATATACACAAGCCTATTTATTTTGGCTTTGGACTTTCGGAAATCCACAGACTGAATCCGAAACGCGATAAAACCGGTGTCGGGCTGTCCGGATTTTCTTAACGAAGTCCCAACAAATTTTGGAAAATTTTAATGATTATTACGAAAACGTTGGTCCTGGTAGGGATCGAACCCACATTTGTTGATTATTAGCATCGCTTTGATAAGTTCCACAATCCCTTTAAAAATTAACAACTTATTGTACTTGAACACTTGCGTCGTAAACTTTCTTCAATAACGCTGTATATTCGCTATTTCTAAATATCGTTATCGACTATTCCAAGTAATAGAATTTTTTTCTGTACTTCTATCTTACAAGTCTGTAAAGCACCTGCATACGTTGTTGAATCTGACAGTATTTTAATTTTGTGCAGCGCATATTAATACTTTAACATTAAATTGAGGGTAGTTTAATATTATCGATAAGACGGCCGAACGAAAGTAGCGCGCACAGACAGGCGTTTTTTTGGCTGCCGCTCGTGCGAGTTGATCGTGCTCAGTTTTTGATTATTAAGTTTATGTGACTGCCAAATAGGAGTATAATATTAACACCGGCGTGTAAATAAGATGTCTCAATATTATCATTTAAATTTCCGCGAGTTCAGTGCGTTATCAAGAGTGCTACATAAATTCAGTGTTCATACTATGTAGACGTGACGTGAGTTTAAACACCCCTTTGCCTCTTAATATAATTATATTTCCTCTTATATGGGCTCTCTTTAACCCCCATTTGCGATATACACGCCACAAAAATAGTGCAATTAAATCGAGACAACCACTGGACCGGAGGTATGTACTTAGCGTATTGAACTTAGCTATATGTTTATCAAAAGTGTGTATCAACATTTTTACCGTTTTCTCCTTGTGGTACAGCATTATAAAATGCGCTCAAATTTTCCACGCCAATGTATGAACATGGAAATTCACTGCAAACCGATGACACGGCTTGTCTATTGAACCGGCTTAATTGAACTGTGTGTAGCCTGAAGAGAGCCTTAACACTCTGCGACTACGATTAAATATTCAGTCGTGCTACGTAATTTAATATGCGTATTAAATTACGATCAAAAGCTGTGAATAACGTATAAAGCGTCTGCGGTTTTCAAAAGCTCGGCCATCGTAATTTTAAGAAGCTCAAAAAAACAAAAAGATGTTTATATTTTTTTTATCTGATTTTATTGACTGTGCTTAGAAAAACAATAACCGTCATTTATGTAATACTGTCAAATGTTTATAATACCGATAGAGACGAAACTAACATAATTTAGTTAAACGACTTGCAAATATAAATGTTTAGTTAAAAAAATAAATAGAAAGTACGTTTTTTTCCATGTCATAATAAGAAGATAATATAATTTAAACACGTTGCTTAGATCTTGCTAGAGAATATATATAATAAGAATGAAATGTTAATTTAAAAATTTCTTACTACAATTGACAAAATGTCGTGTCGTATTCGTGTCGTGAGTCTTAAACATAGCATTCGTCCGCGTCGTTAGGTTGGCCATTTTTCCGAGACAGGTTCATAAAACGCGTGGAAACGTGTAATGAACCTCGTTATAAATACGTTTTTTACGAGTTCCCGTTAATAGAGAAAGGGAGGCATTACATTTTCTAATTTTCCATCTCTACACATTTAAAATAATTACTTTACCTCCCCTAAATAAGGGAGAAAATATATTATCGCGGACACGAGACATATTAGCGGACCTTATATGCGAGACTTGATCTCGGGGTAGCTGCTTAATGGATGGTAGGAATATCAAAATTCAGAGTCACGGACCACCGTACTCTGAAGAAAAGCCCTCAAGTTTAATCGCAATTCGGTTTTATTATGTGAACTTCCGAATATCCACGACCAAAATAGATCGATGGCGCATCTTGTTTCAATGTTATAATTTTGGAGTATTTCACTTACCATCGAGTGAATCCCCTGCTTATCTGCTCCTATATGCATAGGACATTTAAGGATATATATGTACCTATTGCACACCTATAGCTAAGTTCGGTCTAAGTTTAAAATTTAAAAGCGGTTATTGTAGATCCCTTCCTTAACCATGTTAAACATATGAGCGTTAGCGGTTCTTTAAAGAAATACATTTTACACTTACACAATTATATAGGGGTTCATGCGAAATGTCTTAAAACGTAAACTGTGTACAAATTGGACGACCTATTTTATCTGTGGATGTTTTTGATAAATTGCATTATTTTTTACTGTTTGACAATTCTACAGTTAACGAATTGTTGAGTAACAAAATCATTAGTGATTAAGAGATTGAAAAAGTCTCAGACGGACTCGAAGCATTTTATAGTTTATTTACCTCTGCGGGCACCGAGTGAAGGACTCTTTTTAATTGGGAGATGCCTCTCGGGGCCGTTACTCCCGAAACACCTTGGTCGTTACGGCCTAAACGAAAAGTTTATGTACACAGAGTTTAATGGCTCGTTAAATTTACCCTGATGAGGCTTGAAATTGATTTCATTTAGTCAATGAGTTAAGTGTCTGCAGAAATTAGTAAATTAATATCGTTGGAAATTACAATTTGTCTAGTGGCGGTTAGTGTGACTCTTGAAGCCTGCAAGTCTTGTTGAAAAAAACTGGAGATTAAATTTTTTTTAAATTGCTTTTAATTATTTTAAATTCATTATTTATAAGTTGTATATATAAAATTTAGATAAAAGTGTGTTTACGAAAAGAAATACAATAATGGACTAGTTCTAAATTTAATTAAATATGTTTAAAATGCAAGACCAGGCTTTCGAATTTAAAACTGTACTTGATGCACCTTTAAGGTTCTTATTTAAAAGCCAATCTTCTATTGTCACAGGTGAATTTTCAAATGGCAAACAATGGAAAACAAACAGAATAAGGGCCTAAGTAAATCTTTTAATATTAATCCGATAATGTTCTTCAACCCTTTACCCCATTTAGCGGTCAACAGCCGTTTCAGAGATGTAAACGTTTTGGGACACGAATGACCCATTTCCTGGTGGTCGACGAACTTCCATTTAAATTATGGGATAGGGAGAGTACAGACTCATATTGACATCGACATTTTCCATTCTTCAATCTGATTACTACTAATGGCCTATTACGGCGAATAATATAATTACACACAGACAGGATAAAATATGCCTTGGTCTATACGATATTAAACAATAATATTATTAATACTCTAATTGTGCTTCACATTGCATAATTCTCTGCAACTTTTCTGAATCCGCCGATTCTAATCTGTAGTGCGTTTAGCAAACGGTTTAGAGATCCCGGCTTTCAATGAGAAACAAAAATGAGATGTTACCTCTGTTTACCACCGATTAGTAAAAGGATATTATATATGCCCCATGCTCCAAGCAGAGGTTCGGAGATTTTCCGTATGTTAGTTGCACTGACAAAACATCACTTTTTGAAATAGATACCTATGTGTTTTTTGCATCTTATGAGTTAGTTACTGTCGCAATGTCTAAAGCCAAAATAGGTCGCTAGTTTGCATCTTGTTTAGATGTTATATATGTATCTAACATGTACACAACTGTAAAGGTAGAGGAAATTTATAATCCGAGGAGTGTCCATTTTTCGTCCCTAAAATATATTTTACTTGAAGACATAATAATTTAACACTAAATGGTTATTCCACCCAGTAGTTCAATTTATTTATTATGGATTCTGTCTTATTTTCAGGGTAAAGCACGTGTTAAGAAAAATACTTTTGTACATCTTGTCTTTAAGTGTCATTTTGTTAAATGGAAAATATAC